AGACTGTCAGCAGATTTCTCAAAAGAGACCTTACAGGCAAGAAGGGGCTGGAAAGAAGTATTCCAAGTCATGAAATCCAAAGACCTACATCCAAGCTTGATCTATCCATCAAAGCTTTCATTTAAAATGGAAGGGCAGATAAAGTGCTTCTCAGATAAGATCAAATTCAAGGAGTTCATCATCACCAAGCCCTTATTATATGAAATGTTAAAGGGACTTATCTAAGAAAAAGAAGATAAAAAAAAGATGAACAGTGAAAGGACAGCAAACTTACAGTTATTAAGAACCACACCTAAAACAAAAACAATCTAAGAGGACAGCTAGATCAGGAGCAGAACCATAGAAATGAAGATCACATGGAGGGTTAGCAACAGGGGAGTGGGAGGAGGAGAAGGGGGAGAAGGTACAGAAAATAAGTAGCATAGATGGTAGGTAGAAAATAGATGGGGGGGGGCAAGAATAGTATGGGAAATATAGAATCTAAAGAACTTGAGACACATGGTCATAAACTAAAGGGGGGGGAATGGTGGGGATGGGGGGGAGGGGGGATGAAGGGGGGAATAGAACAACTGTAATGGGATAATCAATAAAATATATTTAAAAAATAAAAAAGTTAGTTATTTTTAGAGAGGGGAAGAGAAAGAGTGGGAGAGAAACATCAATGTATGGTTTCCTCTCATGTGTCCCCTGCTGAGGACCTGGTCTGCAATTCAGGCATGTGCCCTGACTGGGAATCAAACCAGTGACCCTTTGCTTCACAGGCCTGTGCTTAATCCACTGAGCTACACCAGCCAGGCGAGCTACACCCGCCAGGCATATTATTTTCTTTAGCTACAGGTGTACAGCTAGAAAAAGAAGATTCTATTTACAGTAGTAATGAAGACATGTTCATATATATGTGTCAACATATATTAGAAATAATTATAAAATTCTAATAAAAGAAATAAAAGACTAAATAATGCTCTTATTTTGGCTTATCTCTGGAGCAGTAAATTTAGTTAGCATGTCAAAATGCTGATTTAAGTATTGTTAATACCAATTAAAATAACATTCTGGATACAGTTCAGGTTTCTTAGCATGTCATCCTGAGGTCCAAACCCACTGCTATGGTGCCCACCTGCGGTTGCAGCCTCAGTGATACTCTTCTGGTCTGGGGTCTCAGCTCTTCTCCCGCCTCACTTGCCATTTCTCTCTCATTGCATCACCACCTCTAGGATGAGTAGGACAGCTGACTGATATAAAATCCAGGCTGAACAATAGACTTGTGAAAGGTATAGTGCCGGGCCCATGGTAGGTTTGTGAATATGTTTCTTGAATTGAACTGAAGAAACTACCAGCTGAAGGAGGCTACTCTGACTGGTTATTATTGCTATGGGGAATTTAAACAGGTTCGGCACAGTTGTTTTGCTTGCATAACGGGAAACATAAAAATGTTAAGCATTAAGTGAAGAGTGGAGTGGTTTCTAGCCAGGGAAAGGACCGTTTATGGCTATGTTCCCTAGTATGGCGTGTTGAGACCTTTCCACTTGGGTGGTGTGAGCTGACACCCATTCCTCTGGATACCGTGACCACTTGGTTTGAAACGGTGCTGCAAGTTCTGATTTGCCACGGTGGCCACAAATAAGAGGAACAGATTTTATGATTTAGAAAAGGGTGGAATCATGTATGTGGTTTCTTTAAGGACTCAAAGGATAAATACACCTGGGAATAAACAATACCCCCCAAAAAAGTAATAGATCTGGAGGAGCAGAGAGAGCACCCCACTGGTGAGTCGAGGTAGAAATGATCGTGACTGGTGTGAAGAACAGCATTGTGCCCCACTGTTGTACTGGGCAGCAGGGAGACAGGTGACAGTGTCCTCGGGTCAGCAGGTCAGGAGAGGTGGCAAAACCAAAACTTGCTCTTGCTTCCCTCTCATTCTTTCTGTTTTCAAGGCCCATGGCTTTCAAGAACTAATCCAGTTGGTGGAATGGAGGCAGTGGGCCTGAGCTGGGAGGACAGTGATCTTGGGCTGGTGCAGGAAGAAAACCTTCAAAGGGGCAGCATTGCTGGGGCTGGGTCTTGAAGGCAGCGAGCAAGCCCTTTTCTAAGGGGGAAGGAGCGGGAGAACTTCCAGACCACAGTCGTGCAGAGGCCAGGGGACAGGAGTGCCTGTTCACGCAGTGGCGACGATTTGCCAGTGTGCTGATGGGGACCAAGGGCTCAATTATAAGAACAGCGAGTCCAGAGCACTTCACACACCCTCAAGGTTTCTGTGAGCTCCATTAGAATGTTACAAGTTCATCTGCTCAAGGGCAAGACTCCATCTCTACAGGAATGACGTGGCCACAATTGGGGTACAGATTTTTAAGACCATGTACATTTTACTGGCATCCTAAAAAGTGTTGAGGTCTCTCCTAGGTCTGAGCTATACATGGAAGTAGTATCCAGACACCTTTAGACTTGTTAATTTTGAAGTAAATAACATGGGGCCCTTTGATACAATTTTCACTTCGAATCCAGAATTTAAAGTCTTTTATGCAGACAATGTTTGGAAAAATCCATCTGTACCAGGATTTGGTGGCAGAGGGGGGTGACTGCTGAGGACCTGGGCCTGTACCCAGGGGCGAGGACTGTGCCATGAGGGAGGACTGGCAGGTGTGTTTGACAAGCTTCCCATCATATCCGGAGGTAAATTCAAACTCCTGCCCGTGGCCCGTGAGGCCGCATTCTGTCCGGCACTGCCCACTTGCTGGCCTGCGCCCTCCAGCCCCCTCTCCTAGCACTCTCCTGGTTCCCTGTTTACACTTCCCAGGGTCCCTTTTCCTCCGGATCTCTGCATGGATGCCTTCTTCTCTTCAGTGCATCTGCTCTAGTGGCCCATCCTAACAGGCTGTAAAGTGTCCTGCTTGTCGTCACTCTGTCATCCCTCCCCTTTTAAACTTTCTTCATTCTATTTGAACACTTATTTGTACGCATTATTTTATGTCTTCCCTGCTAGAGTGTCAGCTTTGCGAGGGTGTGGACATTGTCATCCTTGTTCTGCTGCATGCAGTGCGTCTGGCACCTGGTGGGGCGCAGTCCACATGTGTGAGAACAGAAGAGAGAGACAGGCGCTCAGACACCATTGGTTCAGCGAGGCGCCTGCTGGGCTGGAAGTAAATTGAAATTGAACTTCACTGAGGGGGTTAGAGGGACCGAGACCTGGGGGGCGAGTTGGAGTTGGGCAGCTGGGAGGAGGGTGAGAGCAGTGTGTGTGAGGAAGGCTCAGAGAGCAGAAAGGTCGGGAGACCCTTTGCAGCTGGACCTGTGGGAGGGTCGGGTGTGGTGGTGGAGCCGAAACTGGACAAGTCCCTGGGAAACACATCACAGAGGGCCTTCCAAGACTGAAGAGGAGTGCAGATTTGACTTTTGGGGATTTTGAGCCTTTTCCTAATCAGGACGTGAGAAGGAATAGGCCGAATGCTGTGTGTGCTCTCTCACTCCCTCTCACTCTTCAGCCTGTCGTCACTGAACTGAAGAGACAGTCATTCCATGCAGGCTTCACTGGTCCAGGCCACCAGTTACCTCTACTTGTCAATGCCATTGCCCTCACCTTCCACAGCAGAAGTGTGGCCACTCCTTCCTGAACTGCTCTCTCCCTGGGCGCTCTGTGGAACGTCTCCTTCGGGAACTGCTGCTCTGTCTCCTCTGCAGGCCTCCATGCAGCACAGCCACCTGATTCCTTCAGTGTTGTTTTTCAGAGCTTCGTCATCGTCACACTTCTCCTGTCGTTCTGTGTACCCTCCCTAGGAAATCTGATGTGTGTCCTTGATGCAATTGGGAGACTCCTTTGACTCCCAATTCTTTTTGTTTCCTTTGCGTCTTTTTCTTAAGCTCCAGATCTATATATCTGTTTACTGGAAAACTCTGTCTATTCTGATGTCCCACAGCCATCTCAGACTGTGTGTCCAAAGAGCACCTCCATCATCTTCCCCCAGTCTGATTCTCCTCCTGAATTTCCTGTTTTGGTGTGCACATTTTCAGTCACCTAGCGGCCCAATCCAGAAACCTTCTGAGTTTTTTTAGACCTTTCTTCCCTCCCTTACAGCCATAGGTAATCAACTGCAAGTCATTTCAGTTCTCCCTTACAGCTCAAATATGATCAGTCCCCAGAGCTGTCCTCTGTGTAGTGGCCAGAGTGGTCTTTCTAGCATGCAGATCTGGCCCCCTCCCCACTCAGCGATATGAGGAATTTAAACATGACTTGTCATTAATTCCTTGACCACCATGTGTCAGGTGTCCCAGCTCCAGCTCTACAGCTCCAGTCCCCACTTCTGACTGATGTGATTGCTCCTTTCTATGCTCTGCTAAACTGAACACGTGTGCCATACCTAGGTACTTACTCTTGCTACCTGCCTTCTGTTCTTTAACCGTTTGTGTGTATGTGTCTTATGGACCAAATGAGGGGACCTTCTCCAGGGCTTGGACCATCTCCTCCAGAATGGGTAAGACAGTAAGTTCTGTGGACATAGTGTGCCGTCAACGAGTATTGGATTACCCTCACTAATAAGTCTTTCTTTTGTATATTATTCATTAATAATATTTACTCTTCTTTTTAAAATTGTGTTCTCTGAACATTTAACTGCATGAAGACTTTACATTTTTCTAGTAACTTTATATTATTTGTTTGCTAATTAATAGGGCTTAACTTTTTACTTTCACCTGACAAGTTTGTTTTTTTGTAGGTGAGAAATTCTTGCAAAGTGCATGGTGCTGTGACAGCTGTTTTGGGAAAAATCAGCAAGAACATGCTAAATACCATCAGATACTCTTACATTCTTCTGTCATTGGAAAGGTTTATAAATTGAAAAATTATCACAGCTTTAATTGGATTTGAGATAGGTTTATTTGATTCTTAGATTTTCAAATGTAACCTTTCAAGAAAAAAAGGAGTTTTTGGTTAAGTTGATGACAGGGTATTAGTGATTAATGAGTCTCCTGACCTCAGAACATGAAGGATTCTTTTATTCCTAATACAGGCATTGACATGTAGAGAAGAACTCCTTACTCTTCTTCTGTCGCTCCTTCCATTGGTGTGGAAGATACCTGTTCAAGAAGAAAAGGCAACAGGTATGTTCCTTCTTTCTTTCTTTCTTTCTTTCGTTCTTCTTCTTCTTCTTCTTTTACTATAAGTAGGCACTACCTTTATTGCATCACTTGTGTTATCAAAATTCCCCTGGGGAAAAATGTTCCACTGGAAAGTTATTTCCGTACAAATTGGTAGTAAGAGAATAGAAGATTCACAGGGTTCTAAAGTACAGCATAGGGGATATGTCAATAATATTGCAAAAACTAGATATGGTGCCAGGTGGGTACTTGAAATACTGGAGGGATTGTTTTGTGGAGTATATTATTGTTTAACCACTATGCTCTATACCTGAAACTAAAACAAAATAATATTGAATATAAACTGTCATTGAAGGATAAAATTTTTAAAACCGTTACGTTTACACTAGAAGAATGTTACTTTTGCCTTATTGGTTGATACAGTCAAATATCAAAGCAGTATATATTAGTTTGATACTTAATATGAAAAATTCTTTAGGCAAACACATTTTTATTTCTTCTCATAATACAAAAACCATGGTGTTTCTTAGAGGATTACATGAATGTAACAATAATTTAAAAGTATATGAAGAAGCACAAGCAAAAGGATTAAATCTAGGCATGCAAAGTAACACCTGAGAAATGGATAGTGAAAAGTTTGAAGGAAGAAATTAAAGTTTCTTTGCTCATTTTTAAAGACTGCTTTCTATTACCATATTCTATCAATGACTTTTGCACTTTAGTTTTTCTAGTGTTGCTTTCAAAAAATAAATTTGAAATATTATTCCACTTAAGGTTAATACATATTTTTTATTTCTGTTTTGAAAAAATTAAAAAATATATATCACATTAAATGTATGAAACTTGGTTTAAATGTTTCAGTAAACAGATTAACAGTTTTCTCTCTTGACCATTTTTGGGATATGTAAATTGTGAGATGTTTAAGGATCTCTAGGATTTTTTTTGAAGTCCTTCTATACCGTATTTTAATGCCATGTGGCATATTGAATACATTTCTGATATGGAGCTTTCTTGTTGGGGACTTATCTAATGTCTTATAATGTTGTCCTGCTTCTTTGTTGATTCACTAACCCTCTGCTCTTATTTTCTTCTGAATTTGTAGAATTCACAAGTTGTTAGGCACCTAAGATACTGATTAGTGATTTTTTGGGCCTGTAGCCTTGACTGCCTGTATCTTTTGTGCCGGTGGAATTTGTCCTCCTTTTAATCCCCCCTTAATTAAGGCACAGATCTTATTTACAGATTGGTGTTTACTGATTCTAAATTGCAACTATATTTTTCATATAGATGTATTACATGATAATGCAAAGAAAAAGAGACCAGTTTTGTGGCCTTTAACTTTTAAGGATGTATTCATTTCTCCCAGGAAGCAGGTGTTGAGGGCTGGCCTCACAGCAGGCCCCCGGGCGTGGCCCTGAGCTCTCGTTCAGTGCATAGTGCACACAGGAAAGAGCTCTTTTAACTTCGGTCTTAGAGGGTATTTGGTGTCTGTTGTATGATTTTGAAATAACTTTGTAAAATCTTAAAGCTCTTAAGTTATATCAAGGCTATCACCTAAACACTATTTTTGAAAATATAGTATATCCCTGTGTCTTAATTGATGGCGTGATTGGAGAAGATTTGTAAAAATGCGTGAGTAGTAGTGCTGAATACTCTGGTTTAAAGAGTCTCTTATGTCGATGTGAGAATGCAATAGGTATGTGGTTTTAAATTAGGTTTATTTTTCTAATTCTGTTCTTTTTCATTGTTTCCAAATCAGTCTGTATCCTTTGAACTAATAAGTGTGGGGGGAAGTGACCCAGAGACCTAACAATAGCTAAAGGAAACCAGCCCCAGTTTAAAATACAAAAAACAAAAAAACTGATGTTAAACTCCTAAAATGGATACTAAATACGAATTGAGTTTAAAAACGTAGTAAGGCATATATAATTTCCTTTTTCATTTTTGTAGATTTTAATCTACCGTTCTCAGCTGATATAATCCTGACCAAAGAAAAGAACTCAAGTTCACAAAGATCTACTCAGGAAAAATTATATTTAGAAGGAAGTGCCCCATCGGGTCAGGTTTCTGCAAAAGTAAATGTTTTTCGAAAAAGCAGACGGCAGCGTAAAACCACCCATCGCTATTCTGTAAGAGATGCGAGAAAGACCCAGCTGTCCACCTCCGACTCAGAGGCCGATTCAGACGACAGGAGGACAGCAGTGAGCAAGCATCGGCGGCCCCATCAGCTGCAGCCTTTCATAACACATTCTCCTAAAGAAAGTGAGTTTATGGCTCAGCCTGACTGCTTGTCAACCAAAGAGCAGACTCTTCCTGATAGCGTGGCTCTGGAAAGTCTCCAAGACATTATGCCAGGACAGGAGGCAAACACCGACATGTTAAGTGAGCCAGCTGCCTTGTCTGTTATCAGTCACATGAACAACTCTCCATTTGACCTATGTCACGTTTTGTTATCTTTATTAGAGAAGGTTTGTAGGTTTGATATTACCTTGAATCATAATTCTGCTCTGGCAGCCAGCGTCGTGCCCACACTGACTGAATTCCTTGCAGGCTTTGGGGATTGCTGTAATCTCAGCGACAATTCAGAGAGTCAGATGTTTTCTGCAGGTTGGACTGAAGAACCTGTGGCCTTGATCCAACGGATGCTTGTTCGAACAGTGTTGTATCTTATGTCAGTAGACATTAGTACTGCAGAGATGATGCCAGAAAGTCTTAAAAAAAATTTAACTGAATTGCTTAGAGCTGCTTTAAAAATTAGAGTTTGCCTAGAAAAGCAGCTTGATCCTTTTGAACCAAGACAGAAGAAAACACTACAGGAGGTCCAGGAAGGTTTTGTGTTTTCCAAGTATCGTCATAGAGCCCTTCTTTTGCCTGAGCTTCTGGAAGGAGTGCTACAGATCCTCATCTGTTGTCTTCAGAGTGCAGCTTCAAATCCCTTCTTCTTCAGTCAGGCCATGGATTTGGTTCAAGAATTCATTCAGCATCATGGCTTCAATTTATTTGAAACATCAGTTCTTCAAATGGAATGGCTGGTTTTAAGAGATGGCGTGCCTACTGAGGCCTCGGAACACTTGAAAGCCCTAATAAATAGTGTGATGAAAATAATGAGCACTGTCAAAAAGGTGAAATCAGAGCAGCTTCATCATTCCATGTGTACAAGGAAGAGGCACAGACGATGTGAATACTCCCACTTTATGCATCACCACAGAGATCTCTCAGGTCTTCTGGTTTCAGCGTTTAAAAACCAGGTTTCCAAGAACCCATTCGAGGAGGCTGCAGACGGCGCCGTCTGCTACCCTGAGCGGTGCTGCTGCCTGGCAGTGTGTGCGCACCAGTGCCTGCGTCTGCTGCAGCAGGCCTCCCTAAGCAGCACATGTGTGCAGGTGCTGGCAGGGGTGCAGAGAGTCGGGGTGTGCTGCTGCATGGACCCCAAGTCCGTCATCTTCCCTTTGCTCCATGCTTTTAGGTTGCCAGCACTGAAGAATTTTCAGCAGCATATATTGAATATCCTTAACAAACTTATTTTGGACCAATTAGGAGGCGCCGAGATACCGCAGAAAATTAAAAAAGCAGCCTGCAATATTTGTACTGTTGACTCTGAACAGCTCGCCAAATTAGAAGAAACACTGCAGGGACCTGCACAGGACGAGGAGCCTTCCTCCGGCCTGTCCAGTCCCTACAGATGTCAAGGGATCCTGCCCAGCAGCGGGTCTGAAGACTTGTTGTGGAGATGGGATGCCTTAGAGGCGTATCAGGATTTTGTTTTTGAAGAAGACAGATTACATAGTGTTCAGATCGCAAACCACATTTGCAATTTAATCCAGAAAGGCAATGTGGTTGTTCAGTGGAAGTTATTCAATTTCATATTTAATCCTGTGCTCCAAAGGGGAGTTGAACTAGCCCATCATTGCCAGCACCTTAGCATTACTTCAGCTCAGACTCATGCCTGTAGCCATCAGAACCAGTGTTTGCCTCAGGAAGTGCTGCAGGTTTATTTAAAAACGCTGCCTACTCTGCTTAAATCAAGGTTTGTATGTGTGCACATGTGCAGACATTTTTCTTGTTGTATGTTTTCTAATGTCTGTACCCTTTATTCTTTCGTATGATTTAATTGTAGTTTAACAACAAAAAATTTCCCATCCCATGTCAGATATTTTTTACATTTATTTATTTTTACTGGGTTGTTAGGAGAGGACAGAGCCATGGTTTTTAATTTCTCAGTACTAAGTTTTAAATATATTTCTGAGAGAAAATGTACAGAAGACAAAATCAGTAGCAGCGCAAGATAAATTAATTGTTCCATACGTACCTGATGGAATTATTAGTCATTAAAAATAATGGTTACAAAGATCATGTTGGGACATGGGAAAATACTTATACCATTTTATTGATAAGATATACAAAATTCAAAATATTGCTCACTTATTTACCACTGCATAAAATATGTATGTATATAAAATGTTAATTATTGAGGCAGTAGAAATGTGGAGTTTATTATTTTTAAATGACCTATCTATATTTATTACATAAGTACTATATGTAGAAAAATCAGAAAATGCATAAATGCAAAAAAAGAAAATTAAAATTACTTAGAATTTCACCAATGAGTTTTCCAGAATTTGTGATTGTCAAATCTGGTACTTAAAAAAATGATTATATGAATAAACCTTGCTTCTAATTGGTAGCCTGGCCTTCAAAATTAATGCATATACAGTTTTTAACACTCACAATAAAATACAACCTATATATCATCACTATCTTTACGGTCATTGAAAAAATTTCTGACATTCTGACATTGTTCCACTGGAACTGACTTTGATTTGAAGTTGGTAAACTCATTGTCGTGTTTGCGGGCACCCTGGTCTTTGCTGAGCTGATGTGTATCAAAGTTACTATGAGGACTTGAGTGACTCGGACTCCTCAGCCTCACTTGAGACAGAGATGAGCATCTTCGGATCTGTCCTTGGGTGCTTTCTCCTTCCAGGGTGCAGCTTTAAAACTGATAAAAAGTCCTTAGTGAACCAGCAGGCAGATGAACAAAAGGACACACAAGTGCCTCCCTCCTCTCAGAGCATCTGTCTGAAGTGAGTGGTGGTTGTGGCAGTTAAAATTTGGATAGAATCTGCTATTTGAAGAAAACTTCTTTCCTGAATTGCTTCATTTAACTTGGGACACATGTAGTTTGTTCTTTTTTAATGCTGAAATCATATATGCAGTGTTTGAAAAAGAGTAAGAAAGTCATTGGATGGTAATTTGAGATCCTGGTCACATCCAGCTGAGAACTTAAGCCAGATGACTGACTGATTAAATTAGGTAGTTTTTGTTTAGCATATGCCACATGCAGCAATGACATTTAAATAGTATATGTACCTATTTATAAATGATCTTTCTATATATAAAACCTCTTACATGGTTTTTTTTCCTCTCACAGGGTAATAAGAGATTTGTTTTTAAGTTGTAATGGAGTAAGTCAAATAATTGAATTAAATTACTTAGATGGTATTCGAGGTCACTCCCTAAAAGCATTTGAAACTCTGATAATCAGCCTCGGGGAACAACAGAAAGAGTCTTCGGTTCCAGATACCAATGGGATGGATGTTGAACAGAAGGAGCTGACATCATCGTTAAATGCAGTTATCTCTTTTCATAACCAGCCGGCACTTTCAGATTCTCCTCAGAGCCTCAGCAAGTTTTATGCCAGCCTCAGAGACGCCTACCCAAAGAAACGGAAGTCTGTTAACCAAGACATTCACATCAGCACGATACACCTCTTCCTCTGCGTGGCATTCTTGTGTGTAAGCAAAGAAGCAGACTCTGACGGGGAGTCCACCCACGACTCAGAAGACACCTCCGGCTATGACAGCACAGCCAGTGAGCCCCTGCACCGCGTGCTGCCTCGCTTACCTCTCGAGAGCCTTGTCTTGCCTTCTCCCAAGCACATGCACCAAGCAGCAGACGTCTGGTCCATGTGTCGTCGGATCTACATGTTGAGTCCAGTTGTCCAGGAGCAGTTTTGCCGGCTGGGCGGTGTCCGAGTGTGCCACAGGTTGATATTTATGATCATAGAGAAACTGGTCAGGAGTCATGAAGAGGAGCAAGGAAAAAAGGCAGGAGACACAGATGAGAGTGAGAACCAAGAGTCCATCAGAACTGCTCAATCTGAGATCACTGTGAGGGAGGATTCGTCCCTGTCGACTGTGGAAAGTCATGCCACATCCTCGGAGCTGAGTAGTCTAAGTGAGAGTGCGGAAGGTGTAGGTAAATTAGAGTCACATCATGCTTCTGACGGGAGTGGGGGTCGAATTGCAGCTGCCGAAGCTGCTCCGGAGGAAGCAAAGGTCCTTACGAGTCCAAAGAGCCAGGCCTCACTTCAGAGCATAAGACTTTTGGAAGCACTTCTGGCCATTTGTCTTCATAGCTCCAGAGCTAGTCAGCACAAGGTGGAATTGGAGTTGCCTGATCAGGTAATATTGCTTGTCTTTTGTCCAGCTATGGTGTAATAGGTATGTTCTAGAAGTTCTGTCATAATATGTTTATCATTTTCCTTTTCCAAAGAGTCTTAAGTTTTTAGGAGAACTGATATGCTTAGCACCGGGGTACCAGGGGCCATGGAGGACCCAGATGAGCAGGTGACCTGGTTCTTGCCCTCAAGAAGTTTATAGTTTGGTTTGGACTGCAAAACCCACATGTGACAAAGTTACCAGCCCAAAAAGGCATGAGATATGCGATTAATAATGGGTGTTGTGTAGTTCATACTCTGCAGTCTTGGTGTGATGCCGTGTGGTGCCCTGCCCAGTTCCCCTGCCCGAGCCGGTGCCTCCATCCACCATCTGCTGCGGGTGTCGGTTGCTGAGGACTCACGCCTGCACCCATCTCCCGAGGAGAGCTGCCCCATCTAAGATACCTGGGAAGGGTGTTCACCAGCAACAGGGCGATATGGCTCTCTTGGAGGGACAGCCTCTGTGGGGAAGCCCAGGCTGCAGGGCTTTCCCTGGTGTCAGGTGGGGGCTGGACATTTATTCTGAAACCACATTGCCTAGATTCTTCCCCTGACATGCTCTGCTTTCCTCATACCCTTACGAGTTTCTCCTGCCAGCACATCTCAACACAAAAGGAAGTTTCAGGCCCCGCTCCTGAGGAACCTTCAAATGTGGCGGACCCTTTCTTCCCTTTCAGCCCACCCCTCACTGTTCCGGCAGCCCCACAGGCTGTCCTGCTGCCTCCCTGTTGCCTCCTGTCTAAGCATCCTGATGCTCCCATGTTGCTCCCAATTAAAATCCACATCCTCAGTAGAGCTGCAGAGCCCCTGACAGTCTTGCTTCCACTTCCTTGTTTTGCCTCACTTCCTGCCATCCTTCCCCAGGGGCAGCCAGCTCCCCCCCAGCTCACCACCCCTCAATATTCCATTCTTTGTCATTACTCTGAACCTCTGTGCATGGTCCTCCACCTCCCATCCCCTCCCTCTGTTTGTATGCCCGCTGTCTCCTGTGAGTTCCTCATTGTTCCTCTCCTACATCCCTTCCTCTGGGACATCTTTGACAGGTCTCTCAGGCACCTTCTCTCCTTCTGTTTGCAGAGAACTGTTTACAGCTCTCGTATGGCCGTCCTCAGAGCTTGTCTGTGTGGGTCTGTGCCTCACACGGGGTTGAAAATTCCTTAAGGTAGACGTCAGCTTCTCATCCATTTTTATGGCTTCATTGCCTGATGTCGGGGTAGGGGACAGGCAGCCAGAGTTCCCTTCAAGCACAGGAGTAAAAAGGGGAGAGAGAAGGATGAGAATATAAGTGCTTCTTGGAGTCTTAAGGAATTTGTAAAATCTAGAGATGGTTAATCAAAACTGAAGTTTCAGCTAATCATTTTTGTGGTACAATTAATCTCTGATACATTGAAATACAAAACCAAATGAGGTAAGTAAAACATTTGATAAATAAAAGATACTAGTTTTATTAGTCGGATGTTTATGTAAGACTAGGTATTCATATATAGTCTTTTTACATTCATATCAACTGCAGATGAATAGACTGGCTTTCTACTTATTAAATTACCATCTGTCACTACTTCATTTTTTTCTTAAAAGCATTTTATAGATATTCTCAGTCTCTCTTATTTTGCCTTAGAACTTATCTGTGGAAAACATATTGCTTGAGATAAGGGACCATCTTTCCCAGTCAAAGGTGATTGAAACAGAACTGGCGAAGCCTTTCTTTGATGCCCTCCTCCGAGTTGCTCTGGGGGACTGCTCAGCAGACTTTGGCCACAGTGAGGCTGTGGCTGAGAAGGTATGGACACAGTTGTCTTGTGCGGGCTGGGCATGACCAGCAGAAGCGGAAGTGTGTGGGGTGGGACTTCGTGGGTGAAGGTGGTTAGAACGGGTGGGCCAGGGTTCGGTGCATTCTATCATCTGGGCTGCAAGTATTTACTCAGCGCCCTACCTTGTGAAAACCAGGAGAGCAACGTGACATGCTTTTCTGCACCCAGTCTGGAATTGACTGGGGATTACTCCCAGTAAGACAGAAATGTGTTACTTGATTTGGTGTGTACATGTAATAACTAGTAGTTTATTAAATAATTCGGGGATGTTTCTGACTCAGGCATCTAATCTATAGTGGTGCAGCTGATATTTCCAGAATACTGTACTCACTCTAATTTTAAATCACTTCACATAAAAATGACTAGTACTTGCAGAGTAAGTAGCAATCATAGTTTTTAGTTGTTCATGTTAATATTGTTTTCTGAAAGAAATATTTAATTTTTTTCCTGAAACCATGATGCATATTTAGTTCATTTCCTTCCTTCTTTTATGTTTATTTTACCTTTAATTAATTGTTATCTGCTCTTCAGCTTTATATAACTTCTTTTTTAATTCCTTAGTCTAGCCATATATGTGACATTTGATTACCTTCTGCCATAATATTTGATGTTGCTGTTTGTCATAACTTAAAAACTTACTGAAATCATCCCTGGCTGGTGTGGCTCAGTGGGTTGAGTGCCAGCCTGTGAATGAAAGAGTAGCCAGTTTGATTCCCAGTCTAGGGCTCATACCTGGGTTACTGGCCAAGTCCCCAGTATGGGGTGCCTAAGGGGCAACACTGATATTTCTCTCCCTCTCTTTCTCCCTCCCTTCCCGTCTCTCTAAAAATAAATAGTAAAATCTTTTTTAAAATCTATTAAAAATAAACCTTACTGAAATCACTATTAATGCCGTCATCATATTACTGAATCAGTAGGTTAACAGAAAAATGTTAAAATACCTACTTTATTCTACCTTTAAATAAAAATGTTGTCTAAAGTAAGGATATTTGTAGATTTTTATTAAAAAGGAAATTTCATGCCACTGGATTTTGCACAGGAAGTTAATGTTGGAACTTTTTTTCTATTATTTTTACTGTTGACACTATTACAGATGCCCCCTTTTCCCCCCACCTGCCCACCTTTACACAGCACCCCCCACCCTTCCCTCTGGCCATCACGTGGTTGTCTGTGTCTGTGGGTTATTCATAATCCCTTCACTTTCTTTCATCCAGCCCCCATCCACCGTCCCCTCTGTTCCATGTGTCCATGCCCTTGTTCCTATTTTGTCAGTTTATTTCATTCATTAGATTCCACATATAAGTGAGATCACATCTGAGTATCCATCTGAGATAGTTGTATATAGATAATTGCATTATGAAATCTTAAACTTAACCCCTTTGAAAAAATTTTATATTCTCTTTGGTTATCTAATTTACAAAATATATAAATATCCTGTGGAAAAATCTTTTTTCATGAACAGATGTATAAAAATAATATATATTTACAAGCATTAAGTCATAAGAAGTAAATTCCACCTTATTGTGTTTTTTGTCATTTCCATTATATAACTAGAATGTAATTTTTAGATTTATTTTTCACTGAAATGGAAATGACCTATAGCTTGTTCTGATAGGGATACCACCCACCCATTTCTGAGGTGTTCATCAAATTGTCTGGGAGATTCTGGAAAATTTTGCTGGGTGAATTTCATAATTTATAATGGTAAAGATCAGTTCATAAGATTTTTTCCTTAAAAAAACAATTTGTTCTTAAAAGGACATGTGCATAATAAATATTACATGACTAAAAATGAGCAAATGTTACAAGTTTTGCCTTTTAATTGCACCAATCTCACAGAGTCATCAGTCTGAAGAAGAATGGTCATCCCAACCCGGAGATTTTCTGGAAGAAGCCGAGGATGCTCAGTGCTGCAGTTTGAAACTTCTGGTTGAAGAAGAAGGTTATGAAGCAGACAGTGAAAGCAACCCTGAGGACAGTGAGGCCCAGGAGGACGGTAAGCATCATGGAAGTGCTTGTGCTTCGCTTTGCCAGTCACATTATTAATGAACAGAACGGCTCATATTAATATTACTTGAGAATTTGTATTGCCTTACAGTTTAAGAAGTCCATTGCATCATCGTTTTGTTGGATCTTCACAGTAAATTCTGACATTCGTATCTGCAATTGAGAACACCAAGGTAGATTTTGTTATCACAGACATTGACCTAAGAATACAGGGGAGGGCAAATCCTTGCTTTCACATACATCCTAGTGAGAAAGACAATAAGTAGCCGATGTAAACAGTCCGAAGAAATAAAACTGGGTGATGTGGTAGTGACTGGGTGACTAGAGGAGGCATCCAAGCATGTTATGTTTACACTGAGGCCTACATAAAAAAGGTCTGTCCAGATAAACACTGAGAGGAAGAGCATCTCATGGCCTTTGTTATCAAAATTAAATAATAGGGAATACAGACATCTTTTTGAGACTCCAGGAATGCTGCAGCATAGGTTTCTTCTCAGTTCATCTGGCCTTGGGATGGAGCCACAGAGCACACAGTCCAGCGTCTCAGGACTCATGCCCTGGGTGGAATGGGAAGAGATGGGCTGACCAGAGCCCAGCATCTCCTTGTAGGCTGACCTTGACTGACCTGGCAGTTTATAGCAGCTCACCTTACCCAAGGTCTATTTTCTCTTCCCGTGGAGCAAATGAGAATAATTCCTCATGTCCTGCTTAATGGGCCTCATGGACCCAGAGCAGGTTTTTTTGTTTTGTTTTTATAAAAAAGACAGTGAAAATAACTAAAAAACAGGCACAGTCCTGACTGGTGTGGCTCAGTGGGATGGGCATTGTCTTGCCAGTTCCATAGGCAGTCAGGCCACGTGCCAGAGCTGTTGGCCAGGTCCCCAGTCTGGGACGCTCAAGAGGCAACTGGTCAATGTTTCTCTCTCTTTCTCTCCCCCTCCCTTCCCCTCTCTCTAACAATCAATAAGTAAAATCTTTTTTAAAAAGTTAAAAAAAACTGCCACAAATTGAAAGAATATATGTGTGTGTGTGTATACAGGGGTGGGAAAGTAGGTGAATAAATAACACAATAATAAATAAATGATAACATAAGCATAAATTGTTTTGTATACTCACAACTGTAAACCTACTTTTGCCAACCCTGTTACATGTATACATACAGCTTACTTGATTTGTTAAACAATTTTTGTTTTTTCCAGTTTTATTGAGATATAATTGACAGACATCAGTGTATAAGCTTAAGTAAGATACACAGCATGATGGTTTGATTTATATATATTGTGAAATGATTACCACAGTGGGTTTAGTTAACATCCATTGTCTCATAGAGATACAATAAAGAGAAAAAAAATTCTCCTTGTGTTGAGAATTCTTAAGGCTTACTCTCTTAACAGCTTTCTGGTATATCATACAGCAATGTTAACTGTGGTTACCACATTGTAAGTTATATCCCTAGTGCTTATTTATTGTGTACGTTTGTGCCTTTTGACCACCTTCCTCCAGTTCCCTCTCCCCAGACACCCCGATTGGTTTAATGGTGTTGGTTTTATCAGAGCACAGACATGATTTTATAATGACAGATCTCCTCTTTTTTATAAGTTTGCTAACTAGATCTTAATTTAAAGAATTCTGACCTAATCAGAAATTTATAAATTTATTAATTATATGAACTGTTTAAGAGTATAATGGTTTCTTTAAGAGCATATAAGTTGAAATTTTTTAATGTAATATTTAATGAGAAAGTGTCTGTTTCCCACTTATGAAGACGGCAAAATATAGAATTTATCCAACCCACACCCAAGCCACATTTTCACAGAGAAATGGGCAAGTACATGAACTGCCCTAAGTCACCCTGTGACTTAGGTGTTTGGGGGTCAGAAAGTTTGGGACAGTATTTCTGTGTGTGTGTGTGTGTGTGTGTGTGTGTGTGTGTGTGTGTGAGAGAGAGAGAGAGAGAGAGAGAGAGAGAGAGAGGAGAGAGGAATGTGCTAAGTCTGTACCACGTGTGCATCAAACTTGCTCTTGATAATATTTGTAGTTCTGTTGAAGATCAAAATTACTTTGAAGGCTACTCATTTATCTTCAAAATATCCATAAGATTTGATTATTCAGGATATGTATCGCAATCAAAAGTTATATTGCAGGAAAAGGTTTTGTGAACATCTTATAAATAGCACTTTTGCCACTGGAACTTTCGAATCATAAATGAGATTTTAAACATTTTGTCAGTGCGTAGGGAATAAATACATTCTTTTCTTTGTCCCTTTCAGGGGTAGACATGAAGCCTGAAGCGGAAGGTCTTACTGTGTCAAGCAGTCCAAGTGACGCACTCGAAAACCTCACTCAAGGGGAGATAATATATCCTGAGATTTGCATGCTGGAGTTAAATTTGCTTTCCACCAGTAAAGCCAAACTTGATGTGCTTGCCCATGTCTTTGAGAGTTTTTTGAAAATCATCCGGCAAAAAGAAAAGAATGTGTTTCTACTCATGCAGCAGGTAAAAGATATATTTCATTGAATGAGATCAATATTTATCTCAGTCATGCCCCAATTACTCATCTCCTTCCTTATAACTGAACTTGTCTGAAAATTATGTGAGACGATTCCTTATCTTCCATAATACTTTAGATGTGTTTTTTAGCTGCAAGTTGTATTCTAAAAATCTGCTAATTCCATAGTTCTCTAAAGGAGCTTAAAAAATTAATGATGTCACTGACCACTAATAATGACTCCTAGCATATTTCTGAGAATGGGTAATATATTTTAAATTGTAATTTAATGTTAACGTATGGCCATTGTTTTGACAAATTAGAAGACAAAAGCAGTGTGAGAAATAAAATGAAAATTGCATGGTTCTACACGTGGCCTTCTTTGTAGTCCTTTTAAACATGTAGATATGTGTGTACAGTAGACTGTCAAGTAATTTATTACATTGCAGTGCTTCATGCTTTCATGAGGTAAGAAGTTTAATTTATTATGTTTTTGTTTTTTAATCTTCAGGGAACTGTGAAAAATCTTTTAGGAGGGTTCTTGAGTATTTTAACACAGACTGATTCTGATTTTCAAGGTGCGTTGAAAATGTTAGTTTTACACAATACTTTTGAAGCGATTTCATTGTGGTATGAAATGAAGGGTGGACAGTAAGGGTTCCCACCGGCATCGTGCCCTCTGGTTTCAAAAGTAGCTTCATATGCCTCATCTCTGTTGTTCCTCAGACCCCCCAGTGCAGTGGACATAGTGTAAGTCCCTTGGTTTTACAGAGAAAGGGACTGGGGGAGTGGTTTGTTGTCAGACGCACAGAGGCGGCCTCTCGAGGACTGTGACCGGGGGTAAGCCCTGTGCGGGACTGCTGCTTCATGGAGGGATGGGGCCCTTTTGTCTCTTCTGCACATGCACAGATGGTCGAGAACTTCCCAATGGACAGACAGTATGATTTCACTGTATATAACATACAGAAACCTACATTGTAGTTGCAGAAACCTACGTTTTAGTTGGAGAATTAAAGTTAACATACAGGAAATGTTCATTTGAGCTTGTCAGATGCTTCCTTGTGATGAATTCAAGCTAAGCATTTTTAGCAGGTGGACCAGAAGTGATGTGCCTTTCTCAGTGCACCGTATCTAAGGGTTCGTGATATCTCTGTCTGGTGGGTGATGCGGTCTTTGATCGCCTTGGCTAAGGTGGTGTCTTGTCAGGTTTCTCCCTCATAAAGTTACTATTTTCTCTTTATAACAGTAAATTTCTTGTGGGAGATAGCTTGAGACAGTGTAAATATCCTTTCTATCATCATACTTTAACCCACTAATTTTAGCATCCATGGGTGATTCTTGACTGAAACCGTTAATACTGTTGTTTGCCAAACAGGAACTTTTTCTAGCATTCCTCTGATGTTTGTTAATTGGGGTTGTAGTCTGAGGAAAAGCTTCCCTTCTCCCCCATTTTCTTATTTAGCATATATTTTTATTTATTGCGCTAGGAACCTAGTGGACCCTTTTGATCTGAAGACATTTCCAGCAGCTTAGCTTTGAGAGATTCTATTTTGTTATCTTTTTAAAAATATTTTATTTCTTTTTAGAGAGAGGAGGAGGGAAGGAGAAAGAGAAGGAGAAAAACATCCTTGTGTGAGAGAAACATTGATCAGTTGCCTCTTGCATGTTCCCAACGAGGGACTAGCCTGCAGCTTAGGCATGCGCCCTGACAGGGAATTGAACTGGCAACTTTTTGGTTGATGGGATGACATCCAATAGGCCCCTGAACCACGCCTGTCAGGGCCTATTTCATTATCCTTTATGAATAGTGTTATTGAGACACAATCACGCGCAGCTCACCCATTCAAAGCACACAGTTCAATGTTTCTCATTGTATTCACTGCCGTGCCATCGTCACAGCCCACATTGGAGCGTTGCGTCACTCCAGGAGAACCCCGCACCCTTGAGTAATCACTCCCTGTTACTCCACAGCCCTCCCACAGGCCCTCCCCTGCCCTTGGCAATCACCAGTCTATTTCCCGTGATAGATTTGCCTATTCTGGATGTTTCATAAGCAACTCGGCCAGACTATACCCTTACACTGACAGCCCTGATGCTAACAGCCCACTACATGTCCCAGCTTTTGCGTGGCAATTCCTTCCATTTCTTTAGAGAAGAGTTAGCAGGTTTGGGGCATAATGGCAAAAGCTGAGCTGTCTGTGCTCCATACTCAGCATCAAGGGGAGGAGTGAATATTCACAGACAGATCTTCCACGAACCCCTGTGTTGCAGCCCCAGTCTTACTTCCTCTCCAGATTTTAGACAGACAGGTTGGCTCTCCACGTCTCTGAGCCCCTCTGTAGTTCAGAGATTCTAGGCTGCAGCTTTCTCTTCTGTCAGCTCTTCCATTTTCCAGAAATAGTTTTAAATTTCTCATCTGATGTGCTCCCAGTGCCTGTTGCCTCTCCCACTTTTTTTTTCTGTTATGAGTTTCTTCCTTTTTTGTAATTTTGTACTTTCAGTTCGGTAAGTTGCCAGTAGTAGACAAAGGCAGATACTCTGTGTGTGTGTGTGTGTGTGTGTGTGTGTGTGTGTGTGTGTGTTCCTTCCCCTATTTTGACTGGAACCTGTCAGTTATGAACTGGAAAACAGAATTAAGCACATATGCTTTGCTTTTATCATTATTTCTTTCTTACTTTCAAACCTTTAATCATTTTAATTGTGGGATAAAGCCTGTGCCATTTGACAGTCTTGTTGCAGGTGCCCTTCCAGATGAATCTATTGGTTTATTGCTTCTACTAAATACATGGCTTCAGCATGGCTTCTGTGCTCAGGCTTCTCAGAGGGTCTATTTTTGTCATGTCTCAAATTGAGATAACATTTAATTTGTAGGATTTTCCTAGGGAGGTGAGGAACAACTGAGATAATGCATGCAAATGTACTTTGAACACTGTACTGTGAGCTACAAATACTAGCTATTAAAAGTTCTATGGTTTCGTGTACAACCAATTATATTTTATGCTAAACCCCACAGTGGAATAAAGATAATGTTCAAACTAATTTGTAATATTTAAGTGTTTTATAATCTTTAATGTTTCTACCTTTATTTGCCATCTAATTGTCTATTTAGAAAGTAAAAATTATAATGGGCATTTTCAAGATAATAAGACTATGTTATGGTACTTAACAGTGTCAACTTAGTAAATACCGTATTAATTTATGCTCCTTTTTAAAAAGATTTTATTTATTTATCTTTTGGAGGGGAAGGGAAGGAGAGAGGGAGAGAAACATCAGTGTATGGTTGCCTCTCATGTGTCCCCTGCTGGGAACTGGTCTGCAACCCAGGCATGTGCCCTGACTGGGAATCGAACCTTGATCCTTTGGCTCGCAGGCCCACGCTAAATCCACTGAGCTATGCCAGCCAGGGCCTAATTTATGCTTCTCTTTAAAAAATTAATTTTAATTGAATTAATTGCGGTGGCATTGGTTAATGAAATTACATAGGTTTTAGGTGTACAATTCTATGATCTATCATCTGTGTATTGTACTGTGTGTCCTCCTCCCCAAGTCAAGTCTCCTTCCATCAGCGTTTGTCCACCTTGACCCTCTTCTGCTTCCACCCGCTCCGTTCCCTCTTTTTTAAAAGAGTTTATTTATTTACTTTTAGCAAGAGGGAAAGGGAAGGAGAAAGGGAGGGAGAGAAACGATGTAAGAAACACCAGTCAGGGCCCCCTTTCCCTCTTGTAACCACTGTACTATTGTGTCTGTGAGGGTTTTTTTTCTTAATCCCTTCACCTTTTTGTGGTTCTTTAAATAATACCTTTACTTGACTTGGAGCTAATCAGTCATTAAGAAAACTGATTTTTGTTGTTTTTTGTCAGTTGGTTAGTTGGTTTGCATTTAATTACGTTGTTATTTCTTCAGCAGATTTTTGTAGTATTAGGTTGTTTGCAATCCATTTAAAATGTGACAGTAGTATTTGATCTTTTTCAGTGAAACTGCTTATTCTGTATTTTTAATTAACTGTATTTGGCTTTAATTTTCCCCTCTATCTTTCTTTAATTTAGCATGCCAGAGAGTATTGGTGGATCTTTTGGTATCTTTGATGAGTTCAAGAACATGTTCAGAAGAACTCACCCTTCTTTTGAGAATATTTCTGGAGAAATCTCCTTGTACAGTAAATATGCTATAATTTAAATTTTTTTTCACTGACTTAATAGAATATTTTTAAAGTACTTAAAAATCATTAAATTGTCTCCTTTGATGTGGTCATTGTTATACAGTCAACTCCATGTTGTTATTTGTGAGCTCCCAGTTACTTTATTATTTGCACATACTTTAGCCATTTCTCTTCTGTTTCGGTTATTCAGACATTTCAGTAAGATCACAGTTCATTTATTCCCAACCCATCCCAGTCTTTTTTGTGCTTGAGAAATGTTACATAATTTTAATTACCAAAGAGAAGTTAATTATGAGTAATTATGAAGAATTGTTTTTTTTAAGAAAATTATTATTCATTCTTTGATTATCTTCTATCACTTCTCCTTTCCATGGTGTAGCTTAGTGACTTTTAGACTTCTCTTTGCCTCAGGATCTATTTTTATAATGAAATAGTGACTCAAAACATAAGCCGATAAAACAAACCTTGGAGCTCCTTTCTTTGAAGCAAGGTTGCTGTTCCTAAGCCCTGCATGTTCGACGGCCTGTGGACCCCGAGGGAGCTCTGAGCTCTGTGGAACACAGGCTTAAAAACCACTCGTGTGGACAGTTGAGAAGTGACTGCATTTATGGAATGTTCTGAGTGCATTTCTCATCGTAATCAACATTAGATGTTATTTTGTGCATGAGTAGGCCATTATACTTAATTGTACTTAAGGTTAATCTTTTTTTAGTGTCTCCTTTGTCATTGCTTTTCCTCTTTTCTACATATTCTACATTTCAGTTTAACTGAAAACTTGCAATTATAAGTAAAACCTAAAAACCTTATTTTAATTTACCAAGCACAGATGAGAAATTTTATTTGACTATGGAAAAGGCATGTCAAAGAAATTGGAAAACAATTGAGCACTCAGTTTTATAAAGCCAGTCATGCTCTGAATATCATTCAGAAGCCTGGAACTTTGGTAAGGTCTCTGGTTCTGTCCCTCACTTAAAAAACTTGAGAGAAGCAACTATAGCCATTTGGAAATAAACATCTATCCTTGTTAGAAATGATTCTTGGTATAATTATTATAATTATACCAAGAACCATTTACCTATACCAATCATTACCTATACCAATTATAGGTAATTATACCTAATATGTGGGGCCAACTCATAACTTTTAGGTTTGCACCATAAAAGCATTTAAATCTAAAATGAAGTAGCCAGAAGAGATTTTAAGATACGGAGTCTCATATTTTATCTGGACTCTACAAAAGGGTGGAAATGTAAAGACACGGCAGATTGGAGGTGTGTGGATAAGAGTGCTGGTACGTGTATGCGTGTGTTTGTAGGTTCATTTGTAACCTGAACTTCAAGATTATTATGTACCTTGTAATGTGATTGCAAAGCTTAGTTTTTCCTTTTTCCTAGGAAATTCTTCTTCTGGGTATTCTGAAAATTGTTGAAAGTGATATTGCCATGAGCCCGTTACAGTATCTGACCTTCCCTTTACCGTACATTCCGAACCCAAGCAGCGGCGCTTCGTCACAAAAGGGTCCTGGGATTCTCAACAGCAAGGCCATGGGGTTGTTGAGAAGAGCGCGCGTTTCGTGGAGCAAGAAGGAGGCAGAGAGTGACACTTTCCCTCAGCAGCTGCTGTCCTCTTGGCACGTGGCCCCGGTGCACTTGCCACTGCCGGGGCAGAACTGCTGGCCACACCTGGCGGAGGGCTTCAGCGTTTCCCTGTGGTTCAGTGTGGAGTGTGTCCGCGAAGCCGAGGGCTCCGCAGAAAAACGGAAGATCAGGAAAAGGAAGAAGTCGTTCACTGTACAGGATGGTGGCTTTGACGGAACAGGTATGAAGGCTGTGTCACCTGTCATTCACAGCCTTTTTGTGCCACAGTCGTGGTCGACCAATGAGAATATAGTGAGTCCTAACCTACTCCTAACGTGTTCTCCTTAAATGCCTTAGTAATGGCAGGTTCCAACTTACCATGGCCCAAGCTGTCAGAAAGCATTGAAAACCCCATTTTCTTCTGTACTTCTCTGCCTTGTGTGTATGTGTGTATGTGCAGATAGGGGGGCACACACCACATATGCAGCTGTTGTGGAGATCACCATCCCCATTTTCTGCCCTTTCGCTGGTCCCGGTACTGGGTTAAGGTGGCTCCTGACCTTAGCCGTGTTTCTGTCCTGCTCTTCCCATCTCCTCTCCCAGTACCCTCCCATCTCCTCTCCCTCTCTTTGCTCAGGCTTGCTTTCTCCAGCTATACCTTACCTCAGCGCCCTCCCTTCTGGTCTCTGTCCCAGAGCATTTGAACACATCAGCAGCACAATAGGTTTGAGTCCAGTCCCTCCGTAATGGGCTGGCTTGTTGTCATGCTGGCATGGAATGGTACCTTGATCCCAACATGACTAGGGCAGCAGGAACTGTTCATCAAGAAGCAGCTGTTGGTGATGAAAGTAAAGCAGGCAGAGAAATCCTTAGGTCATGGAAGTGATGAGGGGACCAGAAGAGACAGACATTTAGGGTCAATGCCTGTGTGGAGGCGCCCCCCCATCCCACTGGAGCCTCTGGGCCGGGACACCAGGCCTTCACCACTGGCTGGTTCCCAGGCTCTCTACACCCACCTGTCACTACGACACTGTAAACGGGGCAGGTTGCTTCCTCATATTTAAGGGGGGGGCCGTCATAATATGAACAGTCTCCTATAAAATGAATAAATATGCCCAATGGCCTGACACAAGTAGGTAATGGGAAAACTTTTAAAATTTTTATGATAGAAGTAGAACACATTTTAGAAAGATGATTTTACATAAGCATTTTAAAAGAACATTTAAAAATAGTAACATTAAAATGTCAAAGAGAGAAAATATTATTACAGTGATGATACCTCCTTTGCTAATAAACCAGCTGTGTGCCACTGAGTACCTCAGTTCTGTCACCTCAAAATGGGGACAGTGCTTACCTCATTAGGCTGCTGTGAACATTCAATTGAGAAATATGTGTAATAGTCCTATTCTACAAATCCTGGGTTCACACTGGTTTTTGTTCTAGTCTTTGCACCAATTCAGATTTGTTATGGGAACTATTTTTAATATCACACCAGGTATGAGTGTGTCTCGGGCATCAGTTGTCAGAATAATCAATGAATTTAACTCTTTTTTAAGACCACTGTCATTGCTAGGGGGAGTGTTTTTAAAGATTGGTGGTGCCTACGCCTGTTGAAAAATGACAAGTATGTATGCAATCTAGTAAGTGCAGTGTTTGTCCTCTTTAAAAGTCTGAGCCTTTGGACATGCATTTTTCATTCCAGTACATCTTAATTAACATGGCTTTACATAGAGTCACGCATCATGGTCATAGGTAGATGGATGGCTTGAGGATTCAGCTCATCATACCATTCGGTCAGTGCTGGTTTATAAGCGGTGAGAAAGAGAAGTCGGCATGGAAACCAGGCAGCCCAAAGCATACAGCTACTTTAGTTTGCTCTCGAGAAACTGTTTAGAGTTTCAGAAACACTTAGCAGTTGCACTCTGAGGTCACTCATCAGGGAATATATTCAAACACAATATTTCTAAAAGGAATTTTAATATGCTCCATTATAAAAAATCATGCTGTCATAATGATTGTAGGATGGTCTCAGCAGTGCAGGGCCTGTGACCATCGTGTGTGCCGCCCTGGGCTGAGGTCCCTGTTGTCAGAGTGGCCCAGTCCAGTCAGTGACAGAACCATGGCACAGATTATGATAGTTCATTGCAGTGACATCACAGTGGGTCTGTTCCTGCCTCCAATTAGTCCTCAGTTATCATGCATTTTAAAACACTCAAATTGAGTTTAATACACTCAGTTACTGTTTTTGCTCCTGGTGCTTTTTGGAGTTCATTAACTTGTAAACTTTGGAAATACTGTTGTTTGGAACAGGGCAGGTTGAGACATTCTGGGTAAATTACTACAAATGAACAACCATGCTTTTCACTCGGTTTTTATCAACTGCTTTACTGATCATTCTAACATCTTTTATCATAGAGAACAGCAGGCCAGAAGGTACAGAGTGCATAAGCCCTGGTGAAAGACTTGTAGAGGAAGGCTGCATCCACATGGTTTCATTGGGATCCAGATCGCTGATGATCCAAGTGTGGGCCGACCCCCACACTGGCACGTTCACCTTTCGGTACTGATTATCCTGATCCCCACAAGTAGATCATGTGTTTAAATAGTTTATGTAAGAGACGTAAGTGTGAAATCTGCTAATAGAGATCGTTGCAGCAAAAAAGCAGTCTTACTTAAAAGTGGGATGCATTCTAACAGTTATTAATACCACCTTTGTAATTAATACCACCTTTGTAACAGTATACTCTATCTGAAAATCTATAATTAAACTCTGAACTAGATTGTTAATTCTCAATCAGATTTGAGACCAAATACTTACTGAAGTCCTATCTAAGGACATATTCTATCAGGGTGCAGTGATCTTAAGATGTTGTTAATGTCAGATAGCTGTTTTCCATATGGAGATTATATATTTAATAGCCATTATCTAGTAAGCTTAAGATCTCCTTGCTGTCTTGTCCCCTTTTTTTTCTGCCTCCTTTGTTAACTAGTTTAGATACAAGTCTTTTATTTGTATTGGGTGAGTATGAATAGTATGAGAATATTTTTATAAAACTTAAAAGTAAGTAAAAAATGTTATTTAGAGATATATGCTTTGTAAGGTTCATAAAGGTTACTAGGTACAGTACAGATATTACATCCTAATTCTCTTAGCAATTCTGCAAAGTAGGTCAGACCTCCAGCACATCCCGGAATTTAGACATTTATGCACAATATGTATTAATTTTCATATGAACCAAATATTACATTGTAATTTCTAAAAGGGCAATGACTATAAATAGTAATGATATATTTTTTTGCAAATTGAATTCTGAAAATTTTTTGTCTAAATTATTAACATTAGCAAATGAACCTAATCTATTTTAGTTCATGAATTGAGGCAATCATAACAAAATAACCAAAGCAGATGTGGTGTGAAACAAAGACCTCTTAATTTTTCAAGTTAGCCTAAAAACAGGACCGATTTATAATCTCACTGAAATACCTGCAGTTCCAGTTGCCATGCACACATTAAATGCTGAGATCTGAAATTCCATATTTTCAGCCTCTGCCTTTTCTCTCCTTGTGCAGTATGTGTGTGGACTCAAATGACGACACGAAAGCTGTTCTCCTAGCGCAAGCAGAATCACAGGAGAATGTGTTCCTGCCAAGCAAGTGGCAACATTTAGTACTCACCTACTTACAGCAGCCCCAAGGGAAAAAGAATATTCATGGGGAAATCTCCATGTGGGTCTCTGGACAGAGGTATGCAACATTTTGAATAAATACCTATTAACCTCAGTTACGAGTTTAAGGGTAGTGTGTTATAGCTTTAAAACACATTGCAAGAAACTATGGATTAAAAAAAAAGAAACAATGGATAAAATTTTCTACATGTTAACATAGGAACCTAGGTCAGAGTTAGATTTTTTTCCTGTTTATCACTTCTATACAAAATTAATTTCCCATAGAAGTAACTGTTGAAAATTAATATTTGGGTTTGGGGGAGCAATATAGAAATCTGGACATCTAGACATTTATATGGGATATCTATTAGATCAGGGAACTATAATTTGGTCCTTCAACCCATATATTATATAATTAAACCAGAAGGGTTATTTAAATTAACTGACTAATAAGGCTTAATACCTAAATTAAAATCAGGGATTTAAAAGAATTAGAATGACTGGAGAAAAAGATACGCTGATGTATCAGCTGCTAGATTAAGACAGTGCCCTGGAAACATACTGGGTGACAGATTCAGGTGCAGGAAATACTATAGGAGTTTTACCGGCCAGAGAATCATGGGTCAAGTTAATAAGAAACATTTTCTGGAATATCTTAATGGAAAATGAACCCCGAGAAAGCTACAAGGTATCTAGGATTTGTAAGAATTGGGAAGTGTTTTATTGAATGGAATACCATGAAATGGGGATACAGCATTGGAAACTAGTGTGGTCAGGGAAAGGGCTGTGCCAGCTGGCAGGAAGAGCCTAAGTTGGATAATGTGAAGGAGAAGTGAGAGGGCATGACAAAGCCACCTGACTGCCGTGATGGGGAGTCTGGTTTTAATTGAATGGACCATGAAACATCACATACCTGTTGTTTTGCAGAACTTTTGCTAGGTACTTCATATACGTTATCTCACAATTCTCTCAAAAGTCCCTCCAAGTAGATTGGACCACAGAAATAAATAATATACCTTGAGCACAAATTAACCTCTTTTTATTCATTCATTTGTTCATCCAGCATGTATTTATTGAGGAATTACTATGTGCGTGCCAAGCACATGGTCATTTAGAGTGGGGGGAATACATACAAATTGTGCCAAAACACCGTGAAGGTAACAAACAGGTCCTGAGACAGAAAATATCAGGTCTGCTACTTCAGAGAGGTAGATAAGGGAGGCCTTCCCAGGAACAGATTATTCAGGCTGACAGTGGAAGAGGTGTCATGAGCAGGAGGGAAGCCAAGTGGGCTCTTCCTCCTCATTTCTTGAACTCTCAACTTGTACCTGACGGCCTTCTTTAGTCCTTGCATCAGCACTGTGAAGTAGGTGTATTGTTATCTCTGTTTAACCCGGGAGGCACCCGAGACCCAGAGCGGGGAGCGTCTGTGACCCAAAGTCGGGGCACCAACAAGGGTGCAGCTGAAAGCTGAACCTAGACCCAGACCCTAGCCAGCGCCCACATGTGGGAACCCAGGTCTGGCTGCTCGACAGCCAGTTTTTGACTCAGGCTAGCTGACAGGTAGTGTTCAGAGTGAGAGTTAGATGTCCACTATGGGCATTTCTGAGGTTAGTGAGCATAGTCACTTGATTCACATGCCGCCACTTTTTACCTAGCCACATATTTCTACATTACTTTGAAGAAAATTTTATGCCATTTGATACAAGTTAATGATTGCATCTGTTAATAGAGCAATGAGCAAGTGACCAAGGACAAATATGTTATTCCATTGATTGAAATTTGGCACTTTATCACTTTCAGAATAGAATAATTTCTACAGATTAATACATTTAAGAGGTCATTTTAGTAATACACAGTGACACTGAAAAACAACTTAATATTTTTCTTTTAATTTTTATTTGACGAGCTTCACACAAATTGTATAGGAATATGTGGTACATAGTAGATACTTAATATTTTTCGAATTCATCTTTTATTGATCACGCAATAAGGTTTCTTTACCCTTTAAAACTATATTGTCATACTGCCACCAGGTGTCAGTAGTGTTTCAGTCATAGCCATTTATTTGGTTCAAGAAAGATGCATGTAAGGGAAAAGTCATCTCTAATGTGTGTCATTTAAACCTTGATTTAAAAAGGTAGTTATCTCACATATTTTCTTCATTAAACTATTTCTCTAACTTCCAGCTAAGATGGAGGTGTAGGTAGATACACTTTGCCTCCTCACACAACCAAAAGAGCACAACAACAAATTTAAAAATAAAAACACAGCCAGAACTGCCAGACAGTCAAACTGCGTGGAAGTCTGACAACCAAGAAGTTAAAGAAGAAACATCCATCCAGGTAGCGGCTGGAGGACTGGGGCAGGCAAGGCAGCAACTGGCACAGTGGTCAAGGCGGCAGCTGGCGAACCAGACAAGGTGGTGGCTGGCAGACTGGGTGGTCCCACGTTCACGAGCAGATAAACCAGGAGGAACAACAGGAGAGCGAGACGGACCATGCAACCCAGGGCTCCAGTATGGGGAAATAAAGCCTTGAACCTCTGACTGAAAAAAACCTATGGGGGGTGAGGCAGCAGCAGGAGAAACCCCTAGCCTCACAAGAGAGTTCATTGGAGAGACCCACAAGGTCCTAGAACATACACAATACCTACATGGGATTCAGCACCAGAGGGGCCCAATATGTTTGTGGGAAGCGGGGGAAGTAACTGAAATCCGGCAGAGAGTAGAGCAAGAGGCATTGTTCCCTCGCAGACACCTCTCTGACAGACAGTGCCACAGCGCAGCTGGGTTGCCCCGCCCTGGTGAATACCTAAGGCTCCACCCCCTAGCAGGTACATGGAGATAAAAAAACTGTGGCCCAAATGAAAGAATAGAGCAAGGCTCCAGAAAAAATACAACTAAGCAATTAAGAGATAGCCAACCTCTCAGATGCAGAGTTCAAAACAGTAGTAATGAGAATGCTCACAGAAATGGTTGCGTATGGTCGCAAAATAGAGGGAAAAGTGAAGGCTATGTGAAATGAAATAAAATGTACAGGGAATCAACAGTGACAGGAAGGAAACTAGGACTCAAATCAACAGGAGCACAAGGAAGAAATAAACATTCAACCAGAACAGAATGAAGAAACCATTCAAAAAAATGAGGAGAGGCTTAGGAACCTCTGGGAAAACTTTAAACATTCCAATGTTTAAATCATTGAGGTGCCAGAAGGGGAAGAGGAAGACCAAGAAATCGAAAACTTACTTGAAAAAATAATGAAGCAGAACTTCTGACAAGCAGAATAGACTTCCAGGAAGTCCAGGAAGCCCAGAGAGTCCCAAAGAAGTTGGACCCAAGGAAGCAAACAGCAAGGCACATCTTAATTAAATTACACAAGAATAAAGATAAGGAGAGAATCTTAAAAGCAGCAAGAGAAAAGGAGACAGTTACCTACACAGGAGTTCCCATAAGACTCTCAGCTGATTTCTCAAAAGAAACCTTGTAGGCAAGAAGGGGCTGGAAAGAAGTATTTGAAGTCATGAAAGGCTTACATCCAAGATAACTGTATCCAGCAAAGCTTTCATTTAGAATGGAAGGGCAGATAAAGTGCTTCCCAGGTAAGGTCAAGTTAAGGGAGTTCATCATCACCAAGCCCTTATTATTATATGAAATGTTAAAGCTCAATTTAAAAAGGAGATGTGTTGGTAAAAGTAGGGGGAGATGGTTGGGTTTTGTCTGTAAACCAGGAAGGTGCATATGCAGAGGTCAAATGGCAAAGAAAACTGTAGAAAACCTTCCATGGCCCCATGTTACATCTTTGGCATCTCTGTTCAGCTCCCCAGCTTCTGGGGCTGGGCATAGCCAGTACCCCAGACCAAGACCACAGAACCAGTTCTCCTCATACCAACTGTTTGATACTAAAACTAGATAGAGTGTTGTTCAAGAATTCCTCACTATTAAACATTCGTGCTTTAAAAATACTTAGTGCTTAGTTCTCACTGACATAATTGACTTAACTTTGGTTTTAATGTAGGAAACCTGATGTTACTTTGGATTTTATGCTTCCAAGAAAAACAAGTTTGTCATCTGAAAGCAATAAAACATTTTGCATGATCGGCCATTGTTTATCTTCCCAAGAAGAGTTTTTGCAGTTGGCTGGAAAGTGGGACCTGGGAAATTTACTCCTCTTCAATGGTATATTTTTCTGCTTAAACTAAGTAAATTATCCTGGATAAAATATTAATTCCTATTTCTTTACTTGTACTTAATAAGTACCATGCTTTCTAGATTTCAAGATGACTTTTTAAGTATTTTAGCGTTTTTATAATCTAGATGTTTCTTATAATTGATATATACACTTAATGCTGCAGCACACTTCCTACCCTCACTTTCCCAAAGAAAAGCTCATACTAAATCAGTTTTATTTTGTGATCCTGAAAGAGGCAGTATCATGACAACTAAACTTAGAATCATTGTCTCTTTTATTTGTAATTTCAGCATAGTCTATAAAAATACCAAAATTTAGGAAAAGGGAAACAATATTTAAAAAAATACATCACTAAACCTGTCAGTAGCACTCAGACAGTGTTTATTAAATAGATGGATAGGTGGAAGGAGTAAAGATACCAAGTCACATTTCATTTCAAAAAAGAATTTACTGAGGTCCACTTTCCATTTGTTGAAAAATAAAGGAAAACCAAAAAACCCTGTTTTTTAGTTTAAGGAGCAAGTAGAAAGAAACTTCATGACTTTATTTTATCAGAAGCTATTGTAAGAATATATACATATATATAAATTCATCTTCTGTCAAATTGGAAATTGGTGCTTTAATCCATTTTGTAAGATAGAGTGAACAACTAAAAGAATCTGGCATAAAAATGTACAGGACTCTAATTTGTTATGATCAAATTGGTTTCTTGCTTTTTGTCAAAAGATCTTGTTGGAACGGTTTAAATAAGTAACTATTTTTCTGCTATTCAGGAGCTAAGATTGGTTCACAAGAGGCCTTTTACCTGTATGCTTGCGGACCCAACCACACCTCTGTAATGCCATGTAAATATGGCAAGCCTGTGAACGACTACTCCAAATATATCAGTAAAGAAATTCTTCAGTGTGAACAAATTCGAGAACTTTTTATGACCAGCAAAGATGTGGACATTGGTCTCTTAATTGTAAGTTTTCACTTTATGTTTAATTTCATATGTATGTTTAACATAGATATATGTGTTTCTTGAATATGTAATTAGCTATGAATTAGATTTCCACTCTTCCTTTTTTTCATTTCTCGATGTTTTCTCTCCTCAGAATATGTTTTTTTTTCTGGGGAAAAAAATACTTTGACTTCAGAATTTGTTCCCAGGTTTCAAATTTTCTTTCCCTTTTCCTTGAAACTATATTTGTTTAATAAGTATCAATTTAGTTTATACCTATCAATCACTTATGAAAAGTGTTTATGATATAGTGAAAATATAATACATTAGCCTAAAAAATACTGCTCACTATATTTTCTTTCCTTACTTAATAACAAATGCTAGGTTTTATGTTAGTTTTAATTACATATATTGAGATTTTAGAATTTTTTAAATTTTCTTTTCTCTATTTATTTTATTTATTTATTTTTAGAGAGAGGGGAGGGAAGGGAGAAAGAGAGGGAGAGAAACATCAATGTGTGGTTGCCTCTCACATGGCCCCCACTAGGGACCTGGCCTGGAACCCAGGAATATGCCTTGACTGGGAATCAAACTGACGACCCTTTGGTTCGCAGTTTGTGCTCAATCCACTGAGCCACACCAGCCAGGGCTAGAATATTTATTCTTTAATATCAGTAATAACTGAGGGAATAATTTCTGTGTTTCAGGAAAGCCTTTCCATTGTTTACACAACATGCTCTCCTGCTCAGTATACCATCTATGAGCCAGTGATTAGACTCAAAGGCCAAGTGAAAGCCCAGCTCTCTCAAAGACCCTTCAGCTCAAAAGACGTTCAGAGTGTCTCATTGGAACTTCATCATCTAAGGAATCTCCGACCCACTGAATGTAAAACTCTCCAAGGCATTCTGCACGAGATTGGGGGAACTGCGATATTTGTTTTTCTCTTTGCTAGGGTAAGATGATAATTCTGTCTACAGAGAAACTTTTATTTATTGACAAATTTTAGGATTTCTTTTTTATTATGAAAAAGGTATGTATCAACTGTATTAAACTTTTAAGATTAAAAAATCATATTATTTAAGGTGTCATCAAGCTTTCTGACACAGGTGGTTTCTTTTAATTCAAGAAGATTTCAGAAGTTTTCTTTTTGCCCAAAAGGTAGTTAGGACAATTAAATGTTAAATTATAAGATTAAAATGGCCTATGAGAAAAAAAATGCATGCTGCAGCGACAATATAGAAGAAATGTATTCTTCAAAATAAGGTTTTGTGAAACTTGTTTTTCCCTTGAAGCTTCCAGTTGTATGGGAAAAAAACAAGGGTCAACAAATAAGTACAAAAAATAATTGAATGTATTTGGGTTTGAAGTTGTTTTTTTCCTTAAAGAGAAGGAGAAATTTAAGAAGTTGGACGTGTGCTGTGAGTACTGTGTGAGGAAAAATTGTTTCATTACCTGTTCCACTGACCCACCTGAGGGCAGGGAGAGTACCTTTCCTGGCGTGGTTGGGTAGTCATTGGCATGCAGTGACCACTTTAGGGCTGGCTGAAAGCTAAAGTGGGGGGCACAGATGTGCTGGCTTTGGCGTGACCCACCTTGACATCCTGGACAAGCGTGTCCCTGTTTGGCTAGAGCAGCCCTGAGCGTCTCTCATCTTCACCATCTCATCCCTAGTTATAACTTCTGCAGCATCATCAAATTTTCAGTGTGCCTGTCTGGCTTTCTCTCTTCAGTGGAGCCGTTTTTTATTAACTCTGCAATAAGGGACATGTCAGTGTTTGTTGCTATTGTTACTGTTCTGATAAATACTTTGTTAGCGTTTGGCTCAACATACCCTCAGCTGTCCTTTTTCCCCCTCCTCTGCCTTCTTCAAACTTCTTGGCATTAAATATCTAGTTGAAGATTCCTTAGAAGGTGTTTTAAAAGTAAAAGTTCTTTATTTAACTCCTCATCATTTTGTGATCTACTTTTATAGCTTGTATAATTTCAAGATGTACATCCTTAGTTTTTCCTCTCTCGTCAAGTTATTGAATGTAAATTTGTTATGATTGCTGCTACTCAGTGACTAGATCCTTAGAGAAAGTGGTTAATTTCTATCTCACATATGTTTAAGATTTTTTTAAAGATTTACTTATCTTTAATCTTTAGAGGGGAATGGAAGGAGAGAGGGAGACAAATATCAATGTATGGTTGCCTCTTGTACATCTCCTGCTGGGGACTGGCCTGCAAACCAGGCATGAGCCCTGACTGAGAATCAGACCGCGATCCTCTGGTTCACAGGCCTGCACTCAATCCACTCTGCTACACCAGCCAGGGCTATTTAAGATTTTTAAAGTATATTTTCACATTTAAAACTTAGAAACCCTATGCGGTATCTTTCCTCCTCCCGTATAAAAATGAAAGTCACTCTCTTTAAAATCCTTCCTGCATAGCCCACCTTTTGAGCCTAATCTCCACTATTTAGTCAGATCAGCAACCTAGGAGCTTCTAGTTTTAGACCTTTGCCCCTCCTTCGGACTGTCCTCCGGCCCTAGCCACCCACCCACCCACCCACCCACCCGCTCCTGCTTCCGCAGACTCCACTCTTCCCAGCCATCTTCTCCAGCTTGTGCTTCCCTAACCCAGGTGGAGTGGGCTCAGCAGTCTCTGCCCTCAAGGAATTGGCAGCGTCTCATTCTTCTTTTGCCTTTTATCACAGGAGGGTGTGTGTTTCTCACATACAGTAGCTGTGACAATGTGTTGGCTGAATGAACAGACAAGACCTCATGGATGGCTGTTGTGAATGTCCTGTTAGACTGGACAGTGTGCCCACTGGGGCAGGTGTCCTGCCTTTTTATCCCCACAGCAGGGACCAGAGCCCATCTGTTGCTTGACCCATCAGCAGAAATGTCAGGCATTTCACTGACATTTCAGATCACTAATAAAATGATACTGACTTCTAAGGTTGTTAATGTTGTTTTAGTTCACTTACAGTATATTTTAGAGGCTAAAGAGCATGGAATTTGTGTCAGTTTTGTTTATAATTCTTAAATAATTACAAAATGTGAGCAGTAAAAAATAAACTTTCAAATGAAACTGCTGAATTAATTATATAATGGTAGATAATCGCATGTTAAATTTTTACTCTCAACAAACCAGAAAAAAAAATCTTTTCTTTCTTAGGTTGTGGAACTCAGTAGCTGTGAAGAAACTCAAGCGTTGGCCCTGAGAGTCATACTCTTATTAATTAAATATAACCAACAGAGAGTGCATGAACTAGAAAATTGTAATGGGCTTTCCATGATTCATCAGGTGTTGATCAGACAAAAATGCACTGTGGGCTTTCACGTTTTGCAGGTATGTCCTTACAAAGCTCACTCACAGCTCCGTGTGCAGTGACACCTCTCCCCTTGTTACAGTCTTCCAGTCACAGAGCCTGTGCCCCCTGTTCCTGAAGAACGAGGGGATCGCAGCAGCGTAAATTTAACCAAGCTGAGGGGCTCTTCCGTTTTTATCATTTAAATAATCGCGTTTTTATTTCATTTAAAACACTTTAAGAGAAAAAACAAGGGCATAGAATTCTAGGTCTACATGAGCCCAGAGACCTGTACTCTACTGGCCCCTCATCCTCTGGATAATGGAACTGAGACCCTTAGAGAGGCCGTTGTCGCTTCCGCTTCACAGTCTCCAGACACCTGGTGCTGCGCATTTCCACGAGGTCGCACTGCTGTGCAGTCAGTGTTTGAAAGCCATCTGAGCTCTTTTTATGATCCAGCTGTCATCAGAGAGTTAATGCCTTTCTAGCCAAAAGCAGTAACGTTGCGAGAGTATTTGTCCAGAGAGGTCCAGTGCTAAAGCAAAAGACTCCACTGCTGCCTGTGCCCCACCCCAAACACCTCACATTGTCGAGTTGGAAACACTTGCCCTGTGAATCCTTACCACTTCCTGGAAAAGGTTCTGGAGCCTAACAGACTAACTGCACTTAAAAAATAAAAACAGAACCTGGCTTATTTTACCTCATGTTTGAAACTGAGTAATCATGTACAAATACTTGGAAGTTTGTGGTTTTCTAATTATTTGAATTGTTTTGCCCAGCAAATTAAAGATGCTTTGTGAAATTTTGAATTATTCACCAGCTTTCCTTTGAATTTAATGTTATGATTGCTAAGATTGAAAGCTTAGTGTTTCTGCTGATTTCGGGATTAATCGATTGTCAATGCATCCTGTGTTGATGTTAATTTTCTATAGACCCTTCTCGAAGGTTGCTGTGGTGAAGATATTCTCCATATCAGCGAGAATGGAGAGTTTAAACTAGATATGGACTCTAAAGCTATAATCCAAGATGTTAAACTGCTCGAGGAGTTATTGCTTGACTGGAAGATATGGAACAAAGCAGAGGCACGTACTGTTTTTATGGTAAAAAACACATGACATAGGTTCACCCTCTAACGCTTTTTCAGTGTTCGGTAGAGTGCTGACTGAACACACGTTGCTGCACAGCGCATCTCTAGAACCCCTCCTGTTGCCCGGCTGAGACTGTGCCCGCTGCGCAGTAGCTCCCGGTCCTCCCTTTGCCAGCCCCTGCAGCCCACCTTCTGCTTTCTGTTTCTGTGAGTTTGGTTACTGTAGGTGCTTCCTTTCAGAGGAATCAGCATTTGTCTTTTCGTGACTGCCTTGTCTCACTTAGCATGTGTCCTCAAGGTTTATCTATGTCATAGCGTATGACCAAATTTCTTTCTTTTATAAGACTGAAAAATGTTCCAAGATATATATATAAACCGCATTATCTTTATCCATTCATCTGTTGATGGACATTTGGGTTGCTCCCATATTTTGGCTATTGTGAATAATGTTGCAGTGAACATGAGTGTGCAAATGTCTCTTCAAGATCCCGTTTTCAGTTCTTTTGAGCATGCATCCCCAGAAGCAGGATTGCCGAATCATGCAGTGGTTCTGTCTTTAATTCGTTGAGGAACCTCCATACTATTTTCTGTCAAGCCACACCATGTCACCACGCCACGAACAATGTGTAAGGATTCAGATTTATCTGCATCCTCACTAACAATTGTTATTTTCTGCTTTGGTTTTCTTTTTCTTTTTCTTTTTTGATAGTGGCCATTCTTTTGGATATGAGGTGACATCTTCTTGTGGTTTTGGTTTGCATTTCCCTAATGATTAGTGATGATTAGCATCTTTTCATGTACCTGTTGGCCATTTACATATCTCCTTTGTAAAGACGTCCAAGTTCTTTGGCCTTTTTTAAATTGGATTATTTGATTTTTTGGTTATTGGGTTTTAGGAGCTTTTTATACATTTTGGATATTAATCCCTTATCTGATACATGGCTGTCAAATATTTTCTCCTATTGCTTTTGCTGCACAGAGAGCCATGTACTTTTAAATACTCATCTAAATCTTCTTCTGGACAACAGAACAGATTATTGCTCATTATTAATTGTCAGTGGAAATGTGGAGATTATTTTCCATGCAAGTTTTTGAGCAGCCATGAGTAATGCTGAACCAGAATCAGAATGCAGGCTGGAGAATAAGGGGCACATGCGAGTCAGTTGGAGACTTGTGTTTACCAGAAACTCTGAAAGGGGATCCTGCTAAGAGACTGGGAATCAGGCCAGGAGAGGGAAATGGATGCGGGTGTGAGTGGTGGAGCCATGTTGCCCAGGAGGCGTAGAGCTGTATGAGGGTATGTAGGGCAGGGCTGTGATCTTGGCTTCCTCACAGGCATGAGCTGAGGAGCGAGGTTTGATCAGCTCTGGGCATGGCCTCCCGACAACGGGATGGATGGCCTGGCCTTCATGAGGACCCAGCCAGGGAATGAACACAGCGCTATTTCCTTCCTGCCCAGGTTTTAAACCATCTTCTCAGTATGGGCTCATACAGACTGCTTTGTTCTAGTGTAGAATGTAGATTGTCTGGACTTAGACTATAAAAACATTATCAAACATAATTAAGTAAAGGCCAGTTTAAAATGTATACCTTTAGAATTTTCAAAGAAATGTTTGCTCCCAAATTTGGCATCAGTAAAAAAAATGTACTCATTATCAATGAGTTGTGATGCTAAAAGAAAGTTTGCTAATCTATCATTAATAAAAATAAATTTTGATCAAATATGTTAGAGAAAAGATAGAATTATTTTTCTATTCTTTCTATAGAAAATTCTATTATAAATGTGCTGTTATATGAAGAGGCAATCAAAGAGCATGCAGCCACAAGACACAGGGGAAAGTATTGGAGAGGTGTGTCAAGCAGCTAGCTACACCATTGCTGTTTTGAATTTTACTTGTCACATTTTAAAACTTTGCAATTTGTTGTGATTTCCCATCTGAATAAATACTTTCATAATAAAAAGCCTACATATGTATGTACATATATATATGTATATACATACGAATGTGTAATGTTTTAAGAAGAGAAAGCAAATGAATATAATTATAGCACAATAAACAAACTGGATCAGAGGCAGCATAAGTATAAACATACAATGAGGAATGAGCTTAATTGTAGATTGGAAATCAAACCTAATAAATGTTGGACAGTTGGTTTAGTATTTTAAAGAAGGATGCTAATTTGGGATGGTTTGATAAAAAAACTAAATGTTTTTACTGAATTTAGAAGTTACACAAATACTTCTGTGGGTCTTAAATAAGGTTTCTTCCCTGGTTTTAATTGAGTTTGTTTTTTTTGTTGTTGTCATTATTGTCAGTGTTTGCTTACTTTAGCCCTACCATTAGGTGCTGTTTCCAAACCTGAATCGAGTTTTCTTACTTGGATTGCCCTGTGTTCCAGTTTTTATGCCACCTTTTTAGGGCATCTTGGCCTCATCTTATGAAGAGAGAGGCTGTCATTAGGATAGTAGAACAGTGTGATTAAACTATCAATTCCTTGGCCCTTCATTGTCCATTCTGACCAGCTAATGGCAGCAGAGAATTCTGTTATTTGGGCTTAGAAATAAATTATCCCCAAAATGCATAATTTTCACAATGTCAGTGTTTTTTATTCTATTTAGTACAAATTCTAAAATCACTTGATTAAATGCTGTAAACACAAATGAACATTTAAGTGTATACATTGTTAGTGATGCTTTTTGAAAATAAATTGTCAACAATTATATTAAAAAGGTATGTTTCTCTGTACTGAATAAATTTCAAGATAATTCATTTTTAAATGTATTTTATTGATTATGCCATTACAGTTGTTCTATCCCCCTGTTCACTCCCCTCCACCCTGCACACCCCTCCCACCCACATTCCCCACTTTAGTTCATGTCCATGTGTCATAAGTTCTTTAGCTTCTACATTTCCCACACTACTCTTGCCTTCCCCCTATTTTCTCCACTGTCTATGCTACTTATTCTCTGTACCTAATCCCCCCTCTTCCTCCTGCTCCCCTGTTGCTAACCTTCCATGTGATCTCCATTTCTGTGGCTCCGCTCCTGTTTTAGGTGTCTGCTTAGTTTGCTTTTGTTTTAGGTGTGGTTGTTAATAACTGTGAGTTTGCTGTCCTTTCACTGTTCATCTTTTTTAACTTCTTTTTCTTAGATAAGTCCCTTTAACATTTCATATAATAATGGCTTGGTGATGATGAACTCCTTGAATTTGATCTTATCTGAGAAGCACTTTATCTGCCCTTCCATTCTAAATGAAAGCTTTGATGGATAGAGCAATCTTGGATGTAGGTCTTTAGATTTCATGACTTGGAATACTTCTTTCCAGCCCCTTCTTGCCTGTAAGGTCTCTTTTGAGAAATCTGCTGACAATCTGATGGGAAGTCCTTTGTAGGTGACAGTCCCCTTATCTCTTGCTGCTTCTAGGATTCTCTCCTTCATTTTAATCTTGGCTAATGTAATTATGATGTGCCTTGGTGTGTTCCTCTTTGGGTCTACCTTCTTTGGGACTCTCTGAGCTTCCTGGATTTCCTGGAAGTCTATTTCCTTTGCCAGCTTGGGGAAGTTCTCCTTTATTATTTGTTCAGATAAGTTTTCCAGTTGTGGCTGTTCCTCTTCCCCTTCTGGTACCCCTATAATTTGGATGTTAGAACATTTAAAGATGTCCTGGAGGTTCCTAAGCCTCTCCTCATTTTTTGAATTCTTGTTTCTTCATTCTATTGTTTGTTTGTTTCTTTCTTCCTTCTGGTCCACTCCATTAATTTTAGTCCCAGTTTTCTTCCCATCACTATTGGTTCCCTGTGCATTTTCCTTCATTTCACTTAGTATAGCCTTCATTTTTTCATCTAATTTGCAGCCAAAATCAACCAGTTCTGTGAGCATCCTGATCACCAGTGTTTTGAACTATGCATTTGATGGATTGGCTATCTCTTGATTGCTTAAAAGTATTGGCTTGGGGGTTTTGATTTGTTCTTCTGATTGAGCCATTTTTAGTCAGGTTGCACATGTTATGTATGAGGGGTGGAACCTTAGGTGTTCACCAGGGCTGGGAAACCCACAGCACTGGGTTGTGACACTGTATGTGGTGGCGGGGTCAGAAAGGGAACAATGGCTCTTATTCCAGCTCTCTCAGATTTTGGTCCCCTCTGCTGCTTCCCACAGCAAATTGGGCCCTTCTGGTGCTGGTTCCCAGGTGGGTGGGCCTGTGTACGTTCTAGGACCCTGTGGGTCTCTCCAATAAACTTTCCTGTGAGGCTGGGAGCCTCTCCCAGCACCTGGACCCCCGAAAGTTTTTCAGTCAGTGCTTTTAGGCTTTATTTCCCATCGCTGGGGCCCTGGGTTGTGTGGTCTGTCTCACTGCCGGATTTTGCCTGGTTTATCTGTGCGCGAATATGTGTCCACAGTCAGCCAACCACCTTGCGTGTCTCACTGGGTTTCCTCGATTTGTCCCTGCAACTGGGTCTGCCAACCACCACCTTTTCCTGCCAGGATCCCTCTCCACCGGTCCCCGACTCCACCCCTCTTACTGTTCTGGATGAATGGTTCGTTGTTGTCAGACTTCAGTATAGTTCAATTTTCTGTCTGTTCTGGTTGTGTTTTTGTTTCTAAGTCTTTGTTGCCCTTAAATTTGATTGTGCGAGGAGGTACAATGTCTCCACCTACGCCTCCATCTTGGCCAGAAGATATAATTCACTTTTTGAAAATACTATCCATCATCTAATACCACAGGCAGGTTAATGTACTAAAGCAGCTAGTACCATGTTGCATTTAATATAAATGTTTAGAAGTGACTTTTTGACCAAGGAAAAAAAGTAGCCCGGGAATAAAGACTTGCTTTTTGTACAGATTTACTCTTTGACCCTGAATTTATACACAGTAGTAACCTGAGTCATTGCACGTCCTCTGAAGAGCATGCGCGCGCCTCCTTCCGTCGCTGTGCGCTAACTGGTGTGTGTGTGTGCTTGCTCCCTCAGCCAGGTGTTTGGGCGACTCTGCTAGCAGCTCTGGAAGTGCTCATCCGAGCAGACCACCACCAGCAGGTGTTCAATGTTAAGCAGTTACTGAAAGCACGAGTGGTTCATCACTTTCTACTGACTTGTCAGGTTTTGCAGGTACTTTTCATGTAGCTTTATTTTTGGAGACTTTTTTTTTTGCCAATACTTCTGTTTAATAACTCAATACTATGAACTCAAATTTTTGTGGGAGTTTCAACAGCATTTCTCTTTTCCCTCATCCCTACTCTTCCAGATCCCTTTTCTCAACAAATAGTAAAGGGGTTTCTCTACCCCTGCCTCTCATAGTTTGACCTTCACCCTGTCCTTGTTCCTAACTCAATTACAAAAGAATGACAACTACTGAATTTCTGAGGTGTTTCTTTATGGTAGGATAGAATAGTAACTCTGTAGTCTTTTAAACATCAACAACAGTGAACGTCTAACCTGTTCCCAGCTTCGCATAGTGGCAGGATCAGGCCGATGAGGTTTATCTGAGACATGATCATGGCTGACTAAGCCTCATTCCACATTCCTTAAATAACAAGATCAACCCTTTCCCCTTCCTTTACTCTGCATGTGTGTAGTTTGTCAGTTTTATGTCAGTTATGACATCACAGTTTGTTTCCCTCTATAAACCTCTTGAGGGCAGGGGCAATAGTTTTGTCCATCACACTGAACCCCAGAGCCTGGCACATACAGGCACCAATAGATGAGGTGGGGCAAGAGTAGGTTTACAGTTGTATTGTTTTCCATACAGACACCTATAAAGCTACTTTCGTCACATCCTGTGTTTGTTGAATGAATGAATCCTAAAAAAACAACAACAAAACCCCCCACTTTATTTGGTCTTTCTCAGCCCCTGTGGTAAATTAGACAGCTGTCTTCAGGAATATAACAAAATGCTCTCAGGCCTCTTGCTCACGGAATATTTTATGTATCATTTACGAATCAGCTGTCCTGTAGGTCACTTCCTTTTATGTTTATTTTGAAATTTGGCCAATTTCCAGTGAGTTTATCTGACAGTGTGAAGTTCTTACTCAGTCTTACCATGTCAGAAAAGTAACACATAAATTTGTATATTTTAATATAAACTTTCAGTATTTTCACTTTCATATTATTTCTAAAATGCTAGAAAAATCTAGGTACTGATTCTTCTCAAAAGTGTATTTCTTTGTCCTTCTTCATTCAAAGAGCCTGTTTATCAAATTGACATTTATTAGGAATAGATTTATGTTGGTTGTTGGGGAAGTGTGTAAAGAGATGAACTTAGTGCCTTGGAGCTTAGTAACTTGTAATAAATTCAATTGACATTAAAAAAAGAAATGAACCTAGCCGTTGCCTTCAAGGCCTCTCAGAGTGTTTAAGGAAGACTCATTGCTTTGGCGTATTGGATGTGAGGCAGTTCCATCAGCTTGTGAGTGTAGTGTGGAGACCTGAACTTGTGTGATAAGAATGGGTGCAAACAGGAAGGAGATCAGTTCTGTTTAAGGAGAAGTCACAGGAGAATCATGTACACCCTGTAAAATTTCCTGCTGGGAGACTGGAGGGATGACGGCACCATCCAAGAAAGAATGAAACATGCCATTCTTGTTTACACCCTCTGCATTTGCGGTTACAGTGGACCTTCGGTGGCAGGAACCGTTAGGCACTGGTGTGCAGGGTCGGTCGTGGGAGCGGATTAGAGAGCGCGCTGGGATTGGTCTGTGCTGGTGAAGAGCGAAGCCTGGGGATAGATGGGCACTAAAGATAAACAAGTGTAGTGAGAGGAGTGTGCACCTAGGGAACATCCATTTCAGCATGTGGAGGACAAAGGAGCTGTAGACAGAGTCCTCGAAGAGAACCTGCCCAGAAAGAGGTAGTCTCTGTGCCAAATAATGCGGAAGGTTCAGAGAACACATAGCTGTAAAGGGCCACTGACTTGGCTGTTCTGAATGGCTGGCAGGATTTCAGAAGATGAAGAAGAGCCGAATGTTGGGGAATTTAGGCTGCATGGCAATAGAATCACTGGAAGTAGTGAGAAGAAATGATAAATGAAAAGTCCAGCAGCAAAAGAAGAGAAACCGAATATTAACAAAAGGGTTCCAGCAGGTCAGGTTCAGGGATTTTTTTTTTTAATGAAATAGATCAGCAGTGACTATTTGTAAGGAGTCAGTGGAGAGGGCAAGATTGCAGAAACAGGGGCTGGGATGGACTTAGGAATGAATGAGGTGGTAACCAGGAGATTTGGGACAGTAGAAGGGCATGATTTAGAAAAGGGCAGCTGGTCATAGCAGAAATAGCGCTGGACTGGAAGTCAGGAGACCTGGAGACCTGTGTTCTCATCTTGGCGTGGCCAAGGGGGTTTGTACTTCTTCTGCAGACTCAGCCTTCTCTTCTTGCATCTGAGGCAGTCAGACTAAACTGTGCCCAAGTTATCGTCTAGATGCCCCATTTTCTGATTGAGTAACACACAGGTCAGTGAAGAACAGTGGATGTTGAGATAGATGTTTGGACAAGGGAGAGGGAAGATCAGAACGTTTAACTCCCAGAGCTTTCATCTAGAGGCTGGCAGCTGCCCGTGGAGAATATAATTTGTTACTCTCAGTGACTCCTCGGCAGTCTGCCGGGCCTCGTTATCCCAGGCAGCAGGTGACACCGCAGGAGTACGGCAGAGGTCCAAGTCTGAGTGCCACACTGCTTACATGTCTTCTGTGAGTTTCAAGCTGTCATATACGTGACTGCTTTGAGCCTCCCTGTTCTAGAAATGAGGGGCAAAACCTCTGAGAGCTGCTGTGAGAAAGCGCTTTGTGAACTGGGGCACGCTGTGTTCATGTCGTTGGTTTTCTCTGCCGGAAGCTTCTCAAGTCCCATAATAGCAGCAGCGGTGGTGACTGCAGCAGTCATAGTACCAATGGCAGTACTGTCTCTGCGTGAGGAACTGTCACTTATTCCTAATTCAGCCCTCTGAGGTAGCGGGCTGTGATTCCCACGTTATTCTATGGGGCATGGAGTTAGCACCTCTGTCCGAGGTCACTCAGCTGGTGAGTGGAGGAGCCGGGTGCAAATCTGGATTTGAGGCCAGTCTGAGGCCCCGCTTGGGGGTGCTGTGGTACAACTTTGGTCAATGAAGGTGCATGGACTAGAATTAAATGGCCATGCATCTAATAACAGAACTGCCTGAACATTGAGTTGCTGTTTCTATCTTAAAAGAAATATCTTGCTTAAATGAAAAATGTTAGTTGGCAGTTCTCTTTCAACCTAAAGAGAGTTTAATTTTTATTTTTTTCAGGAACACAAAGAGGGGCAGCTTACATCCATACCCCGAGAGGTTTGTAGATCATTTGTGAAAATTATAGCAGAAGTCCTTGGATCTCCTCCAGATTTGGAATTATTGACAATTGTCTTCAATTTCCTTTTAGCAGTTCACCCTCCTACTAATACTTATGTTTGTCACAATCCAACAAACTTCTACTTTTCTTTGCATATAGGTAGGTATAATCATTTTTGTCGGATCTTGGCTATCTTCATTTTTGCTTTTCCTTCCCACTTCACCCGCGTTTGTTTGATAGTCATCAGATGGCCTCTGTGAGCTAGAAACTGCCCTAATGTCGTGGTGGGGACAGGGCAGAGAGCTACGGAATGAGCCAGCTGTGCTCTCTGCCGTCAGAGAGCTGTAGTGCCGAGCAGAGAGGGGAGGCACAGGACAGAGACCTACCCACAGAGAAGTAGCTGAAGCTCTAGGAACAGATAAGGCCACCGAAGGAAAGAGGAGAGAGAGAAGGAAAAGGAAGCTAAGGATGGAGCTGTTGGTAGTAATACTACTGAGAGGGGAGGATGAGAAAGAGTCCTCCGTGTAAGAGAAAGGTAGACTAATCAGACTTCTAAAAGAACTAGGAAAATGAAATGTAAGAAAGCAAGCAGCACTGTATCTCTGAGAAAGGTATAGAGTAAATGTAGAGAGGAAGAATGGCTGTAAAACAGCTGAAAAAATGGCTGAAAAATGGCTGTGGACTTTGTAGGAGATACATAAAAATATAAGACACAGTCCTTTCCTCAGTGAATGAAAAGATGAACAGTCTCCTCAGAGAGATCAGATTAACGTAAAAATGAACAGTTAGCTGTTCAAGTATAGAAATAACAGCAAGAATTCAAGGAAAATAGTAATAGTCCACAAAAATATCTATAGTAAGAATCTCTCCAGTACTCAGAGATCAAACATGCATTATTATACATTGTGCCATATTTCTCACTTTGAACACCTTTAGTATTTTTGTAAAAATTTGTATTTAACGATTTGCTATTACAGTTAAATTTGTATTTTATCCTTTTTTAACACGTTACTGTCTCACAATTTTTTTTGATCCTAGATGGCAAGATCTTCCAGGAGAAAGTGGAGTCAATGGTGTACCTGAGACACTCCAGCAGTGGGGGAAGGGCTGCCCCCAGCCCCGCACTGACGGTCATACGCCCATCTGCTTTTACCGCGTCAGTGCCAGAAGGTAGAAGTGAACGAATGAACCCCCCTGGTTTGTACAGCACTGCAGTACAAACTGATATTCAGACTAAATAAATGAAAGACTAACTCAAAAATTATAGAATATATGTAAGGAATCTATTTCACTGCTTTCTGGTATCAGTACCCTCACTCGGTATAACGAGATGTTCCGGAGAACTTAGGAAACTGGCTTGTGCTGTCTTGTTCTGTAGCGCTGTGACCCCTCTTTTTAAAAAAATTTATTTATTTACTTTTAGAGGGGAAGTGGGGAGAAAGAGAGAAAACCATAAATTTGTGGTTGCCTCTTGTGTGCCCCCTACTGGGGACCTGGGCTGCAACCCAGGCATGTGCTCTGACCAGGAATCGGAGCAGAGACCTTTTGGCTCACGGCTGGCACTCAATTCACTGAGCCACACCAGCCAGGGCTCTGTCCCCTCTTATCATAGTCATTTGTCTTTAAGCTTCTGATTTATTTTCCTACTGTCTTCGGAAGCTTTGTTTGGCTTACCCTCTGTGTCCTACCTAAACACGTCATCCTAGACAAGTTCACTTGCCATGTGAATGGCTATCCAATAGTCCAGCCTCATGATCATTGACTCTGGGGACCTGTCTCTCAGTTTTGTTTGCCAACATGGGTGCATTTGTCCTGGACTTCATCACAGCAGGAGTGCTTCCCACCTCAGAAAATTGTGTCCCCTCCTTAGTGTCAGGATCCTGTCCTCTGGTTTATTACCCTCCTAGGTTCCCTTCTACCTGTTTTCCTCACCCAGCCTAGACCACTTGAGCCAGTAATTCTCTGGACACCGTCTTCAGTTTCCTTGTCCTCTCGGCCTTCTTGACCTGAAAAATCCTACCCTCGCCTCTGTCTCACCCCCCTCACTTTGCTGAGAGCCGCTAGAGAAAGTCATGGCTGAAGGTTCTCGCCATGACAAGGGTCTCCACTGGCTGCTGGCCTTTCATGCTGGCTGCCCTTGAATATTCCTGGTTTTCAGAATAATTCCCTCTCCTGTTTTCATAGTGAGTATGTTCAAGTCTTCAAGCTTACAGTGCTCTGTTACCTTCCCGATTTACTACTCCCAACAGACTACCTCATCTCTACCGTTATTGAGAAAAAACAGGTGTGTGTGTCCTGGCTGTGAACTGGCCAAGGGTCATTCTCTCCTGACCGCTGGGCATTGCTCTGATTGTCAGTCCCACCTCTTTCACCATGGGCTACAGTAAAATGACTAAACACCGCAGCTGAGGTCGAGATTCGAACAGATAGGGTGAGATATATGGGCATCAATCTCCGGTTCTGCTTCTCTCCCAAAGTGTTTCAGTTATTCTCTAGCACATTTTATAGCCTTCTATTATACTATTTTAAGGCTGTGTTTGAATTTTATTTTATAGCAAATGTCTATTTCAAAAATCATTGTGCATCCATTCTGGAACATTTTCAAATACAGTCATTTCTTCCAGCTCTTTGAACAGAATCCTTTAGCAGCCTTAGCCCTCCAGCCAAAATCCAGAAATAACGAGGAAAACCATCTGAGCTGTGGAGCTCTTTTATTACCACCGAGTCTGTGCCTTAAAGCAGTTCACTCAGTGCCCATTCATTCTGTAGGAGGGCTTCTCAAGTTGTAGCATGTAGAAAAATCAGCCAGAGAGCTTGTTAAATAAAACGCAGACCCCTGGACCTGCCTGGACCAGGGGTGGAATCTGAGCCTGTGTGTCCCTCACAGTCACACGGGGGATGCTGCTTCCCAGCTGATGGCCAACAGACCACTCCACAGCACGCACCTCTATCTCGTGCACTTAGAAGGAGGGGTTTTTCTGGTCTCCTTCATAGAATATCAGAAGCGGCAAATAAGAGAGCTGTAACAAGAAGGGGAAAAAACTACTGCTTCTCATGAATAGCAGCAAGAAGTGACTACAGAAATGGAGCAGAGGGCGCAGCCTGGATTCATTCAGTCTAGTAATAATGACAGCAAGACGACGATTACTGCCACTTTCCGGGCTGCTGTTCTGTGCTTGGCACAGCACAGATATTTCACTTAATCCTTAAAACAGCCTTCAAGGTAGACACTTTCAAACCCTTACTTTACATTTGTAGAAACCAGTACACATAGAATTAAGTGGTTTGCCCAAGACCACCTGACTAACAGAACAATCACTTGATTCCAGTTATAGCTGCAAAGCCTGTTCCTTCCACTATCTCAACCTGCATCATAGTGACTGCAGGTAAATTAAGTTTTACTTAATTCACTAATTTCACTATAGTAGAATCATCAATCCTAATGATGTTGAGTCATTCTGTCAAGATCATATTTTGTTAAGTAGATAGGAAAAGACATGCATTTTTGGAAGATTTTAATAAAAAGTAGTTAAAAGAACAGTAGTTCTGGCACTTGAGAATTTTAAGCATTAGTTACTAGGAACAGGACTGCGTGGATTCTTTAACAATGCTGGGTGAGTGGGTTATTGCTCTGGCTGCGACTGGTAGTGTAGAAAGGATGTGCTCCCACTTAACAGGTTTTTAGGCAGTATTTTTCTGTCTACTCTTAGCAGGAAGCAGTTCCTCCAAAATTACTCCACCGCAGATGGCTGCCAACCTGCGGCGTTCTAGAAGCCTGCCAGCACTTCCTGCTTCTCCTCTAATCCTGCCACAAAAACTGACTGCAAGTTCGGACTGTGGCATTGACAAGTTACAGAGTACTGCAGGGTACCGCAGAGTACATGATGATGTTGCTTGCCAGCCTGAGAAATGGCATCCTCCGGGGAGTTCAGATACACTGAAAAAAGAACAAGAGGACACATTCCTCAGTAGTTGTGAGTCTGCAAAAACTGTGTGTGAGGTAGAAGCTGTCCTTTCAGGACAAGCCTCTGTCAAGAGTGGCCCCAAAGGAACGTCGGAGTTTCCAGTGGCCAAAGAGGATCACAAAGAGTTGGAAGCAGAACCCAGAGCAGACGGTGACAGCCCTGGCGATGAGTCCTGCCCACGGCGCCCTGATTACCTCAAGGGACTGGCCTCGTTCCAGCAAAGCCACAGCACCACTGCAAGCCTAGGGCTAGCGTTTCCTTCACAGAACGGGTCTGCAGCCGTCAGCCGCTGGCCAAGTCTCGTTGACCGGAACACAGAGGACTGGCAAAGCCTAGCCTTTTCTTCTCGTTATGAGCCAGACCACAGCCGAACTGCAAATGCTCACAGGTACTCACATGTTTTTGCGTGCCACACCCCGTCCACATTTTTTACTAGTCTTTTACTAAGAATTCTGTACTTCTAGAAATGTCTTCATTATGTCACTTCTTACAGTAGGAGGGGGGGACCCAAAAAACGGGAATTATCTTCTGGAGGGCAGGCCCGCCCCTTGTAGTACAGGCCTCCCTCACTAGGTGTTTTAGAAACCCATCTGTGTCAGTGTACTGGCTGGTGTTGTTGTGAGAGGCTGAGTTCAGCTGCAGGGAATTTCTCTTTGAAGACTCTTTCAACATGTTTGCCCATTTCATGGTGGGTGATTTACAAGTGCACCTGCCTGCATCACACTGAGTGTTGAGCAGTTTCTGACCAAAAATGTCCTCAAAGTGAGATGTTTTGCTGATGTGGAAGATTTGAAGCAGAAAATGGCAGAAGCACTAAAAGATATCAAAATCAACAAGTTTAAAAACTGTTTTGAGCAGTGGTAAGAACATTTCAGTAGGTGTATTGCATCAAATGGAGAGTACTTGGAAAGTGACTGAAGTTTAAACATATAAGAATACACAATTTTTTATAAAAATTCTGGTGTTTTTTGGGTCCTCCCTCATATAACATATTTTATATTTTAAAAAGATTTTATTTATTTATTTTTAGAGAGAGGAAAAGGGAAGGAGAAGGAGAGGGAGAGAAACATAAATGTGTGGTTACCTCTTGCACGCCCCCTCCTGGGGACACGGCCCACAACCCAGGCATGTGCCCTGACTGGGAATCAAACTGGCAACCCTTTAGTTCACAGGCCCGTGCTTAATGCACTGTGCCACACCAGCCGTGGTTCACATAACATATTTTAATGACAGGCAAGATACCTTTCTCCTTATTTTAATACTACAGGCCCTGGCTGGTATAGCTCAGTGGATTGAGCGCAGTCCTGCAAACCAGAAGATCACGGTTTGATTCCCAGTCAGGGCACATGCCTGGGTTGCAGGCCAGTTCCCAGCAGAGGACGCACGAGAGGCAACCATACATTGATATTTCTCTCCCTCTCTCCTTCCCATTCCTTCTAAAGATAAATAAATAAAATTTAAAAAATACTAGATCATATTGAGTTCCATATATAACCAGATGCTAAATCATACATAGTTCTCAAACAATCTTGTGGTTTATTTAATTCTTATGGTTATTAGAGAAAAACTCTTCAGTTCATGGAAATTATAAGGTTTAGTATGGTTTCCAGAAGCATCTCGAGTAGCACTGTCCAGGGCGCTGTGACGATGGGAACGTCTCACCTGGGCCGACCAGCACAGTAGACACTGGCCATGTGCGCCTGGCGAGCACTTGAAATGTGGCGAGTGCAAAGGAGGAGTGGAATTTTTCTTTAATCCTCACATGAGGATACGTCTGTTGATTTTAGAGACAGGGGAAGGGAGGGGGAGGGAAACATCAGTGTGAGAGAGAAACGCGGCTCAGTTGCCTCCTGTGCACTGCCAGCCGGGATCAAACCCACAACTTTCTGTGCACGGCACAATGCTGCAGTGAACTGAGCCACCTGGCCAGGGCAAGGAGCTGAGTTTTTTTAATTTAATTTTAATTTTTAAATAGTTTAAATAGCACCAGTGGCTAGTGACTACAGTATTGGATTTCATAGGTGTAGAATAGAATAATGTTCAGGAGAATATCTGCCTAAAAGATACCAGTGACAAAAAATGATGGCAAATTTGTGAATCATAGCTAAATCAGGAAACATTTTTTAATTTAACCTAATGTATGTTTCATATGTCCAAATTATGATGACAGTCATGCGCCACATAATGATGGCTTTGTCCACAAGGGACCACGCGCACGATGGCGGTGTGCCCTCTGACTGAGGTGGGCAGCGGGCTGTGCCCTCCAGCACATGCGGGCGCACTCTGTGGCTGCTCACGGACGAGATCGCCGAACGAGGCGTTTCTCAGAACGCGTGCGGCCGTCAGGGAGTTGTCGTGTCCTTGTCTCCCCGAGGCTGTGTCAGGATGACTCTTTCGGTCTGTTGCAGTGTAAATGAAGACTGCTTGGTTCCCATATGCTGTGGGTTATATGAGCTCTTGAGTGGGGTTCTCCTTGTGCTGCCTGACGCCATGCTGGAGGATGTGATGGGCAAGCTGATCCAAGCCGACGCGCTGTTGGTCCTTGTGAACCACCCTTCACCTGCTATACAGCAAGGAGTCATCAAAGTAAGGGCAGGGACTGCGTGTGGTTCCAATTTGGAAAATAAATATATGTGTTAAAGTAAACCTAGAGGTTGACTTAGTACTTGGGAATAACGAACTGTTATCATTTGTCACTTTTTACTCATATTTCCATATGTATTATCATCTAATTTTAAGCCCTCCTCATATATTGATTCATATCATTATGCATTTCTTAAGTCTACCAATTACAAGGAACACACGGCTCACTGGAAATCTCCCTTGCAGTGTAGTCTTAGGTTGCAGACGTTCTCTTCAGCTTTCAGCTCGGGGGCCTTCCCTGACCACCTTCTGAAACAGCTTCCCTGCGCCCTGTCCCCACTTACTTGTCATCCCCCACACTGAAAGAGAAACTCCATGACGGTAGGTGTCTTGTGCCTAGTGTATAGGAGGTACTGAATAAATAAATGTGGATAAATACATAGATGTAGGGTATTGTTTAATCACTTGTCATTCAACCCAGTATACATTGAGCTTCCATCTGGTGTGCAAAACACCGGGCTCATTGCTATGTGGGATGTGAAGGGGAATAACATGCCCATACATTCAAGGAGTTTATAGTCTAGTGAGAGCAGGAGACATATACCAACTAAGTAAAACATAAGGACTTCTGTGATGAGTGCTTCAATGGCGGTATCAATAAGGAAGAGTGGGAGCATAGGAAAAACAATTCTGATGGGGGAATGAGGGATGGTTTCATGCAAAAGGTGTATTTTGTATTATGCTGTGGACTCAGAGAGCTTTTTAAGTGGGGCAGTATACAGGTGTATGTTTGGGGAAGAGTCTGTCAGCACTGTGAGGGAGCCATTGCAGGAGGAAAGGTGGCCAGCACAGTAGTCCAGGAGAGAAATGAGGAGTCTCTAATCGGGGGAAGTAGGACTTCAGAGGACGGGCAGATTGGAGAGACACTGGCTGGAGCTGAGCAGTGCTGCCTTCATCGTGCACACGGGGTCAGGGCAAGGAAAGGTCAGCCCTGAAGCCTGGGAGGGTGGTGCTGCTCTGCTCCAAGAATGGAACCGTGGAAGAGGTGAGTTCAGAAAGAAGAATTAATTTGGTTTTACCCATGTTGGTGTTTAAGATGCTAGGGAGGGGTGGAAATGGAGGCCTGTGCTTATGATGAATAATCTGCCAAGAAGTCGAGAAACACAGGGCTAGGCGCACGTGTACTTGCAGAGTGAGCACAGGATGGCATTGGCTAATTTTTTCCCTTCAGAATTAAGCACAAATATTCTACATACACTTGACTAAGGCTGCCAGTGCAGTAGATGCTCATGTTCAGCTAAAAAACCAGTTTTCCCATCAGAAATGTATTAAGATCTCCAACGTAGAGTCATTATTAGCATCCTATAATAGAGACAAAGTTTATTTTGTTTTGCCACAGAGGTGGCATTTTTTTAGCTTTCTGTGTCTATGCACAGGAAATTAAACAACACCTTACAAATACTACTAACAGTCTGATTTGCATACATTATATAAATGTTAATATGTTATCTAAATTGTCTTAATTTTTTCTTAGCTGTTAGATGCATATTTTAATAGAGCATCTAAGGAACTGAAAGATAAATTCTTGAAGAATCGTGGCTTTTCCTTGCTAGCCAACCAGTTGTATCTGCACCGGGGAACTCGGGAGCTGTTAGAGTGCTTCATAGAAATGTTCTTCGGTCGACACGTTGGCCTTGATGAAGAGTAAGTGTGTTCTTCCCTCCACTGTAACTGAGGGTCTTTGGTCTGAAGTGCAAACTTTAAGAAACTGGCTCTCAACAAAATTATTTGGTCACTTTTAGAAAAAGTCTGCTAGAAGTCATTTTCCAGGTGAATCAACTTATTATTTTCCATGTGCTATTCTTTCTGATAAAACTTTTTCCTTTGTATTTCATTCACTAGCTGGAGACTAGAAACAAGTGCTGCATGAGATGAGAGTGACAGTGAGATTAGATGTCTAGTAGCCACAGGAGAAGGTTACTGAGCAGAAAGGTGGCCTGTGTGTTCTCAGCAGCAGATGACACGAGTGATCCATGGAGAAGCCCCTGTCCCCATGGAGCCTCCAGGTTGTCTGGGGACCAGCCAGTTCCTCTCCTGGGATTCCTGGTGTGCTGATGACTAAGTTGTGGCCCTGGCATAATGCTGGAGGCTTAGCAAACAAGCACAAAAATAAAAGAATGTTTTTTCCAAACCAGAAGTTTGGCAGGAAAGATAAACTATTATTTCTGTCTATGATGGAAATGAGTGTCTTCTTCTTCTTCTTCTTCTTATTATTATTATTATTATTATTGAGTGTCTCCTACTTACTATTAAGTAGACTGATTTAGACCTTGAGAAATCTAGTTGTCGTGGTCACAGCAGTGCATGTTTCATTTGCATACAGCTTTTGGCTCTTTCAAAGCGATTCTGCATTATCTTATTTGATTTCCACAACAGCCTTGAGAAAGGGTAGGGCAGACACCTGTATTTGGCAGGTAAAGAAAATGAGGCGCAAAGTACCTGAATAAGCATCTGCTTCCATGACAGGCAGACAGTGCTGGGACAAGAGCTTGGGATTTTCTGCTGGACCTTTGTTTACTTAGCTCAGTCTGTCAAATTCTATAGAAATAATAATTGATTATTAATTATTAATTTTATTAATATTAATAAAATATTGATTTTTTCCTGTGCACTTGTTACATAGAGCTTCAAAAGCAGGGGTTCTTTGGACACCTAAGGGGCCAATGGATGAGTGAAAATGAGTCATATAAAACCATGAAATTATTTATATGTTTCATTTGTATGTTTGTGTCTTTACCTTGGGACCTACATTTAACAACACCTTTTATCTTTGGAGGGGTCTGTGGTCTTAAAAAAGGGTTAACGATCTTTGTTCTCCAAATTTATTTTTTATAGCCTGAAAATCAGGTTAAAATGGCCCATATTGCACTCATTTTTTTCTTATTTCATGGCTAAGTACTTCTGATGTGCTCTGAACTGTGCATTATTTATCGCAGATTTGACCTGGAAGACGTGAAAAGCGTGGAGCTGTTTCAGAAGTGGGCTGTCATCCCCGTGCTGGGGCTGATAGAGACCTCTCTGTACGACAACGCGCTCCTGCACACGGCCCTCCTGTTTCTTCTCCAAATGCTCAATTCCTGCTCCAAGGTGGCAGATATGTTGCTGGATAATGGCCTCCTCTACGTGTTATGTAACACAGTAGCAGCCCTGAACGGACTAGAAAAGAAGTAAGTTTTAAATCATTATTCAAAGCTACATCTGATGAATATTGTGGAAAGGGAACTTTCTACAAAACTGATTAGATTAAGTTAGATGACATTTAGAGGGGGCATATTTTTCATCATTTGCAGCAAAGTTAGGTTCAAAGAAGGTATTTAGCTGTGGTAGGTGTGGCTAAGTAGGCTGGTCATTGTCCCGTAAACTGAAAGGTCATGATTTCAATTCTCAGTCAGGGCACATGCCTAGGTCATGGGTTTGGTCACCAGTTGGGGCTCCTACGGAAGAACTGATGTTTCTCATATCACTATTTCTTCTCCTCTCTTTTTCCCTCCTTTCCCCTCTCATGCACATATATATACAAGAAGGTATTTATACAACCCATTTCTAGTTATGTAGAACTTGAAGACAAGTTGAATAAATTTAACTGTCTTCAAATGCAGGGTTGTGCACACATAGGTTTACCATCGTTCATATGGAAAATAACAATAATGAATAAATATTATAATATAATAATAAACTCTGTGTCTTGCATACTCACAACTATAAACCTACTTTTTCCTCACCCTGTATATTTACAAAGCTTCCAGTTATGGTCTTATAAAAAATTATTATGCTGTCAGGAACAGGAGATTGAGGATTAGAGGGATATTGTCACTTGAAGATCACACAACTAGTAAATAGCAGAAAATGTGAGACTGTGTGTGTCTCACGATAAAAGCCTGTGTTTTGAACTCATGCCATCCTTCTTGTATATCTGCTGCCATAAATTAGTTTCTAATGGCCAAAGTATATTGGCACATGGCTGGCTACCAAATTGATTATTAACAGCTTTAAGAAATATGTAAGAGATTATGTTTTTATTTGAACTTTGTTCCTTTGGTATTTCCATTTATGACATACAGTATAAGATTTTTAGCAGCATAATATTAGAATATATATCTCCAGGAGCACCATCTCATTGCAGGTTCAAACATTAAATACTATCTACATTTTTGCAGAAAAGGCAGAGCATATCCTGATGAATTTTTAGGCCAGTGACTTTCAACCAATACGCCAGAGAATTTTTAAAATATGTAATACCTGACTGTTTAGTTAATATTCCTTAGACTGTCAGATTTAAAAAAAGACAACCAAGATACACCACAATTGAAATGCCAAAGGTTAAACACAAAGAGAGAATCTTAAAAATAGCAAGAGAAAAGCAGTTAGTTATCTATAAGGGAGCTCCCATAAGACTGTCAGCTGATTTCTCAAAAGAAACCTTGCAGGCTAGAAGGGATTGGTAAGAAATATTCAAACTGGTGAAAAGCAAGGACCTATAACCAAGATTACTCTACCCAGCAAATCTATCATTTAGACTCAAAGGACAGATAAAAAGCGTCTCAGACAAGAAAAAGCTAAAGGAGTTTATCACCACCAAATCAGTATTATAGGAAATGTTAAAGGGTCTTCTTTAAGAAGATGACTATCAAAAATGTGAACAATAAAATGGCAATAAATACATATCTATCAACAATTGAATCTAAAAAACAAAATAAATAAACAAGCAGAACATAAACAGAATCATAGATACAGAGAATGTTTTGATGGTTTCCAGATGAGACGGAGGTTGGAGGGATGAGTAAAAAAGGTGAAGGGATTAAGAAGTACAAATTGGTAGTCACCGAACAGTCATGGGGATGTGAAGTACAGCACAGGGGAGAGAGCAGCCAAAGAACTTACATGCATGACCCTGGACATAGACAACACTGTGGGGATTGCCCGAGGGAATGGGGGGCTGGGGGAGGGGGGCGAAGGGGGGAAATTGGGACAACTGTAATAGCATAAACAATAAAATACAATTAAAAAGTGACAACAGCCAACACAAGAATAGCTGCTCAGTGAGAATCAATCACAATTATATCCATTTTTTGTCAGATCATCAAAAAACATAATATACTTTTTGGTGTGCCACAGAATTTTAGTAATTCGTTTATGTGTGTCATGAGATGAAAAAGGTTGGAAATCGCTGCTTTAGGCCAAGGAGGCTCTGAGTATAAGGGGCACTCCTCATACTCAGCTCAGTTCAGTGTCTATCGGGCACCTGGTTTGTTTAGGATCTGTGTGCCAGGCGTATGAGAAATACAGAGTGTTACAGCTCCTCAGAACACTTGGTCTCCACTGCAGTACAGAGCGTGGAATTGGCTGAACTCGGGAAGAGTGCATGCAAGCTTCTTCTAAGAGTAGTTTGTTGTTGTTATTTTTAAAAATAAATTATACTTGCTGAGTGTCCTTAATATGCTTTATAAATTGTCCCAAAACAATAGTCAGTTCTAACTCTTGTTTGATTTTGAAAAGTAAATGGATATAAGTATTTATGCTTAATATCACACACTAAGGTAGACTATCAAGGTTGAAAATTGAGGGGCAGAAGTAACATTCATATGTATTAGGTATTTATGAGCAATTAATATATATTCAAACCTATTACCTCTCTGAATCTTTAAAATAACTAGTTAGTTATTTTAACCAGAGAGGTTAACTGATGTATTCAAACTTATATTTTCTGAGAAGCCTTCGCAGAGTGTTCATATTCATACCTACAAAATCCCCACCTTCAGTGGGGGCTGGGAACCTGCCTAGATTTCCCCATAGTAGCTTGTGTTAACCTCAGTTGTTACACTTCCCGCGATTTACTGTTTATGGGTATCTCTTTACTCATCTGGTTCTCTGCAAGACAGTCAGCTTTTTGACAAGAACCAAGGTGTGTCCTCCTACGTCTCCTGCCAGCATGCAGTTTGGATTGCCCCCCAGAGAGTGAGCACGAGTGAATATTGAAAGAGTGTGTGTGCTGGTGACTGCTGGCAGAACAAGAATTTCAAGCCGTTCTCTTGACCTTAAATTCTTTTTCTTTTTCTTTAGCATGCCTTTGAATGAATACAAATTGCTTGCTTGTGATATACAGCAACTTTTCATAGCCGTTACAATTCATGCCTGCAGTTCATCGGGCTCACAGTACTTTCGAGTTATCGAAGACCTTATTGTATTGCTTGGATATCTTCAAAATAGCAAAAACAAGAGGACGCAAAGTAAGATTTAATTTTGATGGAGTTTTGAGGGGAGTAGTATAGTAGCCAAAAAATGTTATTTGAATCTAGTCCCTTTTTTCTTAGAAAGTTTATACTAATTTGTGATGATACCTATCAGCTTTAAAAAGGAGCCTTTTTACTACTAATGCCCTTTAGTTTTCATTAATGGCAAACATTAAGCAGAAAGTAAAAATTTCTGGTTAAACTCTTTTTTTAATTTAATTATTTTTCAAGTACAGTTTTCTGTCTTTTTACTCCCAGCCCAGCCCACCCAACTGGTTAAACTTTTGACTTATTTATTTAAAAGCTTGTTCTTTAAAACAATTGTATAAAATGAAATAAATTTGTAGGCTAGTATTTTGTAGTGACCATTTGAAAATTTGCTTCAAAATTGCTTTTAAAGACAGTTAAAAAATGTTTACTATCATCAAGAACCCATATTAATTTAAAATTTTAAATTTAGCTCTGGCCAGTGTGGCTGAGTTGGTCAGAGCGTCATCCTGTAACTAAAAGGTTGAGGGTCTGATTCCCAGTCAGGCCATGTACCTGAGATTGTGGGATCGATCCGTAGTCAGTCTGGGAGAAGCCCAGATGCATATGATTCCTGGTCCAGGTGCGTATAGGAGGCAACCAGTTGATGCTTCTCTATTGCATCGATGTTCCTCTTTCTCTAAAAGCAATTAAAAAATGTCCTTGACTGTAGATAAATAAAATGAAATACGAATTTTAACTTATTCTAATAAAACAGACAATGTATAAATGTGAATATCAACATTGACAACCGCATAGCTTGAAAACATTCTAGTCCCTGCTGTTTTTAGATATGGCTGTTGCACTGCAGTTCCGAGTTCTCCAGGCTGCTATGGAGTTTATAAGGACCACAGCAAGCCATGACTCGGAAAACCTTACAAATTCATTCCAGTTACCTTCTGCTCCCCCTCATACGATCTCTCAAAAGCGGAAGAGCATTGCTGGTGAGTAACAGACTAACACTGTAATAACTATGAGTTGTAGGTAGCTTGGCTTTCCTATATTCGAATACCATTTGCATTTTTAATACTACTAGCTTAAAAGCTTAAGCTAGAAAACTTGAGATAGTTTTCCTCCCAGAAGAAGCTACTTGCTGCTTTCTTCTAAGTGCTCTTCTCATTTAATTTTCTCCTGAGCACCTACTATGTGCTAAGCGATGCATTAAATGTTGAGGATACAATGATTTAAAGAACAGACACAGAATCAGCCCTTGCAGAGATTATAAATGGCAAAGAGTTGTAGGGAGTAAGCATGGGACCAATAACAGGGCAACCAGTTTATCAGGAGGGGGCAAGTGTCTAAGGAGGCGAGATTTAAACATAGGTAAAAAGGAGCTGGCCAGGGAGAGGCTCAGAGGCTGTGTGTCTCTGGCAGAGTGGACGGCCCACATGAGGCAGGAGAAAGCAAGGCTCTCTCAGAAGTGGCAGGAAGCCATTGGCTGGAGCGGGGCGCTGGGTGAGTGACGCGGATGAGGCTGCCCCGCCAGCATGGGCTAGTGCATGTGGTCGCAGCGGCTGTGTTACAGCGTTCAGACTTCATCCTAATGGGATGTCAGCAAAGATGTAACATAGGTGGCAGGACATACTCAGGTTTTCATTTGTAAGGACCAGTGCGGCTCCTGTGTGGAGGGAAAATTAGGGGAGAGCAGAAGAGGTGGTTGGGGGTGCAGGCAGGAGGCGATGGTGGCTAACAAGTGGTTAGAACGCACGTGACATCAGGGCTTGCTGAAAATTAGTACAAAGCATCAAATAATAAGCATTAATATCGTTAGACTTCCTTATGTTTCCACAGAATTTGCTATGAATTTCATATACATAATCCTAAAAGATAGCATAAAACACCACACACACACATTGGATCTGTATGGCACACCCACACATACATAGACATGTATGTTTGAATGCTAGATATATATGACACAGATGTATATCCGATCAGAGTACTTGGGAAATTGTTGGAAGAGTAATCACCCTTGAAGTCTTAAGGGCTTTTCAGTCCAGATTTTTCTTCTACATTTGTTACACTCCTTTACTGTGTCCGGTTCTATGACAGATATTAAAACTATGTGGAAAGAGACTCATCTGAAGAGAAAACTGTTAAATGTACAGTGTTTTGCTGTAGTATGTTTAGATTATCCTGGAAAAAAGCTTATGTAAACAAAACTTCTAAACACCCCCATTGCCCTCTACAGCCATCCTTCACTGAACATCCGAACAGTCTCTGGTCTCTGGAGTGGGCTCCCCGGTCGTACCTCTTGTCCCAGCTAGAATTCCACTTACCCCAAGTCTGGCAGTAATGCTCAGCTTCCTACGTGCCAGATGGTGGCTGCTGCAGTGCCTGCCCTTTGCAGGGCTCCGAGGGTAGTCAGGGACTGTTGGGAGGGAATACCCGTTCTGTGCCCACAGGAAAGTGTCCCTTTACTACTTTTTCTTGCTGCTCTCTCTCATTCTCCTCCTTTACCCCAGGTCCCTGAAGGAGTTTCCCATAGCTCTGGGCCCAGGCCTGCACTCAGCCCTCTTGTTGCTTTCTCTTTTCCCTGTGATTTCTCTAACACACTGTCCTCTGTCTCTCCAGATACTAGTATTTTTATCACCTTGAGCTTGAGCCATGCCTAGCTCCAAGTTCGTTATTCATTATTTGTTTGTTTCAATTGTTCTGAAGTGGATAATGGACATTTCATCCTTTCTCTAGGACATTCTTTTTTCTCCTGACTTTCCTGGCCAATTCTTCTGGGCCTGTATTTTTCACTTTGTCAGTGCAGTTGAAGTCACCCTTGTGAGGCTTACAGACCCTACGAACTTGAACTTGATGAAAGCTCTTAAAAGACAGGAGGTTCAGGCTCCTCATTTAACAGATCAACTGAGGCCAATAACACACTGCTGGAACAGCAACATCTACATCACTCCCACCTACACTTCTCCCCTCTCTGTCCTACACCAGCCTCATCACTCCCACCTACACTTCTTCCTCTCTGTCCCACACCAGCCTCATCACTCCCACCTACACTTCTCCCTCTCTGTCCTACACCAGCCTCATCACTCCCACCTACACTCTTCCTCTGTGTCCTACACCAGCCTCATCACTCCCACCTACACTTCTCCCCTCTGTGTCCTACACCAGCCTCATCACTCCCACCTACACTCTCCCTCTGTGTCCTACACCAGCCACATCACTCCCACCTACACTCTCCCACTGTGTCCTACACCAGCCTCATCACTCCCACCTACACTTCTCCCCTCTGTGTCCTACACCAGCCTCATCACTCCCACCTACACTCTCCCTCTGTGTCCTACACCAGCCACATCACTCCCACCTACACTCTCCCTCTGTGTCCTACACCAGCCTCATCACTCCCACCTACACTCTCCCTCTGTGTCCTACACCAGCCACATCACTCCCACCTACACTTCTCCCTCTCTGTCCTACACCAGCCTCATCACTCCCACCTACACTTCTCCCATCTGTGTCTTACACCAGCCTCATCACTCACACCTACACTTCCCGACATCACTCCCATACACTCTCCCTCTGTGTCCTACACCAGCCCTCACCTCAGTGTCCTTCTCACAGCCTCATCACTCACACCTACACTCTCCCTCTGTGTCCTACACCAGCGACATCACTCACACCTACATCAGCCATGTCACTCACACCTACACTCTTCTTTCTGTGACCTAGACCAGCTGCATCATTCACACCGGCTGTCAGATCATAGGACCTATATCTTTAGCCCTCTCTCAAGAAGTTTCTTATTTTAAATACGACCTTAATTGAAATACTTCTGAGTCCCGTCAGAAAATGCCACTTCATATGTGTTAAGTTTAGTTCCTTCCATGTTGTTTTACACAAGTATGTGGGAAAGACTTTATTCTGTTTGTTCACTGTTAGCAAAAGCTGTCAAACATATTGGCTTCGCACCCTATGGCTAGGAAAGATTCAGATACTGCCGCCTCTCTGCTCTGGGCAGTGGGGTTCTGAAGCCACAGAGTCCATTTGTCATGGTACGAAAGTGACTCGGGTTTCTGATGCCCTGGTCTCCATCGTGTTCATGGTGACCTGTTCCCACAAGGGTTTATTGTAAAACAGGCTCTCTCCTTGGTGGGGGGTGGCTTTCTTCTAAACAGACTCATTTAGCATTTATTGAGAACTGTGAGACAAAGGACACCTCCAGCCCCACTGCCACCCCGTACCTCCAGCAGGACTTGTGGGGACAGCCGGCAGCTGCTGCCTCAGTGACGGCCACATGGGGTGGTTTGGTAATAGACAGGCTGACGCAGACTGGGTGTCGGGATATCCGTGGGTCGGGCCAGAGTGCCCTGAGCAGTACGATCATCACATTTCCACATTCAGCCCTCGTACTGGGGGAGGGGGGCAGGTGCCATTTTACTGCCGGCATAGCCGCCTTGCAGTCTCACTCGGGTGCTCCATTCTCCCTCCCGACGCCGGCAGTTCCCTGGGACCCAGTGAACAGGGCACGGGCTCCTCAGCCTCAGTGCGGGCTTTTGGTGTAGAGATATGTAAGAGAAAGTGCAAGTTTGCCCCGGCAGTGTGATACTCCTCTACCTTCTGTTTGTAACTGATTTCTGTTTCTAAACAATGTATTATAGACATCTTTCCATACACTATAAATATTCTTTATGTTTAAAAAACGCATAAAAATCTATTATATTAACTTGCCGTGGTTGTCTTTCCTAAGTTTATCAAATAACGAAGGTGGGTTTTTTTCATTTTTTGTTCTTGCTATTATAAACAGGGTAGCAATGTACATTGTCTTATATGTTTTTTACTGCTTATCAGTATGCAAAACTGTACGTCACCTTGATAATGAATGTGGAGGAAAGCATTAAGGAAGGCATTAAAGGACACATACATTTAAACTGTTATAAATAAGTATATATGTGTGTGTGTGTATATATAAATAAATATATTATTCTCTGAATTTTCTTTACATTTCAACCATTAATAATATTACCATTAACAACTTTTGATTCCTCATATGAGATAGGCATTGCGTTTTGTGGCCATTACTTTATTAATCTACAGAACAACCCTCTTTGTCCATTCTCCCAACCATCAACTGTATTTATTGAGCATTAGCCATGTACCAGTTATCTGCTCTCATGGAACTTACATTTTCCTGGAGAACATGATCAACAAACCTGTAAATACATATATTTAATATAGTGTCAGTGGAAAATGTCTGCCTGTGGGTAAGGCTCTATTTTACTTCCTAATTCATGCTTTACATATGAGGAAACTGAGGCTTAGGAAAGTGTACTTAGGGCTGCATCAGCTCAGGGTGGCCTCAGAACACGAGGGCACAGCCCCCCACTTTGCCGAGTGCTTAGCCCTGCACAAGGCTCTGCCCTCCCCGTTCACTGTGTGGCCACGCTGTGAACCGTGGACATTGGCTGCTTACACACAGCTGGAAGCTGTCGGAGAAGTGGACACTGGGGAGAATCTGCTTAGACTAAGGATATAGTCTGAAGTATTATTCTTGAATATATCACAGATATGAAATTTTTCTTTTTATTTGCTTGGTTTTTGTTTTTTTTTTTGTCTCAAAGGTGACTCTACCCACCAAAGTGTATTAACTGATTAAAAATACTGATTACCTAAAATAGTGGACAATCTGAAATGCTATTAAAATATTTAAGTATCTTGTAGGATGAGTCATGAAAATGTCATATTTTAATTATATGTAAGTAATCTTTATAGTGACTACTTATGGAAATTGATGCATGTTTTCATAATCTAAAACAAAGGTTCAATTCCAATGAAGGGTTCCACTGCTCCTCACCTACCAAGACGCCATTTTCGGTCCTATGGTCAACTTCCGATGCCCTTTTCCTTCAGTGAGCTCCGTCAAGACTCATTCCCCCCATTTCCTCCTGGATCCACTCCCCGTGGGGTGCCTCTCGGAGCAGGTGCAGTAACGGTGCTGAGTGCCAACTCTACCTGTTCAGTCTGAGGAAACATTTCTCGAGAAATGCTTGTGTAGGATTAAATCCCAAATGATGCATGCGCGGCACGTCATTTATTAGCGAATCACCGGAATGATACTCACCTTTCTGATCTCTTCACCTTCACTTCACTGATTTCCACTATGTTACTGTATGCACTTCTCAGAACTATTTCATAAAACTCAGTTATCCAGAAATGGTAATGTTCTAACTGCAACACAATGTGCTTTAAAAATCCATTGATGCCCTGACCAGTGTGGCTCGGTTGGATGTTGTCTGGAAAAGCATAAGGTCGCATATGCCTGGGTTGTGGTTTCGGTGCCCAGCTGGGGCTCTTATGAGAGGCAGCCAATTGATGTTTCTCTCTCACAGTGATATTTTTCTCCTCTTTCTCCCTCTCTTCCCCTCTCTCTAAAAATAAATAAATATCTTTAATAAAAAATTAAATAAAATTTTATTGATTACTTTATAATACAAAGAAAGTACAACAGTATTTGAAAATATTTTGTCAAAACATTCTGAACTACTTATATGTACCCTTCTAATTCTTGGAGTTTTTCAGGAGACTCAAATTTTGCCAAATGGTAGTCATCCTCCTAAGCCATTTTTATTTAGGATTTTGAGATCAAAATTACTATTGTACCTGTTCAAAGAGGGAGAAACATCACTTTCTCTTAATAATTCTCTTTCCTTTGTATAAATTAACTTTGTGTTAAATAAGGTTCTTTTCATGTTCTGATGATCAAAAACTTGCAGCAAAAATAGTTTCTTCGATCTTGTTAACTCTGGCATTTGACACTTTAACTTATATTTGAAGGGCCTCGGAAGTTTCCCGTTGCTCAGACCGACTCCCTTCTAATGAAAATGCGTTCGGTGGCGAGTGACGAACTTCACGTGATGATGCAGCGGAGAATGAGCCAGGAGAACCCCGTGCAGGCGACCGAAGCGGAGCTGGCGCAGAGACTGCAGCGGCTCACCATTCTGGCTGTTAACAGGGTCATTCATCAAGGTGAGACTAGAGAGCAAGTGTGTCATTGCCCAGGTTTTGAATCAAAAGGAAAATAAGAGGGAACCAAATAGGTTTCCATACTACTAAACGAATTTATTCGGAAATAATAGTTTTGAATAAAGCCCATTTTTCAATGTGTTAAATGCTGGCCCAGATCGACTTTTTAAAGTTTTTCTTTAAGACACCCCTTCCAATGGATGCCTGAAGCTATGGATAGTACTGAACCCCTTATATACTGTTTTTTCCTTTACATACATTCTTCTCACTTAAAGGAAGCACTTTCCAGCTTCTCTTTGGCACAGCCAAGTTGCCAGCATCACTACTCTTGAGCTTTGGGGCCATGTTTAAGTAAAATAAGGATGACTTGGACTCAAGCACTGTGATGCCACAACACTCAACCTGATAGTCAAGATAGCTGCAGACTGACTGGCAGCCAGGGAGCATCTGCAGTGTGGATATCTGGATGAGGGGATAGTTCACATCCCAGGGGGGACAGTGGGAGATTTCAGCACACTGTTCACAACGGTATGCAATTTAAAACTTGTGGCCTGGATTGGTGTAGCTCAGTGGATTGACTGCTGGCCTGCGAGCCAGAGGGGTCACTGGTTCAATTCCCAGTCAGGGCACATGCCTGGGTTGCAGGTTAGGTCCCCAGTAGAGGGTGCTTGGGAGGCAACCACACATTGATGTTTCTCTCCCTCCCTTCCCCTCTCTCTAAATAATAAATAAATAAAATCTTTAAAAAGTTTATGAATTGTTTATTTATGCAATTTTACATAAAATATTTTTACATGTCAGTTATGGATAACTAAAATTGTGGAATGTGAAACCACAGGTAAGGTGTGACAGTTGTAGTCATGTTAATAGATTCATGTGTAGTAGTTGAGAATTATTACAGAGGTCTCACGTATGCTTTATCCAGTTTCCCTCAATGGATTATGCAAGATTCTACCGACATCACTATCAGGATATTACAGAGCTGAGAAACAGAACGTTCCATCACCACAAGGATCCCTTATGTTGCCTTTTTATAGTCACACTCACTCTCTTCCCGCCCCACCCCTCCGTAGTCACTGGCAGCCTCTAGTCTGTTCTTTCCTGCATTTTCGTCATTTCAGAAATGTGACATAAATAGAACAGTACAGAATGCAGCCTTAGCTGTTCTCACTCAGCATAGTTTTTAGAGCTAGCCTGGTAGTTACATGGTTTGTTTTTGCTGAGTAGTGTTCCACCGTGTGCACACGGCATGATTTGGTTAGCCCTGCACTTGTGGGAAGACCGTCTGGGCTGTTTCCAGTTTGGAGCTGGTACAAATAAAGCTGCTGTCACACTTAGGTGCAGGCTTCTGTGTGAATGTAGTCTACATTTTCCCAGGATGAACACCCAGGAGTGCGGGCGTTGGGTTGTGTGGTGGTGTGTGTTTTCTTCTAGCTGAGAAACTGCCAGACTTCCCCAGAGTGACTGTGTAATTTCATATGTATGACTGGTCTGGTGTTTTTCAGTCCTTGTACATATTTGGATTGTCACTGTTGTTAGTTGTAGCCATCCTGATATGTACAGTGATACCACGTTGTGGTTTCAGTTTATACTTCTATAGTAGCTAATGATTTATATATAAAATGTAGTATTTAGAGCAACCACTTAAAAGCTGTGCAAAAAAATACTCAAAAAGCACTATAGATAAGTCAAAACAGGATTCTAAGAAATGTTCAAATAACCCCAAAAAGGCAGATAAAAGAAAACAGTACCTGTTAATCATTAGAAAAATAACAGAACTGAGATTTTTTTTAAACTTCTCTAATATTTGGGGCCCCAGCGCTCAGGCTAAACCTTGCAGTGGAAGTACGTGCACCGCTCACGCAGCATGCACTGGGGCCGCGCAGCACGTACTGGGGCCGCACGGTAGAGCGGCAGCTCCGCTCACCTGCCTGCTGCTCATGCCGCATGGGCCACACAGGCCGATCTTCCGGTGTGTGCGGGAACCTCATGGCCTCGAAATATCACAGTTTAATTCATCTTCATTAGTAAGATAAATCTTTAATTTAGAATTGCATGGTTTACATACATTTAAATTTCTACACTGTTTTAAGTAAGATTATTTTTCTCTAGTACATTCTACAGTTAATGCACTACTACACATTAATATTTTGACAACTGGTTTAGAAATTACACAGAGTATTTTTACCAGCATCATTACATTTGGAATGGCTAGGTATCAGTGATTTGACTAATTTTTATTCTCTTTTTAATTCAGAGTTTAATCCGGACATTGTTGACATTTTGAGTACTCCAGAAAATGCCACTCAAAGCAAGAACTCAGTTTCCCAGACTGAGACTGAAGAAAATATTCATCATGAACGTACTTCTGTTTCCAATCCATTTCAGAAAGAAATATTCACGTACCTGGTAGAAGTATTTAGAGTGTCTATTGTGAGTAAATTAACTAAATGGGGAATGTTCATTCACACAAAAAGAGTAGAAGTTTCCTGTCTGTATTTAATGTTTTCAAACATTAAACATTTTCTCTCTCTGTGAGAGAGGAGACTCCCTCACAGAGTCTTCTGACACTTGGACAACTTGAATTCTTAATAATGGAGTAAGAGTGCCAAGTCCCCCTTTCCGAACCGACTCACTGGGTGCAGCGTTGGTTTTACGTCTGGGGCCTGAAAGCCACTTTCTGCTATGGGAGAGCAGGCGGCGTCAGAAGATAGGTGGGCTTTAACCAGTTCCGTGGGAGTTTAAATTAATAGCCTGTTTTCAAAGTACTTTATCAGTACCTATCTTGAATGATTATTATTATGAGTTACTATGAAGTTTAGATCTTGGTTTAAATGGATCCAAATCCTTCAGAATTATACAAAGAATATGGGCAAATGTCAGGCTCCATTCATCAGTGACTCACTCTGGTTTCTGCGAGTCACCTACAGTGACCACAGGGAACAAACAGGTCAGCGCAGCCCACGGACACCAACAGCCGATCAAACTCCAGCCGAGCTCACAAATTATGCCTCTGCCAGGCTCTGCATCGCAACTAGATCTTGGTGTCTGAAGGTTCACTAGATCTGAGTCATTCAGTTCACACGGGGCCCTCAGGACCAAGAGAAATTAGCAATTTCCAAAACTCGAATGAACTCTGCAGTGGGCCGATTCAGTTTTTACAGGAGATGTGATTGGAACTGGGTCAGCCTCATGGGACCACAGCTGAAGCGGCTTCTTTGGTCCCTCGTGAGGGGTGCAGGTGGTCAGTTTACATGCAGTCCTTACTTTTGACTGTTACACTCAATATTTCAGTACTAATTCGAGTCTTTATAATAAATCCTTTCTCTTTTGTATTGCAAAAATCAGTGGTACCTTACCTACCATTGTTCTCTGGTAGTTCTTTTTCTTTTTTTTCTTTAAAATTTCCAAGTCCTACGTAGCTTTGTACGTCATTTAGGACTCTAGTGTCTTCATCCTTCTCTCCTTTTTTAAATTTGGTAAAATATACATAGCATAAAATGTACTGTTTGAACCATTTTTAAGAGTACAGTTCAGCAGTGTTCAGTACATTCGTGGCTTTGTGTGACCATCAGCACCATCCGTGTCTGGGCCCTTTCGTCCTCCCAAACGGAAGCTCTGTGTTGATCGAACACTAATTCCTGCCCCTCCTCCAGGCCTGCGACCTCTGTTCTACTTTCTGTCCTCTTTGAAATTTGACTTTCTAGATACATCACATAAATTATTATATAATACATATTTCATGCAACATGGGCCTTTTGTGTGTGACTTATTTCACTTAGCATAATGTTTTCAGTTCATCCCTGTTCAAGCATGTGTGGTTACTGCAAGTCCTTTTTAAGGCTGAGTGACGTCCCGTTCTGTGTATAGACCACGTTCTGTTAACTCATTCATCAGTGTGCATTTGGATTGTTCCCACCTTATGGCTATTTTGAACAAAGTTGTATGTCCATGCCTTTTAAACACCATTTGTGTGGTTGTCTATGTCTTTCTGTGTACACTGTCTTTAAAAAGCAAGGATAGAACATGTTCCATGATCTTCTTTAGGTCTGCATTGAGGTTGGTATATTATTACTTCAAAAGTCTGATCTAGTTTATTTCTGTTTTGGTTTCAGGGTTCAAGTAAAACCGGCGGTTCCAGGCAGCAGTGGACGAAGATCATATGGTCGTGTAAGGAAACCTTCCGAAAGCAGCTGGGGAGACTGCTCACGCACATGTCGTCACCTGCCCACCCTTCCCAACAGAGAAAGCAGATATTTGAAATAGTTCATGAACCAAATTATCAGGAAATACTACGAGACTGCCTCAGCCCATCTCTGCAAGTAAGAATCTCCGTGTTTCATACATAAAAACTGTTGGTGAAACATCAAATTGTACAAAACGAGAACTGAAATCAAACTGTATTTTCATGTCAAACATTATAAGTATAGTTTACTTCTCAAATATCACCCAGGTCTTTCTTCAGATGCTCTTCACCCATCTCAGTTTGACCAGTTTATGCCCCATTCTTTTCTGGTGCCTTTTAAGGGCCTTCATTTATGTTAAGTCCTTACAGGGCCATTTGTAGCTTATTACTGAGTATTAAAGCATTTCCTCTAAGAACTGTTTGGAACCTGTTTAAAGCATTCTATTTATTATCCATGAAACATCTATATGCTGAATAGTTCAAACAACAGTACATATGACATGCTTTAGAAAATGTTTACAGTAATTTAGAAAAAATGTTGATTATTTATAATGATCAAAATCAAAATACCTATAAAAATTTCAGACCGTATAATAAATCCTATCACTTCAAGAATGACAGTGGGAGAGTTTAAATGGTTATAACTGTTTTAGAGAGCTATTTAGCAGTTTCTTATATATTAAACACACAGTTAACCTGTGACCCTAAAATTCCATCTTTAGATGTTTACCAAAGAGAAATTAAAATATATGACTGTAAAAAGACTTGTTCAAAAATATCCATGGCAGCCTTTTCACTAATAGCCAAATACTGGAAAGAACCCAGATGTCTATCAACAAGAGAGGGTATAAGCAAATTGTGATGCACTTATTCAGTAGAGTTTATACAAAAAACAGACCACTGCCATACCTGCCATTGTGGAGGAAGTGCTAAACATTGCACTGGCTAAGGGACAGACAAACACAAGAGAGTTCAAGAGCAGGTGAAAGTGAGACATGGTGACAGACAGTTGTCTCTGTGAGGAGGAGGCAGTGAGAAGGGGAACTGATTGGAAAGGAGGCTTACGAAACTCCCCGGGTGACGAAAATGTGGTCTCATTTTGGATGTCGTTACATGGGTATACACAGTTGTTGAAACTCATAGAAATGAATGAACCCTTAATATGTGTGTGCTCACTGTATACCCCTATTAGTAAAGTAAGAGATGAGATACAGGGTCTGGCAGAAGTAAGGCCTGCTTGAGTGTGGCTGGTAGGGTAATATGGGTGTAAACATTTATAGTTTTAATTTGAACATTTCACCTAAAATGCCACGTGGTATGCTTGAGTGTGATATTGTTATGTTACAGAATTGCATGCTTAGGATTTTGTAATAAAAGATTTTGTAATAAAAAAGGGGCATTGTTTGTGCTGGACCCTGTGAAAGAAAGGAAAAATATCTCTTTTAATCCCTGGGAAACCCAGGTGTATCATATTAGGAACCAAAAGGTCGTAGCTTCCAAGTAACTTATAGGTGCTCTTTCCAATATTAAGACTGTCTCAAGTGCACAAGGAGCATTGTCTTCCCCTCCCGAGGCAGAAGGGCATCCAGGCCCCTGGTTTCCTTCCCTGGAGAACTTGGAGTGGTCTTTCCTTCCTTTCCCCTCAGCAGAGGCGCCGCCCATCCAAAGCAGCCCTAGTGACCAGTCCTGTTTCGCGTGTCAGCCTTCCTCCTCTGCCTCCCCGTCCTGTCAGCGTGCCCTTACCGACTCAGTCTAAACACTGGAACTCTGGCTGATTGTTTCTTCTCTCCCGAATCCACTTCATCACAGGGAAAGGGCTTTGTTTAGCTACCCCTCTCTCTCTCTCTCTCTCTCACTCACTCTGTTGTCACCCGCCCACTGTGTTCAGGCTTCTACTCCTTATGCTCTGGTCACTATGATAACCTCTGCACTCAAGACCAAATTACTGTACCTGATTTTTTAAAGTTTATTATGGAAAATTTCAAATATACGTACCTTAAAGTTGAGAGAAATCAAAAAAGAACCCCACGTGACCATTACCCAGCTTCAATTTTTCTTTTTTCCTTTGTATAATTTTGAAACAAATGTCAGGTATCAAATCATATTGCTTGTAAATACTTCAGAATGTATCTCTAACCAATAAGGACTTTTTAAAAACATCATGCTCAGTAATATTAATCATTCTTTATTATCATATAATATCCAATCAGCATTTAAATTTTCCCATATTGCTTATAATTAAAAAAGTATTGACTTGAGAGAGAGAAAAAAACATTGATTTGTTCCTCTTGTTCATTCATTCGTTGGTTGATTCTTGTATGTGCCCTGACCAGGGATCAAACCCAAAACCCTGATGCATAAGGGATGATGCTCTAACCAACTGAGCTACCTGGCCAGGACATTTTATAACTTTTTAATAGTTTGCTTGTTTCTGGAACCAAACAGGCCCATACATTGCATTTGTTGGATGTGTGCTAAATATTTTTAATCCATGGCAATTAGCCTCCCTAGCCATTTTTTAATATTACTCATTCATTGATTAAACTGGGTCATTTATTCTGTAGAGTTTCCCGTATTCTGGAATTGGCTAATTATATCCTTATGGCTATATATTTAGAGCCTTGATTAGATTCCGTTTCCTGGTTTCATATTTGTTTTTGTGGTTTTTTCTTCTCTTAAAGAATATTTACTAGGGGTGAGTGTTCCATTACATCAGAGCAGGAGCCAGAGAAGTCCAGTTGCCCTGCTTTTCGAGATGGTTGTCAGCCGGATCCACCCATTACAGAGTTCACCCTCAACCTATATAACCTGATGGTTTTAGCAGCCATTGGTGATAGTTGCCAAGATCCACTTTTCATTAGGAGTTGCCAACTGTGATTTCTCTAAGTTTCTCATCTCCCCGGAGCAGCTATCAGCTGTGATTCATCTGTAGGAAGGAATATTCCCTTCTTAACTATCTGGCTGTCCTAAAATATGGCCTCTATAGGAAAGGCAAGATAAATATTTATTTACCTCATTTATTAATTTTTAGAATAAGGAATTGGTGCTCTAGCAACCTTTAATTTTTGTATTTGTTTTTATTTTTGAGGTATCATTATGAACTCAGGTGTTTTCTTAAAAATTTTATAAATAGTTTCAAACTGCTGTAGTTATTGTTCTGTTTGATATTTAAATTAACACCACTGTAGAGTCAAGTTGTTAGTTTCTTTTAACACGGCCATTTAATTTTGAACATGTTGATGAGATTAAATTCTTTGTTCTGGAACATAAGAATGTCCCACACTCATCCTGTGTTTATTCTTCCCAACCTGAAACCGAAGTTTTCCTCAAAAAGCCCCTATTGCCCTGGCTGGTATAGCTCAGTGGATTGAGCGTAGACTGTGAACCAAAAGGTCACCAGTTCGATTCCCAGTCAGGGCACATGCCTGGGCACAGGTCCCCAGTGGTGGTCACATGAGAGGCAACCGCACATTGATGTTTCTGTCTCTCTCCCTCCCTTTCCCCTCTGTCTAAAAATAAAAATAAAAAAGTAAAAAAAAATATAAAGCCCCTATTTTCTTTTAATGAAATAATAGTACTTAAAGACCACAGATCCAGGGACTAGGTACATTCACTTATGTTAGGTTATCATTTCTTGTTCACTTTTTTAGTGGGAAAAGCTGGGAAATATGTATCTTTTTAGGAAAAAAATCATAAATTCATACTGATACTTCACTTTTTCTTAGGTTTTATACTTCGTATTTCTTTTTATTAATGTTGTCATCTTCCTAATGACATTAACATACTGATTTGCTCTATCTTTCTGTATCTATATCTGTTTTCAAAATAAGATGACCAACTATATCACTAATGACAAGCCCACTGAATGCAGCTTGAGATTTCTTGTGATTCTTAAATAGCATTATGGATTTACCATGAAAGTACTGTATTATAAAAGCTCTTAAAGTAACTTTTATTTGGTTATGCCACAAACTTCAACTAACTAGATTTCTAAAATTTGTTTTCTATTGTTTAGGATTCCATTGGGTTTAACTTCATTTTTAACTATGTGAAAGTGTCTACATGGATCCAAAGTCAAAGTTGTGGAAATACCATATTAGGAGGGGTTCTGGCTTTTATCTCTAGACCCTCCCCCCCATTATTTCCCTTTCCCTGTGTGTCACTGTCGGTATTTGTTCTTCAGTGCTGTGGGCTACATGAGCTGTTCTATACACACACGTGTGCACACACTTATCTGTTATCTCCTCCACTTCTCAGCACAGAGGAAGGTAGTGAATTGTACACACTCTTCTGCACTTTCTTCAACTAACAGTATGTCCTAGAGGTCATTCCACAGCAGTTATAATATATATACTTCTTTTTTTTTTGATAGCTGCCTGTAGGCTATATCCATTTGTAATGTGTGTGATTTTTCAAGCCCTAGGTTTCTCCTGCTACACCTTGAGCCGGCTTAACTCTCCAGCATGTGATGCTGCCTCTTTGAAAGAGCATTTCATCTGTGCTACACCCTCCTCACCGCCTGTGTATTCATTCCTGCTGACACGCTGCGTGATGCACGTGTCCTTACAGCCGGAAAGCCTCTCTCCTCCCCTGTGTCTGTCCACCTGCCACTGCACCCGTTCACCCACGCACCCAGCTCCCTCTGCCCCACCTTCAGAACCTTCCTCCCTTGCTCTGGTCCACTCAGAGCTCTCTCTTTCTAGATACTTTAATGGAAACCTGTCTTTTTACATATTCTAGCATTTTATTATTTTCCGAGGATTTGTGTTTAATAGATTCTGCTCCTTAAATAAATCTTTTGAGCCCTGACTGGTGTGGCTCAGTTGATTGGGCATCATCTCACAAAGCAAAAGGTCACTGGTTTGATTCCCAGGTAGAGGGCACATGCCCGAGTTGTGGGTTTGATCCCCAGATGGGGCACGTCAAGAGGCAACTGATCGATGTTTCTCACATCGATGTTTTTCTCCCTCTCTTTCTCCCTCCTTCCTCCCTCTCTAAAAATAAATAAATATTATTATTTTTTTAAATTAGCCTTTTGAGAACTGAAGACAAGACTCTTTTTTGTTTGTTTTTATCAATCCTCAGTCATACCTTTTCTAGTCTCAGGAACTACAATCAGTAATTGATTGATTAGAGGATGTTAAAATGAGTTATCAGAAACAACTTCAGTCTCTAAATCATCTGTTATGTGGATATTCAGAGTGAATAAAAACATTTCTGATAGTTTGTCAAGATAATTTTAGAGTGTCCCTGAATACTAAATGGAAATATTTTTACAGTTATATTAAGAGCCTTTCCTTCAGGGCACATGTGAAAATATCCCAGTCATTTACCACTTCTCTTTATTTGCCAACTCTTTGGGCCTTTTACTCACAGAGCATCTGCTCAGTTTTCTCTTTCAGTCGGATAGCAGCTGTCTCCTGACTCTTTTAAAATGTTGCATCAAAATGAGGTTTGCTATTTTCATCATACATATGTTCATCTTATGCTTTTAGGAAATGGCATGAGGTGATTCAGCATGTTAATGTAAATATCACCCAAAATGTAACAGTTTCCAAATTCCATTTGTTGACATTTAATACTATTCACAGTTTAAAATGTCATAAAGCCAAATACAGTGGTATTTGTATTCATGCAAATTTTTAAGAAGTAAAACTGCGTGTTTAATTGTTGACAGAATTCATGTCTAAATAATGCATAGCGTGCACATAATAATTGGGCGTAACTTCTAGAGCGTAGAAGGGCCACCTAAAAATCATGAGTAGGTGTAGGTTCATGTTACGAAGAATGGTTGTTATTGCCTTAAGTAACAACACTCTAATTTTAGTCATAGGTTCTGTTCATAAAAGTCTGGCCTAAAGCAACCCTTCTCTGGGTGTTCACAAGTGCTCAGGTCTTCCTAGTTTTAGAGTTCTCCTTAGGAGCGCTGAATCTTATAAGCTCATCCAAAGACAGCTTTTTGTCTTAGAATTTTCACCACCTTCTCTTCGACCAAGCAGAAGTCAAAGGAGAGAGAATAAATAAGCATAACTCCCTTATCTCAAGATTTAAAGGAAAGTTCCCATTCCAGTTAAATTTTTCTATGAGAAAAACTAAGAATGATTTTTCCTTATCCCAGTCTTATTTCCTATATTTCTTCAGCTAATCCTCTCCAGAATTTGTTTTCCAAAAGCCTGCTTGCTATTTGCTAGCCTTTCTTTTCCTTCTTTTCTTCCCTCCCTTCCTCCCTTTCTTCCTTCTTTTTCCCTCTTTTTCTTTCTTTTTTTTACCTTTGACAATGAAAATTTTCAAGCATACTAAGAAAAATAGCATAATGTAATGAATACTATATAACCATCATATAGATTTAATAATTGTTAATATTTTTATCATATTGGCATCATTTCTTCTTCCTCTGAAATATTTTTAAATAAATGATAGAAATTACATTTTTTCAAAAGGCCTTTTCTTATATAACCATAACAAACCTTATACCCAGCAAAATTAGTGTACTTATGAAATATCCAATATATAATCAAATATTTTCAGTTGCCTCTAGAGCATCTTTTTTTAGCTCATTTATTCAAACCAGATCTAATCAAATAAATCTAGCAATATAATTTAATTTAATTACTGTTAAATAATTTGAATGTAAGAAATAAAAATTCTTTATGACTGAAAAAATGTGTTACTTTGTTTCAAAGCATGGAGCCAAGTTAGTTTTGTATTTGTCCGAGTTGATACATAATCACCAAGATGAACTGACTCAGGAAGAACTAGACACAGCAGAAGAGCTTATGAATGCTTTAAAGTTATGTGGCCACAAGTGCATCCCTCCCAGCGCAGCAACAAAACCAGAGCTTCTTAAAATGATCAAAGAGGTAAGCTGGTGAAACAAACAATTTTCTTAAAAGATCCCACTAACTATAATGAAAGAATGTTTGAAGGCTTGTTTTTTATTACAGTGTATCATTGATGATGAATTTGAAATAATTTTTTCTGCCTATTTCTTTTTTACTTTGAGAGAACAAACGGGCTTATTTAAGGAATGTTTTGTCTTCTGTGTTCATCCTTATGTGTTATCAGTAGCTTTCAGTGAGGGAAAGATTTTTACAGTTACAGGCAAGTGGAAAAACCAACCTGAGTTATGGGTTCTTTCATGAAAGAGCAAAATAAGGGAGCAGGCACCTATGCAAGCCCACCAGGTTTGGCAACTCTGGCTAATGGTTCTATCCTAAATCCTGTGAACCAAATTATATGGAAACAAAAGGGAATTATAGCATTATTTAAGTGGTTGTGTTAATATTCTGGTCTCCTGGGGATGATATTTTTTCCTTTGTTAACTTGGTTTTACAATTAGTTTATTGGGCCCTGCCAATGTTAAATAATAAATAACAAGTTTTATATACTACATTATTATTTAAATCTTTTAGGAACAAAAGAAATATGAAACTGAAGAAGGTGTGACTAAAGCAACCTGGCATAACACAGTTAATAATAATCAACAAAGGTAGGATTGTATGGATGGAAAAGCCATGTCTTTTAGGTTGCCATTAGCTTTCACATATACCTTTAGTTTTTAAGGGTCATGTTTTGATACACATTTCATGTTCCACATGTGCTTAACTTATGGACAATCTTGTTTAGTCTCTTTCAGCGTCTTGATTCAAAGTCAAAGGATATCTCTAAAATAGCTGCAGATATCACCCAGGCAGTGTCTTTCTCCCAGGGAATTGAGAGGAAAAAGGTGATCCAGCACATCAGAGGGATGTACAAAGTCGATCTGAGCGCCAGCCGGCACTGGCAGGAGCTCAGTCAACAGCTGACACACGACAGGTGAGCAGAGTGCGGGCTGTTTGGGTGGCCTTGCATGCGTGTTTCACATGTCCATGTCAATGACTGGTTTCATTCCACAGAGCCAGAACATGATTCCATTAGTGTAAAAATTTTAAATCATTTGTGATTTATTTCATCTTGAAGAGGAATCGAACAGGAGTTTGTTTTTTTTTTAACTCTCGAGGAGGATAAAAATGCAGAGAGGCCTTATTTAGCTCTTCCAGCAAGTACAAATATATATATTGCTTTTAATTTTAAAATATGGTCTTTGCAAAAGAATTGAGAAGTCACTGAAACAGGGTAGTTGGGAAGCAGATATTTTTCTAGCTAAGTCCTTAATAGTACTTAAAATATCCTTCAAAAATAATGAAGAGAAAAATTAAAGTATTATTCTCTAAATTTGGATAACTGATTAGGTTATTTTTATTTTTCAGTATGGTTGCCATACAATATTATACTAGTTTCATGTGTAGAACAGAGTGATTAGACACATATGTAACTTACCAAGTAATCGCCTTCATTGTGGCTGGCACCCACCGGCGCCAGACATATTATGACAGTGTCATTGACCCCATTCCCTGTGCTGTGCTTTACATCCCTGTGAGTACTTTAAAACGGCCAGTTAGTGCTTTGTAATCCTTTCACCATTTTGGATCATTCCCCCCAGGACCCCCTCATCCGGCAACTATCAGTTTGTTCTCTTCATGAGTTTCTTCCTGTTTTGTTTTTTACATTCCCCATATAAGTGAAATTATACAGTGTTTGTCTCTCTGACTTATTTCACTTAGCATAATAAGTGGAACAACCTCTAGGTTCATCCATATTGTTGTAAATGATGAGACTTCTTTTTTTATGACTGAGTAATATTCTGTTGTATATATGCACCACATATTTATTCACTCATCTATTGATGGGCACATAAGTGGCTATTGTATATAATGCTGCAATGAATATAGGGGTTCATATATCTTTTTGAATTAGTGTATTGAATTTCTTCAGGTAAATACCCAGATGTGAAATTGCTGGGTCATAAGGTAGTTCTGTTTTTAATTTTCTGAGATACCACCATACTCTTTTCCACAGTGGCTGTGCCAATTTACAATCCCACCAACAGTGCACAAGGGTTCCCTTTTCTTCTCTTCCTTGCCAGCACTTGTCGTTTTTTGATTTATTGATCATAGCCATTCTGACCAATATGAGGTGATATCTCATTGTGATTTTCATTTGCATTTCCACGATGATGAGTGATGTTGAGCATCTTCTTTTCACGTATCTTTTGAGCATAACATAAGTGATTAGTATATCCTTGGGGTGCTAAAAAACACTACATGTTATAATCTAAAGCAAATTCCAGGTTAATGGAAGAATTTTAAAGTCGAAGAAAAGTTTATAAAGTAGATGACAATTTATAAAGTAGGAAAATAGTGTATTTATCAACTCTTTGATGGAGGAATAACTTTTTAAGATCGGACACAATAGAAACTACAAAGAAAAGATGAATGGATTTGACTTTGTTTCCAGTGTAATTAACAACTATAACAAGAACAGCAAAACATCATAATTTATTTTCAGCAAATATATCAATTAATATTTTATCATTTTAAAGTTCATAAAGATTTGAAAGTAAAATATTAAGATCCCCAAAATTTGAATGAGCAAAAGACATGAATACACTCTTTTTGCGTCTAAAAATTATTTAATTTATTGATTTAAATTATTATTTTTTATTTACTTTTTTTGTTTTTTAATGTATAATTTAAATTTTTAAAATATATTTTATTGATTATGCTATTACAGTTGTCCCAGTTTTTTCTCCCCCTTATTCCCCTCTGCCCTGTACCCCCCCTCCCATCATCATTCCCGCACCTTAGTTCTTGTCCATGGATCATACACATCAGTTCTTTGGCTTCTCCATTTCCCATGCTATTCTTAACCTCCCCTGTCTATTTTGTACCTACCACTTATGCTTCTTATTTCCTGAACCTTTCCCCGCATGCTCCCCCTTTTCTCCCCACTGATAACCCTCCATGTCATCTCCATTTCTGTGATTTTGTTCCTGTTCTAGTTTATTTTGTTTTTGTTTTTTAATTTTAGATTCAGTTGTTGATAGTTGTGCATTTATTGCCATTTTACTGTTCGTAGTTTTGATTTCCTTCTTTTTCTTAAATAAGTCCCTTTAACATTCCATATAATAAGGGCTTGGTGATGATGAACTCCTTGTACTTGACCTTATCTGAGAAGCACTTGATCTGCCCTTCCATTCTATGTTATAATTTTACTGGATAGAGCAGTCTTGGATGTAGGTCTTTGGATTTCATGACTTGGAATACTTTTCTCCAGCCCCTTCTTGCCTGTAAGGTCTCTTTTGAGAAATCAGCTGTGACAGTCTAATGGGAACTCCTTTGTAGGTGACCGTCTCCTTATCTCTTGCTGCTTCTAGGATTCTCTCCTTCATTTTAATCTTGCCTAATGTAATTAAGATGTGCCTTGGTGTGTGCTTCCTTGGGTCCAACTTCTCTGGGACTCTCTGGGTTCCTGCACTTCCTGGAAGTCTTTTCCCGTTATCAGATTGGGGAAGTTCTCTTTCACTACTTTTTCAAATTTTCAATGTCTTGCTCTTCCTCTCCTCCTTCTGGCACCTCTATGATTCGAATGTTGGAATGTTTAAAGTTGTCCCAGAGGTTCCTAAGTCTGTCCTCATTTTTTTAACTTCTTGTTTCTTCATTCTGTTCTGATTAAATGTTTATTTCTTCCTTTTGCTCCAAACCATTGATTTGAGTCCTGGTTTCCTTCCTGTCACTGTTGGTTCCCTGTACATTTTCCTTTATTTCACTTTTTATAGCCACTTCTTCCTCTATTTTGTGAGTCCTGATTACCAGTTTTTGAATAGTGCATCTGATAGGTTGGCTATCTCTTCATTGCTTAGTTCTGTTTTTTCTGTGTTCTTTTATTTGGGCCATACTTTTTGTCTGGGTGCACCTGTTACATAGTAAGGGGTGGAGTTTTAGGTATTCGCCAGGGCGGGGCAACCCATGTTGCTGCATCTTGACGCTGTATGTGGGGGGAGGGGTCTGAGAGGAAACAATGGTGCTTGCTCAGCTCTTGGCCACTTTCAGTCACTTCCCCCACTACCCACAAACAAATTGGGCCCTTCGGGTGCTGATTCCCACGTGGTTGGGTTTGTGTACATTCTAGGACCCTGTGGGTCTCTCTAATGAACCCTCCTGTGAGGCCGGGAGTGTCTTCCACCAAAACTCCCCCAGGTTTTTTCAGTCAGAGGTTCTGAGGCTTTATTTCCCTGCGCTGGAACCCTGGGTTGGGCAGTTTGTCTAACCTCCCAGTTGTTGCTCCCAGTGTATTCTCATGCAGATGTGGGACCACCTGCTCCACCAGCAGGCCTCAACTGCCTGGTCCGCCAGCTGCCACCTTGCCTCTCCACCCTAGCTGCCTGTCTCCGCCCCGCCTACCCATCTGAATGAATACTTCTTCTTTAACTCCTTGGTTTTCGGACTTCATACAGTTCAGTTATCTGGCAGTTCTGGTTGCTTTTTGTTTTGAAATTTGTAGTTGTTCTTCTTTTGGTTGTGCAAGGAAGCAAAGCATATCTACCTATGACTCCATCGTGGCTGGAAGTCCTAATTTTTTATGTTATTCTTTTGTACTATGTATCTGTATTCCCCAGTCTAATTATATAAATAGTTGGATTTTCCCTTTTCCTTCTTTTTTAGTTGAATAAATAAGTTTTGATTTATTCAATTTATACTATGATTTTTAATGTTTTTATTTTATTGATCATGCCATTATATTTGTTCTATTTCCCCCCTCCATTCCCCTCCACCCTGCACACCCCTCCCCCATCATGCCCCCCTTTAGTTCATGAACACAGGTCTCAAGTTCTTTAGATTCTGTATTTCCCCTACTATTCTTACCCTCCCCCCCATCTATTTTCTATCTACTGTCTATGCTACTTATTCTCTGTACCTTCTCCCCCCTTCTCCTTCTCCCACTCCCCTGTTGCTAACCCTCCTTGAGATCTTCATTTCTATGGTTCTGCTCCTGATCTAGCTGTCCTCTTAATTTGCTTTTGTTTTAGGTGTGGTTGTTGATAACTGTGAGTTCGCTGTCCTTTCACTGTTCATCTTTTTTATCTTCTTTTTCTTAGGTAAGTCCCTTTAACATTTCATAGAATAAGGGCTTGGTGATGATGAACTCCTTGAATTTGATCTTATCTGGGAAGCACTTTATCTGTCCTTCCATTCTAAATGAAAACTTTGCTGGATAGAGCAATCTTGGTTGTAGGTCTTTGGTTTTCATGACTTGGAATACTTCTTTCCAGCCCCTTCTTGCCTATAAGGTCTCTTGAGAAATTCACTGACAGTCTGATGGGAAGTCCTTTGTAGGTGACTATCCCCTTAGCTCTTGCTGCTTCTAGGATTCTCTCCTTCATTTGAATCTTGGCTAATGTAATTATGATGTGCCTTGGTGTGTTCCTTCTTGGGTCCAACCAAATTCTTTGGGACTCTCTGAGCTTTCTGGATTTCCTGGAAGTCTATTTCCTTTGCCAGAATGGGGAAATTCTCTTTTATTATTTGTTCAAATAAGGTTTCCACTCGTTACTGTTCCTCTTCCCCTTCTGGTACCCCTATAATTCGGATATTGGAGCATTTAAAGATGTCCTGGAGGTTCGTAAGCCTCTCCTCATTTTTTTGAATTCTTGTTTCTTCATATTTTTCTGTTTGGTCATTTTTTTCCTCTTTCTGTTCCACTCCATTGATTTGAGTCCCAGTTTCCTTTCCATTACTATTGGTTTCCTGTGCATTACCATTCATTTCAATTAGTTTAGCCTTCATATGTTCCTCTAATTTGTGACTAAAATCAACCAGTTCTGTGAGCATCCTGATCACCAGTGTTTTGAACTGTGCATCTGATAGTTTGGCTATTTCTTCATCACTTAGATTTATCGGCTCTGGGGCTCTGAGTTCTTCTTGAGCCATGTTTTAATCTGTTTGTGCCTGTTACATATGAGGAGAGGCGCCTTAGGTGTTCACCAGGGTGGGGCCACCGAGGTTGCTGGTCTGTAACACAGTATGTGGGGGCGGGGTCAGAGAGGGAGCAATGGCAGTCCTCTCTGCTTGCCCAGTCCGCCTCACTGTTCGCCCCCTGCCTGTTTATCTTAGCGCAAATGTGCGAGCCCACCGCCCTGCGCTGCAGTCTCAATGCTCGCCTCTTCACTGGTTTATCTGTGCGCAAATGTTCAACTGCAGACAGCCAGCCATGCCTCTTCCCTGTGTCCACCCGTAGCTAGCCCACACCTGGGATCTGCGCCCTCGGCTGCCTGTGTATCTCCCGGGTCGGGTGATCTTCCCTGTCCAACCTGCTCTGATGCTGGTTTCACCCCTCTCTCCAGTTTAGCAGAGCGGTTTGTTGTTTTCAGACTCCGTATTGTCGATTTTCTGTGTGGTTTGGTTGCGTTTATTGTTGTTAAAACTTTGTTGTTTTTAGGTTTGGTTGTGCGAGGACGCAAAGTGTTTCCACCTATACCTTCATCTTGGCAGAAGTCCTATACTATGATTTTTTAAAGCTTACAGGTACTTCACATTGACACCTAAAACATTCTTTTCTTTTGACTTGTAGAGCAGTCTGGTATGATCCCATCTACTATCCAACTTCCTGGCAGTTGGATCCAACAGAAGGGCCAAATCGAGAGAGGAGGCGCCTACAGAGATGTTACTTAACTATTCCAAACAAGTATCTCCTTAGGGATAGACAGAAATCTGAAGGTAATAGTGGCTTTTTGACTCAACATATTAATAGAGCAGATAACTGTGGTCATTAGGTAAAGGTAATATGTGTTCTTTTCCTCAACAGCTGTGGTCAAACCACCACTCTCTTACCTCTTTGAAGACAAAACTCATTCTTCTTTCTCTTCTACTGTAAAAGACAAAGCTGCAAGTGAGTCTATAAGGTAACTTTGAACCAGTAAGATGCTTTCTTTTTTGTTGAAGGAGTTAAAGATTTTTGTAGTCTGTTGTAACACTTATGTACTATTAACTTTAGACAATGTGGTGTGGTTTTAGGAAAGGTCCTAAACATGGCTCAAAAGAGGACAAGGTTAAATGGTCCAAATCCAAAAGGAAAGGTAACTGTTGATAGGAAGGAGCCCTTGGACTTCGGTCATGTGCTCTGGCCCATGTTTGCATGAGTGTTTCTGTAGCGAGCTGTTCGCTGTGGGGTGCAGACTCACTGCTGGCAGCACCCACTGGAAGTCGGGGCAGTGCTGAAAGGACCAGGTCCTGGGCCTGCTCTCATTAGCTTTCTGATCTTGGGCAAGTTACTTACCTCTCTGCGTCAGCTTCCTCACCTCTTGTTGCAGGAGGAAGATGGTAACGCCCAACGTATCATAGAATTGCTGAGTAGTAAACGAGTCGATCATTACCCTGCCCATTTTATAGATGAAAAACTGAGACTCAAAGAATAGAAAGGACTTGACTAAAGAATAGAGGAACTTTTCTGACTCTGAATCCCCCACTCCTAGAAACTAGTCTTCTTTTACGTGTTTAAAGTATCAGAGGCACGTTCCAATGTTTGGTTATTTATTGGAAAATATAAAATATTGAAGTTTCTTTCTCAGTAGCTGAATCCTGTATTCTGCATACAGGATATAGGGGTTATTAGCTTTTTCTAAAAGTTTTAGTCATTTTCCCCCCTACTAGAACGTTAAAGAATGAGATAATATTTTTATGTGGGTTTTGACAAGACACGGTGTGCTTCAAACTCATCTGTGTTGCTGAAATCTTTCACTAGATACAGTATAGCTTATACTTTCTAAAATTGTTCAAAACATTTAATCATAGTAATTTTCAATATGTTTTGACAGAGTGAATCGAAGATGTATCAGCGTTGCACCATCTAGAGAGACAGCTGGTGAACTGTTATTAGGTAGGTCACACTCTGAAGAGTTTTACATGTGTTCACCCCATCTTACTGTGTTCTGGGTGATTTAGAGCATCATTTTGACACACTGGCATTCAAGGAGATGAACTTTCTCTAACACCACATACATTATGCTGCCGCAACATTATGTGTAGTGCATTGACTCATGAATGTGAAGAAATGACAGTCTTGTCCCTGAGAAGCATATGACTAGCATTTTAATTTTTATAAAGTTGACTTTGTTCATGAGTATACATTTTATATTTAGTCATTCCTTTTATTATGTATCAATTTTTATTTTAGAGTGAAGAGTTATTATTAATATTATTATATGCCTACTGTGTTGACAGATATACCTGTGCCCTATATCTACCTTGAGATGTATAATTTATAGTCTCTATTGTACTTCTGAGAGAAAGACCATGCTTGTCAATGCACAGAGACCTATGTAATCACATTAGGTGAGAAGTATTTTCCTCAAGATGTGAAGGAATGAAGTGGTACCAGTTGGTCTCTGTTCCTTTAAAGAGCCAGATCATGTGCTGCAGGCCGGTTGTCCTCAAAGTGTGGTCCCCAAATCAGGAAGAGCAGCAGCAGCATCACATCGGACTTCTTAGAAATGCACTTTCTCAGGCCCCAGCCCTGACCAACTGAATCTGAAACTCTGGGGTGGATCCCAGCCATAAGCCTTTTGATGAGCCCTCAGATTAGAGCCTCATTGCCCCTGAGGCCCAATGTGCACAGCTTTGAGTGTGCTGGGACAGCAGCCCCTCTGGGCCAGCCAGGCCAGCGCTCGAAGGTGACCAGCCTACAGGGCAGGGCCCAGGCAGTTCCTGCCATTGAGATACATGATATATCACCACAGGCAGTCTTATCAACTGCCTGTGGAGGAGGAAAACTTGGCAGATGATCTTTTAAGCCATTTCTGCCTTACTGAGTGTTTAAGTCAGCAAAGTAATTAAGATTTCCTCTTTTGCTAGGAAATTTGGTTTACAACTTGACTTCAGTTAATGTGTGATGAAATAAAGCAAGATAATATGCTGGCAACATAAGAATACTGGTGGTAATAAATGGCCAACCTTTTTTAGCACTGAGTGCCAGGCACTATTAATAAGCAGTTTGCATATAGCCTAATTCCCACAGTAACCCTATGAAATAGAGTCCTCTCCTCCCCCTTCTTTTTGTAAGGAAACTAAGACACGGAGGTTGAGCAGCTTGCCTGAGATCTCACAGATGATTCAAAAATAGGTCTTGAGTGTCAGGAACTGTTTCTGGGTGATGGCATTTGAATTCAGGCCACTAACTGCAAAGGGCATGCTTGTAACCATATCAGGTAATAGTGCGTACATTTGAAACTCACATACAGCTATATTCTGCAGGTAAATGTGGAATGTATTTTGTGGAAGATAATGCTTCTGATACAATTGAAAGTTTGGTGAGTAGAAGTTTAAGTTTTCACTAATTAAATTCACACAAATTCCCAAGATGTGTAAATTCAGCATTACCATAAAGCAGGCAGAACTTTTAGAGCTCATTTATTGTGACTTAATGTGTCGATTTATCCTTTTAAAAGATCGTTCTAACAAGAAGACCATGCGTCTCTGCTGGGGCATGGCCTGAGTCTCAGCCGTTGCTTTTCGAGGCAAGTTCTCAGTCGCTCCTGTCCTTTCAGCGTTGTCCACTGCTCCTCATCACTCTCCTCCGTAGCGACAAGTGACTCCTCCTGCCATTCCCAGTTCACTACCCAGTACGCTTGCCTTCAAAAAGTTAGGGAAGCATTACATAGTTGAATAATGTAAGTTTTCCCAATAGTCACATAGGTTAGTAATCATAGTTTTCATTCTGGAAATACTGATATTCAGAAAATAACGAAAAGGTTCAATATACATTTTTTATTGTAAAGATTTTTATTCATTTGAATTAGCATGTATTTCATTAAAGTGTTGTTTTGAAATCCTTGTCATAGGAGAAATAAGGCTTTTTGTTTCTGAAAAGTTCTAAAGCTAGAAATTCCTGAGGATATACTAAATAAGATTATGTATGGTTTAATGGTGAATACATACTTGATTCAAAGAAATTAATGAGGGAGAATATAAAATTTAGTAGTAAAACAACTAATGTAAAAATTTGTAAGAATATTTAATATAGCCCCCAAAACAAGTAGGCATCCTTTCGTGATTTAATAGCAATTACCACAGCATTTATATCAGTAAAAGTAGAGTTACGTTGTTTTTCCAGAGGTGTCTTTTTAACATCCGAGAAATTCAATGGTTGATATATAACCAACATTTTTCTGGGTCCAAAGATAACTTTTCCTTCTTTAAACCTCTCCTAAAAATACCCTTGTCTTTTAATGGATTGAAGGCCCCTTCCTTCCTCTGTACTTGTGTAGCGCTTGTCCTCATTTATGTGGCGCTGCTGTCTGGCATCTCAGACATGTGCCCGGGTGTCTGCGCCCCCTTTCCCTTACACGGGTGTGTCTCATGGGCAGCCCTCGAAGACCACCTCTGCGGGGACTCAGTGAATGGTGAATTGACTGCGTGTTGAATGTTGCAGCTGAACAAGAAGAATTTGGTTTTAAGTATAGAAAAATTACATTTTCATTAAGACATTTTATAGTATGTGTGATATATTTCCTGACTTGACTTTTTCTATTGTTGTTTAGCTACAGTTTGCCCCATTTTCCCCAATTGCTCTCCCCTGCCCTGCCCGCCCCACCTCTCCTTCATTCAATCCTCCCCACTCCTCATTGTCCTTTACACATGTTCCTTGACTTGACCCTTCCCCTTCTTACCCCCATTGTCCCCCTCCCCTGTGGTCACTGTCAGTGTTCTTTATCAGTTGGGACCCAGTGTAATAGTAAAACACACACAGAGCGGCCCAGAGTGTCACTTCCTCCTTGCTGCTGGTTTCAAATTCCTCTTTTCTTGTGACTCCTAGAGATCTCATTTTGCTTACTTTTCTTGCAAACTCGTGTACACATGTAAAAGAGTATGTTCTTAGTAGAAGAAATCAGTCTGAACAGGCTACATACTGTATGATTCCAACTCTATGACCTGGAAAAGGGAAACTGGAGACAGTGAAATGGTCAGCATTGCCAGGAGCTGGGGGGCAGTACACCAACGAATGGGCCCCAGAGGGTCCCTTGGGCAGGAAGACCGTTCTGTGACACCATCCTGTGACACCATCACCGTCAGCTCGTTATTCGTAACGTGCACCACACCAGTGCAAGATGTTAGCAACAGGGGGACCGGGCAGGGAGAGGAGACACGTGGGAACTCTAATTGTCTTAAACCTAAAACTGCCCTGAAAAATAGAGTCTGTTACAAAATAAAAATGAAGTCTATTAACTAAAAAACACTTCTAAATTTTATTTAGCACTTTGAAGTGGGTAGTAGGGGGAAGATTTTTAGAGAATCTCACCTGTCATTTTGCCACGAAAGGAAGCCTTTCTGTTGCATTTTGATATTTTTTAAAATCTAAAATTAAAATGATTACTAACATTTCATGTAAAACAAATACTTTCATCCACTTCCTCTGTCCCAGAGCCCTCAGGGAGAATTGGAACCAGCATCATTTTCCTGGACATACGAAGAAATCAAAGAAGTTCACAAGCGCTGGTGGCAGCTGAGAGACAACGCTGTGGAAATCTTCCTGACCAACGGCAGGACACTGTTGTTGGCCTTCGATAACACCAAGGTAACCGGGCTTCATGGCCTGTGCTTCCTGAAGCTCACGACACCAGGGTAACTCCACTCACTCAGCTCAAGTGAAGGCTTACCTGATCTGAACTTGCACTCACTGTTTCTGAAGTCCAATAAAAATTGCCTTATTTCTCAGTCCTAATTCAAGTAAACCCTTGGTTGTATTAGGGTTACTTTTGTCCTCCAAAGCTTAAATTATGGTTCCCCAGAAAGCCTGCATCTGTGAAAAGTGAATGAATGAATGCAAAACTAGCCTGAAAGGAGTAGTTTAAACTTGATGGTAGATTCCGCTTTTTTTTTTTTAGGACTTAAACAGCTTTATTTCATTTTTTTTAAAATTTTTTTATTGATTATGCTGTTACAGTTGTTCTATTCCCCCTTTCATTCCCCTCCACCCTACCCCCCCATCTCCACCATTACCCCCTTTAGTTTATGACCATGTGTCTCAAGTCCTTTAGATTCTATATTTCCCATGCTATTCTTGCCCCCCCTTCCATTTTCTATCTACTGTCTATGCTACTTATTTTCTGTACCTTCTCCTCCCTTCTCCCTCCTCCCACTCCCTTGTTGCTAACCCTCCTTGAGATCTTCATTTCTATGTTTCCACTCCTGATCTAGCTGTCCTTTTAGTTTGCTTTTGTTTTAGGTGTGGTTGTTAATAACTGTGAGCTTGTTGTCCTTTCACTGTTCATGTTTCTTTAACTTCTTTTTCTTAGATAAGTCCCTTTAACATTTCATATAATAAGGGCTTGGTGATGATGAACTCCTTGAATTTGGTCTTATCTGAGAAGCACCTTATCTGTCCTTCCATTCTAAATGAAAGTTTTGCTGGATAGAGCAATCTTGGTTGTAGGTCTTTGGATTTCATGACTTGGAATACCTCTTTCCAGCCACTTCTTGCCTGTAAGGTCTCTTTTGAAAAATCCACTGACAGTCTGATGGGAACTCCTTTATAGGTGACTGTCCCCTTCTCTCTTGCTGCTTCTAGGATTCTCTCCTTCATTTGAATCTTGGCTAATGTAATGATGATGTGCCTTGGTGTGTTCCTTCTTGGGTCCAACTTCTTTGGGACTCTGTGAGCTTCCTGGATTTCCTGGAAGTCTATTTCCTTTGCCAGATTGGGAAAATTCTCCTTTATTATTTGTTCAAATAAGTTTCCCACTGGTGGCTGTGCCTTTCCCCCTTCTGGTACCCCTATAATTCGGATGTTGGAGCGTTTAAAGATGTCCTGGAGGTTCCTAAGACTCTCCTCATTTCTTTGAATTCTTGCTTCTTGACTCTTTTCTGTTTGGCCATTATTTGCTTTCTTCTGGTCCACTCCATTGATTTGAGTCCCAGTTTCCTTTTCATTGCTATTGGTTTCCTGTGCAATTCCGTTCATTTCAATTAGTTTTGCCTTCATATATTTGTCTAATTTGTGGCTATTATCAACCAGTTCTGTGAGGATCCTGATGACCGGTGTTTTAAACTGTGCATCTGAGAGTTTTGCTATTTCTTCATCACTTAGATTTATAGGCTCTGGGGCTTTGAGATCTTCTTGAGCCATTTTTGGTCTGTTCGCACCCTTTAAGTGTGAGGAGCGGTGCTTTGGACTCCCAGGTCGCTGGGTTGTGACGCTGTATGTGGGGGTGTGGTCAGAGCGGGGAAATGGCGGTGCCCTCTGCTGTTTTGCACAGGTGGGTGAGGAGCAGCGCCTTAGGTGGTTCACCAGGGCCGGGCCACTCAGAGTCGCTGGGTTATGATGCTGTATGTGGAGGTGGGGTCAGAGCAGGGAAATGGCGGCGCCCTCCCTGCCACTTGCTGCGGGGACCCGCTGGGTCCCGGTCCAATTACCCACTCCCTCGCTTGTCTATCCATGCACCAATGCGTGACCACAGTCAACCCGCAGCCCTGCTCCCTCGCTGTTTCCCCGCGGTCGCTCGCTCAGTCACTCACTAGGTCCAACCCTGCGCCTGGATTCCGCGCCCCTGAGTCCGTCTGACCGAGTTTTCCTGTGCAACCCCCTCCACCAGCTGCTGGTTTCGCCCCTTGCCGGTCAGACTGAAGAATTTGTTGTTAACAGACTTCCGAAAAGTTCAATTTTCTGTGTTCTGGCTATGTTTTCTGTTGCTAATATTTAGTTGTCTCTAAACTTGGTTGTGTGAGAAGGCACAGATATCCACCTATGCCTCCATCTTGGCGGAAGTCAAGATTCCACTTTTGACAGACCCTGCCTGTCTCGTCACCCACACCCCTTCAGCCGCTGTTGGTGCGCTCTCCTTTCCAGAGAGCCTCTCCGACAAAGCTGTGCGCTCGGCCCCTCCAGGCCCTCCTCAGTCCTCTGTGGAGTCGCTCCAGGCACATTTTCTTCTCACTGCTCCACTGAGCCCTCAGCTCCAGTCCCCAGGGGCCTCCACGTGCTCTGTAGTCCTCATCTTACTGGACCCGTCCACAGCACTGACGCAGAAACGTTTCTCTCTTCCTTAAAACACACCTTCCTTGCTGGGCTTCCAGGTTACCACTGTCTTCTTTCCCCTTTTGCCTCACCAGCCTGCCCTCTCAAGTCTGGCCTGTAGATGCTGCATTTGGGTATCTCAGGGCATGTTCTTGAGGCCCCTTCTCCTCTCATCCAGCCTCGTGGCTTCAAATACTCTCCGTAGTCTGTTTACCATTGGACCTCTCCCCAAACCTCTCCCCTAAACACCACACTCAAGTATCCCACTCCATACTTAGCATCTCCACGTGGAAGGCTAATAGGCATCTCAAATTTAACATGCACAGATCTGAACTTGAATCTTCCCCCCAAATCTCTGCAGCTTTCCTCATCTCAGTAAATAGCAACTCCAGTCTTTCTGGTTGCCAAAAACCTTGGCATTAGTATTATGCCTATAGTATCATGGATTCTTTGGAGGAAAGTGTCACGAAGCCTAAACATCAAATCCGGTTGTTTTCTTTCTCTGCCCTTGTAGGTTCGGGATGATGTGTACCATAGTATACTGACCAATAACCTCCCTAACCTTCTGGAATATGGCAACATCACTGCCCTGACAAATTTATGGTATACTGGGCAAATCACTAATTTTGAGTATTTGACGCACTTAAACAAACATGCCGGCCGATCCTTCAATGACCTCATGCAGTATCCGGTGTTCCCGTTCATACTGGCTGACTACGTTAGCGAGACCCTTGACCTCAGTGACCCGTCCGTCTACAGGTAACAGAAACTTCATCCCCTTTTGGCTTTGTCAACATGCTGTGTTTATTTCATTAAGTCTTCATCATGAATATTTTCTGTCTACACAAAATGAATGAAAATGGAATGAACCGCCATAGGTCCATCACCCCACCTCAACAGTTATAAAGATGTTTGCCAAACTTGCATCATCTTTTTTTTTCTTTTTATTTAAGACAAGTGACAGATACCTTGTTATGTCAACTCCCATGTTCTTCAGTACGTAGCTCCTAGGAAGAAGATAGAATATTTTCTTTCTTTTTTTCTTTATTAAATCCTCATTCAATCATATATTTATTGATTTTAGTTAGAGAGGAGGTAGGGAGAGAGAGAGAAACATTGATGTGAGAGAGAAATATCAGCTGATTGCCTCCCATACATGCCTCAACCAGGTATCGAACCTGCAACCTAGGTGTGTGCCATGACCAACGATTGAACCCGCAAGCTTTTGATGTATGTGATGATGCTCCAACCAACTGAGCCACTAGGCCAGGGCTAGAATATTTTCTTACATAGCTTCATTGCCATTTTGATATCTAAGAAAATTAACATGGTATTATCTAATATCCAGTTCATTTTCACATGTGCCCAGTTGATACCAAAGATAGCTTTTCTAGTTGGTTTACTTGAGTCGGGCCCACTGTCACCTTTGGCTGCTGTAGTGACAAATCAGACTTTTGTAAAGACACCAGAGCTTTGTTTTGTAGACTTGTGTTTATGAATTTTAAATGTGTAGTATTGATTTTTGTAAAGACAAAAAAGACAAACATCTAGAACAGCCTTCCTAATAATGACTTGTTGGAAAAAACAGAAAACTTTTTGTAGGATGCCCCTCATTTCATGTCAGTGTTTAGCATTTTCTCTAGCCTCTGCATTTCCTAGAGATTGGAAATTCATCCTAAAGATTTGTTCAGATTCGGGTTCAGCCTTTTTGTGGGGGTGGGGGAGGAGCGGACTCCCTGACAGATGGTGATGTGGACCCTATGTGACTTCACAGCAGAAAGATGTGACCTCCCACTACAAGAATGCCCAGGTTGATGTGCAGGTTCAGGCTACTTGTGAACCTGGTCTTTTCGTGGGCGACTATTGCTTGAGTCAGTCATTTCATTAGAGATTATAAAATGAAGACTTCCTCTTCTCTCATTTCCTCTGTGTTTATTGGGAGAAAGCGTACGGGGTGATCCTGAGCTCATTTGTTGTGGCAGAGAGCAAGGAAACTAACACAGTCTTATCAGAAAGCACGCGCCTCTTCACACCCTCGTTCACTGCAGCATTATTTACAATAGCCACCTGGTCCTAGATCAGGCAGTTTTCAAGATATGGAAACAGCCTACATGTCCATCAGTAGATGAGTGGATAAGGAAAATGTGGTATATCTATATGAGGGAATATTATCCAGCCATAAAAAAGAATGACATCTTGCCATTTTCTGCAACACTGATGGACCCTGAGGGCATTATGCTAAGTGAAATAAGTCAGACAAAGACAGACAGATAGCATATAATTCACTTATGTGTAGCATCTAAACAAACATAAAACCTGGCTCGTAGACACAAAGAACATGAGTGGTTGCCAGAGAGTGAAGATGACAGGTGGGGGGAGGAGGTCAAAAGGTACAGACTTCCAGTTATAAAATAAATACGCCCTGTGGGTATGGTGCGCAGCATGGCACCTGTGGTGAATAATTCTGTATTTCATGTGTGAGAGCCGCTAAGAGTACATCTTCAGCATTCTTTCATCACGAGAAAAATTTTATAACTATATGTGGTGATGGATGTTAACTAGACTTATTGTGGTGATCATTTTGCAATATATACACGTATCAAATCATTATGTTGTTTGTAAACCTGAGAGTAATAGAGTGTTGTATGTCAGTTATACCTCAATTTTTTAAAAATCTCATATTTGATTTAAAGAAAATGGCTGCAAATATTTTACGTGGTGTATTAGGGTATTTTAATGGTCACTGATGAAAGTAGGCCTAGTTCAGACAGTTTTTAGGAAATCGGATTTGGTTTAATATATTTGTCAATCTATAAAAAAGCAGATGGTACATTATCTTTTAGACATTTTTATACACTCCTGATGGACATTTAAATTATATACTACTGGCATAATTGGATACAATCTTTATGAAAAGCAATTTGATACTATAACCAAGGATCTGTTCAAATGTACACACTCTGTTTTAGCAATTTAACTTCTAGGGCTTCTTCTTAGGGAGTCCTAAAGGTTAGGGGCATGTGCTCCACCAGAAAGGCTCCCACCCGGAGTCAGCCTCGTGAGGCAGGAAGTCGGTCCATCTGGTTCGTACCGAGCACAGCGTCTGGCCCTGCAACCACAAACTGAGCCATCAGAACATGCCTCACACCGTGTTTCAAAGTAAACTGGTCAATGTTGCAGCGATTACAAGTTACATCATAGAAATGTATATTATAGGTGGGGAGAGCTGTTCTTTTTCTTTAAAAAATGAATATGCGCCCTGGCTGGTGTAGCTCAGTGGATTGAGCGTACGCCTGCAAACCAGAGCATCGTGGTTCGATTCCCAGTCAGGGCACATGCCTGGGTTGCAGGCCAGTTCCCAGGAGGGGATGCACAAGAGGCAACCACACACTGATATTTCTCTCCCTCTCTCTTTCCTTTCCCGTCTAAAGATAAATAAATAAAATCTTTTTTAAAAAGTGAATATGCATACATGGGTAAGCAGAGAACATCCGGAAGGGTGTATAACAAAATGTTGTACCTGTGGGTAGTAATAGCAGTGTGGCTGCCTTTTTGGTTTTTTCTATTTTCTCGTCAGTGATTTCTGATTTTCAACCACAATAGTAAGTATCATATCACTTGTCTCTAAAAAAAACCCTATTTATGCAATTTAGAAAAAATTGCATGCCAGGATTTTAAACATTATTTCTCTTATTTTGAAATGTGAATTGTATTTATTCTATAAAGCTGTTTTAACTTTTTAACCAAGTTTTTAAGATCAGAAAAGTCTCAAAAGCAAAATTACTGTATTTGCTATCACTAATTGCAAATCCCTAGGAAATAATGACCAAAAAAAAAGATATAGCAACACCTGGCTAAACAGACCTGGCTCGACTTTCTGAAATGTGGGCGGGTCTCGGTGTTGCTGTAGTTTCACTGCCAGACGTTGAAACTGCAGTGTCCCCTCCCGGCGCCGGACCTGCCCGCTCCTCAGCCTGGGAGCCGCCCGTCCTCGGGCATCTGCGCCTTTTCCACAAGTGAGGGCTCCTCCCTGAGGTCCGCTGTGCACGGCAGCACAGACACGTCCTTTCACGCCACGCGTGGTGTCACTCGTGACCTGTGCATCAGAGAGTGAAACATTGATTTCCGTGCTCACACTGCAGATCGCAGCTTGGCCAGTTTAAGCACGTGTCTGTAGTTTCTTCAGTGTGTACTAGCTGTGCTAATAATTATGTAACATCTCATAATCATATTTCCCATCCCAGCTGCCCTTCAGGCTTCACTGCCTAACTGGGCACAGCGTCTGGGAAATGGGGACAGGAGCCCAGGGCTCGGTAGGACTTGGCCACCATGGGGAGCACCCATCAAGATTCTGGAGGAAGAGGACGAGGGTGGGAGAAGAGGGCTCGCAGTGCTGTTCTTGTTGTGGTTACTCGTAAGTCAGGAATTCCTAGTACCTGCATGGATCTGTTTAGAAAATTCCACCCTAGCAGGTTATGAAATCACAGTATTGAGTGGCGACTATTAGTTGCAAAGCAACACGTGTAAGCACTAAGCTAAGGAAGGGCCAAGTGTTCAGTCGATCACTTACCCGTCTGAGTGATGCAGACATCCAGGCAGCTTAACCCGGACAGCACCGGAACTCTTTCCATTTCCCGTCATGTCTTCCTTCGTAGAAGTCTCTCCAAGCCCATAGCTGTGCAGTATAAAGAAAAGGAAGATCGGTACGTGGACACGTATAAGGTAGGTCCAGGTTTTCCTCTGCTTTGATAAATGAAAACTGGAGCTTTGTTTTGTAGACTCGTGTTTATGAATTTTAAATGTGTAGTATTGATTTTTGTTTTTCACTTCCTGTGCTTTGATTGACAGACAACTGGAAATCATTACATGATTTTGAATATTACTGTGTCTCAATTCTCTGAAAACATTTTTCCTAGAAAAAGAAATATACTTGTAATGGCATAAATTGGAAGCTAGCAATCCATAATGATACTGAAATACATAAATAACTATACTCATAAAAATCACAGATTTCCAGGGACACATGGTCCCTGAGTGTTATTTCTATAACAATATCAGTATAGTTATGATGACCATAATCCCTTTTTATTCATAGTTGGTCAATTCTGCGTTGCTTTATTAGCAGAAATTTACCAGATTTTAAAATTTAAAAATAGAAAAGAATGACCTATTCCTGGGAAATCAATATTAATGCAATTCTGTTTGAAATGCATTAGTAACATGTTGTATTCTTCACAACAATATCCAGTTAGAAACAGCTGAAGCAGTTGTCTTACATTCACCACTTTATCATGTCAGAGTTCGGAAAGTTCCCTCCAGGCACCTTATAACTGCCCCTGCTTACTGGTACTCTGCAGGGAAGATGGGGTGGTGCCGTGGGGGTCACAGAGAAGTGACTCCAGAAAATCACTGTTGCATGACTTTGCTCTCAGGGCCGAGCAGGCGCTGTGGGAGATGGGAATAGTGACAGATATTAAATATGTAGTTGGGTCTCCCACTTTGTGACGGGAGGATAGGAGTCATGAAGCATCTCCGTGTTTTTTCTCTCTGTGTGACTACCCTACCAAACAGCTGCAAGATGTTCTAGCTAGAATCCAGTGTCGTGATACAGGTTTTCCATTTCTGTTGCATCTCTCTACCTGAGAAGCTCTGCCCTACAGAACAGAGCATCGTCACCTTTGAGTCCCGTCATTAGGGTACAGACATCCCTGGCAATGGAAGCTGCTTGACCTCCTGAGACAGGAGGAGACCTGAGCTGGGGCCGAAGCTGGGAGGGAGAAGGGTGCAGCCTGGAAGATGCCTCCAGGTGGCAGGCCTCAGTGGGGCACCCAGGCGGACACCCCCAGACAGTCAAGGTGGCTGAGATCCAAACATGAAAGGACGGCAGCCACAGAGAATGGTGTCATAGGGTTGGTAGGGAAGGACAGGGTAAAACCAAGGAGGGAGGCTTTTCCAGCGTTGCCTGGAGCTCACCGACCGAATTCTCTGGGTTCCCTGTATCCCTCAGTACTTGGAGGAAGAGTACCGCAAAGGGGCCAGAGAGGACGACCCGCTGCCGCCCGTGCAGCCCTACCACTACGGCTCCCACTATTCCAACAGCGGCACGGTGCTGCACTTCCTGGTCCGGATGCCGCCCTTCACCAGGATGTTCCTGGCATATCAAGGTGAGGCCGTGTCCGAACTGCTGAGAGAAACCGTGGCTTTCATTGTTCATGTATTTTTAATTTCTTTTTCTTAGGTAAGTCCCTTTAACATTCCATATAATAAGGGCTTCGTGATGATGAACTCCTTGAATTTGATCTTATCTGAGAAGCACTTTATCTGTCCTTCCATTGAAAGTTTTGCTGGATAGAGCAATCTTGGCTGTAGGTCTTTGGATTTCATGACTTGGAATACCTCTTTCCAGCCACTTCTTGCCTGTAAGGTCTCTTTTGAGAAATCCGCTGGTGTAGCTCGCCTGGCTGGTGTAGCTCAGTGGATTAAGCACAGGCCTGTGAAGCAAAGGGTCACTGGTTCGATTCCCAGTCAGGGCACGTGCCTGAATTGCAGACCAGGTCCTCAGCAGGGGACACATGAGAGGAAACCATACATTGATGTTTCTCTCCCACTCTTTCTCTTCTGCTCTCTAAAAATAACTAACTTTTTTATTTTTTAAATATATTTTATTGATTATCCCATTACAGTTGTTCTATTCCCCCCTTCATTCCCCTCCACCCTACCTCCCCATCCCCACCATTACCCCCCCTTTAGTTTATGACCACGTGTCTCAAGTTCTTTAGATTCTATATTTCCCATACTATTCTTGCCCCCCCCCCATCTATTTTCTACCTACCATCTATGCTACTTATTTTCTGTACCTTCTCCCCTCTTCTCCTCCTCCCACTCCCCTGTTGCTAACCCTCCATGTGATCTTCATTTCTATGGTTCTGCTCCTGATCTAGCTGTCCTCTTAATTTGCTTTTGTTTTAGGTGTGGTTGTTGATAACTGTGAGTTCGCTGTCCTTTCACTGTTCATCTTTTTTGTCTTCTTTTTCTTAGGTAAGTCCCTTTAACATTTCATAGAATAAGGGCTTGGTGATGATGAACTCCTTGAATTTGATCTTATCTGGGAAGCACTTTATCTGTCCTTCCATTCTAAATGAAAACTTTGCTGGATAGAGCAGTCTTGGATGTAGGTCTTTGGATTTCATGACTTGGAATACCTCTTTCCAGCCCCTTCTTGCCTGTAAGGTCTCTTTTGAGAAATCCGCTGACAGTCTGATGGGAACTCCTTTGTAGGTGACTGTCCCCTTAGCTCTTGCTGCTTCTAGGATTCTCTCCTTCATTTTAATCTTGGCTAATGTAATGATGATGTGCCTTGGTGTGTTCCTTCTTGGGTCCAACTTCTTTGGGACTCTGTGAGCTTCCTGGATTTCCTGGAAGTCTATTTCCTTTGCCAGATCCACACCTAAAACAAAAGCAAACTAAAAAGACAGCTAGATCAGGAGTGGAAACATAGAAATGAGGATCTCAAGGAGGGTTAGCAACAGGGGAGTGGGAGGAGGAGAAGGGAGGAGAAGGTACAGAAAATAAGTAGCATAGACAGATAGAAAATAGATGGGGGGTCAAGAATAGTATGGGAAATATAGAATCTAAAGAACTTGAGACGCATGGTCATAAACTAAAGGGGGGGTAATGGTGGGGGAGGGGGTGTGCAGGGTGGAGGGGAATGAAGGGGGAATAGAACAACTATAATGGCATAATCAATAAAAAATAAATAAAAAAAGAAAAGAAAAGAAACCGTGGCTGCCTTTGGAGGAGGTCTCAGACCAGTCAAACCACAGGACAGTGAAGTCTACTGAAGACAAAATTCTCTTCAAAACACCTGCAGTGGGCCACCTCAGCTTGCTAATGTCTCAAATGTTAGCTTCAAATTAAACATGTCTAAGTTTATAAAATACAATTCCCGTTTAAAAATTGAGATGAAATTCAGGTACCATAAAATTTACTTCTTTTACCCTTTGAAAATGTAAGCAATTCACATTTAAAGATGTTCAGCTTAGCAATTATTTCAGATCACAGTTAACTTTGAACCCTAAAGGGAAATACATTATTGTGATTTATTATAAATAACTCCTAAATAAATAATAGGAGCGCCACACTGCCACCTTCACCATAGTAACTTGCCAGTAATAGTCCTCTACCTCAGCGTTCTAAGTGGCAGCCTGTGGGCCTGAAGATGATTAGAGCGAGGTGGCTTGATTGGTGTGCAAACAGGGATGCTCTCCTGTCAGTTTCTACCGAGAACTGTGGTGTTAGGTCAGCAGTTGTTCTTTGCGGCACCCACAGTCCTTTATAGAGCAAGCATTATCCGTTCATTTATATCTTTGTATCTTTTTCCTCACATGCACCCTCTTAGAGGAAGAAATCTTGTTTTGGTCTATAAAAAGGGCTTTATTATGTTTGTCCCTCTGTAGGTACACAGAACAGGTGTTCTGCCAGACAGCTGTTTAAATATTTGCAGAGTATTGCCCTGACTCCTTTCCCCGCTCTGTGTTGTTCGTCCCAGGCTAATTATCTGTAGTTAATTTGACATCAGGCCGAGAGGCTCCTGTGTGCGTGGTCTTAACCCAGCTGCCGCCAGGGACTCAGATAATCTAACAGGACTGCTCTGTACTTAGTGAAAGGTCTTCAAGCCCAAGTTTAAGCCATCCTTTTTGGCTCTGGTTTCCCAGCTTGTCACTATTCCAATCGTCTTTCTGGACATGCTTTCATTTGTGAATGCCCTTATTAAAAAGTGGCAGTCAGAGTAGAAAAAGGATTTTTTATGTGGTTTGAGCGCTCTCCATTGTGCAACAGAACCATGGTGCTTGTCTTGTCCTGTTCCAGAGTTCCCTGTGTCCACGCCGGATGCAGGGACTCCACTGTATCCTCACAGAATTGCCTTGAAGTTTTCTGCAATCCACTTAGATTGGTAACTTTTTTTCCTGAGTGAGTTAGCAAGTGTTTCTTCAAGTGGCCCTCCCTGCTTTTTCAGGGAAGGAAGTGTCTGTAAACCGATTTCTTCATAGATTTTAAGTAGCGGCCAGGCAGTGCTGACTGGCTCTGCAGGTTAGAGAAGGAAGTAATAAAGGTGCTAGGGACTGTGCTCGCCGAGTGGCTCCAGCATGGGGAAGAATTTAGCACATCGTGTCAGCAAAAGTTGCCCGCTTGATGCTGAGAGTCATCCATGACAGTTTCCAAATGAAAAAATGTGCTCAAATTTCAGCAGCTGCAGGAGGGTTTTAGAAGGAACAACATGGGTCTGAAGGAGCATCGCACTGCTGTCTCCAGGGGCTGCCTCTGGTGCATTTCATGTCCCAGGCCTGCCCCAGGGCTAGTCTGGTAGCTGTGGACAGAGAGACGCCAGAACTCAGCTCTGGATGATTCATGAAATCTCACACCAGAAAATCCGCACCAGGAAACCTTAGCAAAGGAGGGAGTTAGAACATCTGAAAAGTGGTGTCCCTCTCACCCCCACCCCAAAAAAGGAAAAGTGGTGTGAACAATTTGAGGTAAAAGAATAGCTTTGCTTTCTGATGGGGAAAAAGCTATTTTATGCACTTGAGCTTTAATTTTGCTTCTGTATTATTTCATTCATTCAATAAACAGTTATTGAATCCCTAGTATGTGCTAGGTGTGGATGACACCCCAGCTCCCTGCTTTTATGGAACTTTTATCCTACTTGAGTAGAGAGTCATCAACTACACAAATGATATAAATTAATCTAGTTTTAATGTATTATGAAAACAATACATATCTTAAATATTATAATATAATATTATAATATTATATGGTCTCAAGTTTTGTATAGAAATATTTATTTCCAAGAATAAATAAGTAACCTTTTTTAAACTATGGATAGATGAAATGAACATCATTTGGACCTTTCTGAAGTAGCAAAAATAAATTATGACGGGCTTCACCTGGAATCAGGTCTTTGTGTCTTAATTATTATCTGTATTTCTTTGTAGATCAAAGCTTTGACATTCCAGACAGAACCTTTCATTCCATGAATACCACCTGGCGCCTCTCATCCTTCGAGTCCATGACGGATGTGAAGGAGCTTACCCCAGAGTTCTTCTACCTCCCGGAGTTCTTAGTCAACCGAGAAGGTGTGACGATGAGTTACCTCGGGCATGTTTTTCTGAGCATTTGTACTTGTGTTATAATTTTCCAAAAATCAAAACAGCTTTTCTATGTCTTAAAAGTTAAGGCCATAAATAAGAAAAATACCTTTATTAAGTATATCATTTTATTTCCAAGTGAGCTTGAGGGTTTTAAGTCTCTTACAGAACTAAATATATCTGAAAAACTATAACTTTGAACTACTAAAAGTATTTGTAAGCACATATTTTAATTTTGTAGAAATTGCTTTATTTTTTCTGATTATAAAGGTCACAGTGTGCTCATTTTTTTTAAGTCATGAATTTATTATAAACACAGTGTAAATTAACCAAAATCTCAGTAAGTTTGATGGGGAATGATTGAGTTATAAATAAAACACTCTAACCAAAAAACATGTAACGACAAAAAAGAATCCTAGAGGACAAGACCAAATTTTGTGTGATGCCAGTGACCGACAATCTTGGCCAACCTTGCCTGCTCTTTAACAGAAGATTAATTAACCTTTTAAGAGTTATTTTGGGTTGTTTTCTACATTACTTAATTTCATATTTTTATGTGACCTTTAGGAATATATGAAACTGAGAATTATATCTTTAGAGAAGTTCATGTCAGCCAAATTACTGTTGAATTTCATCCTGAACTTGCTGGCCTGTCTGGAGTTGTTTGGAGAATAATTAATCTACATCCCGAGTCTCTGGGGCCTGTCTCCTGGTGTGGCCTGCGTGACGAATGCCTCAGTGAAACCAGCAGTTTCGGGCCCTGCCTGGTGGCTGTCGGTTTGGGGCCGCTACTTAGACCTGCTGCCTGTCCTCTCAGCCTGTTGTTTCTCATGTGTCAGTTCCAGTTTCTGTCACTGCGTGACAAATAAGCCCAACCCTGAGTGGCTCCAACCAATGCATCGATCACAGTCTTTGCCAGTCAGAAACTCAGGGTCGGCTCGGCCGGGTGGTTTTCTGGTTGGCCCCGGGTCTCTCAGGCAGCCGCACTGGGATTGGCAGGAGCTGGAACGGCCAGGGAAACAGAGCAGCAAGGGGCCGGCGGGCAGGCAGGTGTCTCTCTCTTCATGGAGGGCCCCTGCTCTTCCATGTGGTCTCCACGTGGACTAGCACGGGCTTCCTCACAGCAGAGCAGCCTCCCATGCCCTGCCTGGCAACTTGGGGGCCAAAGGCGAGTTCCTAAGAGAGGTGAGCGGACGCTGCATGGCCTTTTTCCAGGCTATATCTGTGGTGGTCTTGCAGCACCGCTCCCTGCACTCAGTTTCCTGAGGCTGTCACAGTGCCTGCCCATATTCAGAAGGAGGAGCATAGACATGGCCCACCTGATGGAGGTGTAGAAGGTTCTGGAGAGCATGCAAGACAGAGAGTGTCATTGTTACCATTTTTGGACAACACAGTTTGCTGTAATGGACATCATGTCACCCCTACCAGTGTCCCTATAGAGTCTGTCATTGTGCCTCCACTCATTTCTGGGGGAAGAGTGTCCCCCTCTGTGCTGTGTCCCCAGAACACCTGAAGGTTAGGGATGATGTGAGTCCATAGAAACGCCCCGCTGCTCAGCCCCTAGATGCTCATTTGCTGGCGTCAAACCAGCAAACCCTGCTGCGTCTCTGAAGGCACCCACACAGGGCTTGGGATGCTGAGCCATCCGTCCTGGAGCGCCTGCCTACCGCTGTCTGCAGGATGATCCCCACACCGTGTTAATGTTGTATACTCTGTGGTTTGTGTTTCACATCACATCATTTCAAAGTACCGCCAAAATTGAGGACGATCCTTCTGCTTCTTTTACCAGATCAACAAGTAGGCAGGCAGCAACTTAATTTGATATGAAGAGCAATTCCCCTTTAAGAGGTCCTTTTTCGCTTTTTTCCTGTCATGGTGTTCAGATCTTCTGTTCATAAAAGGAAGCAGAGAACATATTTCTGTTCAAAGGCACCATTTCTTTTAGGACAACTTTTAAAAATTGTTTCTGAGACTTTTGTTTATACCAGAAGACTGATGAGACAATTACGGTAGATAACTGCTCCTTGACATCACAGAAGAATCTCTTATTTGGTGTGTTGGGTAATTTTGTTGTCTGTCCACACGACGCTTGGTAGTAATGAAGTCAGAGCAGACCTATGGGCGTTCCTTCAAGTTCATGGACTAAGACATTAATTCTAGGAATATGTGTGCTTTGCTTAGCTTGGTTTTTAACTACAGAATGCTAATGCTTACTAAATATAAGTAGTCTTAAATTTATTGTTAGCACCACTAATTCAGAAATGCTTATACAAGTCTTAGTTTAATTTTAATCAAGCTGACAGTTGAATAGATACTGAAGCACTTACAGCATTTGGAGATTTGACTCGTGGGTATTGGAATCAGTGGGCAGTGATTTTCTGCTTTTTCTTCACTGTGATAAAAAGTGACAAGGACGAAGCAGAAAGACCTGCAGGTTGATTAGAACAGGACGGAGCCACGCGGTTGCTGTGAGGCGAGTGGATGAGCAGTGGGGTTGCTGCCCTCCTTGCTGCCCCTCCTCCTGCTCCTAACATTCAGCAGCTATTCCTGTGAAGTCTCAGGACCTGCTCGGTGGGCCACACGAAGCATGCTTAGGGGAAGATAAACATTAATATTAGTCTTGTTGTTTAGGTTTTGATTTTGGCGTGCGTCAGAACGGCGAACGGGTGAATCACGTCAACCTCCCGCCGTGGGCACGTAACGACCCTCGCCTTTTCATCCTCATCCACCGGCAGGCCCTGGAGTCCGAGCACGTGTCTCAGAACATCTGTCAGTGGATTGACTTGGTGTTCGGGTACAAGCAAAAAGGGAAGGCTTCCGTTCAGGCCATCAATGTCTTTCATCCTGCCGTAAGCAACTCTTTTAAAGTAATCTACATTTATGTAAGGTAGAACCCTAATGCTTAAAGATTAACCGGTTTCACCGAAGTTATCAAAGAGAGTTGGCAATGACATTAAACAGTTACCCAACGTTTTCTAGGTTTTATATTTCCCCTCCTTAAAAATGACCACATACTATCCGTTGGGGTTGCCCAGACCGCCCCAGGTTGGAAGAGGACTTAAGGACTCACTCGGCACGTAGTCAGACTTAACAACTAAGGTTGTTACAGTGGCACACAAAGCAACATCAGCAAAGGGAAAAGACGCCTGGGGCAAACTTCTAAGACTCTCCTCCAGGGAATCACAAGAACACACCTCATCCCCTGAGATTGTGACAGTGCGCGTGATGTCCCACCAGGGACACTCATTGACTCAACACCCAGGGTTTTGACTGGAGGCTGCTCATTTGGCCCCTCTCTCATGCATGTACTGAACTTGTGGGCTCCCAGAAGGAAAGCAAGTGTTCAGCAGCATCCACACTGTGGGTGCGGACCATTCGGCCCAGGGAGCCACTCTCTCGGGTGGAGAGAGCTCTTCTGAGACCCGTGTTCCCACACCCCACCAAGGGCCAGCCTTGCGAGCAGGCCCCTCCAGGGAGAGCTGCTCAGGCCTGTCACGGGAACTCCTGTGTACATGCTGTCCTGTGGACACGTTGTCCTGTGGGCACGCTCTGTCTTAACACGGAGTCATTTTTACTGACTGCAGAACCAGGATCTGTGCCTCGTTAGGAAAACGTGCAGGATACAGACTGCAAAGGGAGGAAATCCGAAAACCAACATTGGTATCACCATCCAGAGATAAACACCAGAACCACTCTCTAGACTTTTTCTCTGTGTCATTCCAGTCATGTACCATTAATACCACTTACTGTCCCCAAGTACGGCTAGACGGTAGTTTATATAACCAGTCCCCCATTGTGGGGTGTGTAGTTAGTATGTGTTTGTTTTTAAAATTTATACTCCTGAGGCTCTTTCTGTGCATCTTTGTTTCCTTAAGATAAATTCCCAGAAGGAGCACTGGTGCACTTTCGCCTGACCTTCTCAAGGTCGTTAGATAGGCTGCCAACAACTTACAGACTCAGGAAACATTTGTTTTGCCCTGGGAAGGAAAAGCAGGGAGAGCAGGAGTGGAATCCAGATGAGGCCTCTCAAGGGAGATTCCTCAAGGAGTGAGGGGTCAAAGGACAAATTAAAAGGAAAAAGCTATTTACTGGCATTGCCTCGTGGCTACTCAAAGAGAGCAAGTACAACAGATGAACCAGTTAATCCACTGCCTTGACATTTAGCTTCTGTGTTTACCTAACTTTGAAATTGGGTGGTGGGATCAGATCGGCCTTGTACTTCCCCCTCAGGTGTGACTTTCTGTATAGATTCATCATAGCTTCTAACAAACACAGCGGAAATACACACCCAGAACCTACAGTGACACCCTCTGTGTCTGGGCCTGTTGATACCAGAGACCCATTCTGAAGACTAGTTTCAAGATAAAAATTTCTTCAGTCCATTTGGCTCAGTACTTATTTGAAGTACCTCTAAGGTAATAAAAAATTAAAACCTAAGAGACCTAAGACGTGGAAGAGAGGACAAGACAAGTTTCCTGATGACTGTAATAGAAGATAAACACTGTGACAAACGGTTCTGAAAAGGAATAACACAGTTTGATTGATGAATACTAGTTTTATAATTACAAGTAGTATAAAATAAAGGCAAGGCTTCAGGTGTAATTTTTGAACTTCATTCATATTTGATCTAAAATGTAATTTTAAAGGCAGTTAGGAATTCTGACATTAACCTCAGTATACTCTATGCCTATAATCCTACCCGATCTTTTCAGTCATTCTAAAATTAAAAGCATCTGCACGCTGAAATATACCACACAATTTTCATCTTCCTAGAATTTTTTCTATTAGTTCTTTGGGACTTTAGAACTTTAAAAAGGACAGTTTATGCCATTGCTCTAGGAAGTTGATGAAATTCGGTTCATGGAACAAAACGTGCCGTGAGTGCGTGCCCAGTCCGTGAATCCAGCACGGACTCCACATTCTCCCTCCGGGACTCTGGCACTCGCTGTGTGACTTTGGGCAAGCAGCTCAATCTCTCTGCACCTAACTGGGCAAGGTAGCAGAACGAGAACAATGACACCAACCCACAATAAATATGGAAGGAAATTTATGTAGGATAATGTCTGCCATGCAATCGAGTACAAATATATGGTAATTTAAAACAGAAATGTAGAATTGCCTTTTGACATCAATTCATCATTCACTAATCTATGGATACCCTTAAAAATTGACACCACAGAATATAAAGAAGCACTGTTTTAAAATAAATAAAGAAGAATTCTGTCTCAAGGATGGCTCCCATCATCCTTTGCTCTTTGCACTCCATGCAGTCAAGCAGCCATGGAGAGCCACCCGGCTCTAATGGGCATTTGTAACAAGGGGTTGGCTAGGAGTGGTGTCAGGAGGACAGTGCTGAGGACTCTACCTTCTGAAGGATCTGTGAGGTTGTATTTTGGTACTTGTAGAAGTAGTATATCCAGTTATGTACAGGAAACTTGCAGTGGCTGATGCAGTGCTGGAAAGTAAATTGTGCAAGTGGGTTTGTGCAGACCCTGACGGATCTGTCCCTAGCTGCTGATGGCAGCTTTGGAAGTAAAGAAGTTCATGAACGCAGCTGGGGCACGGACACCTTCCCTCTAGAGAGCCTGGAACCTTCTCTCTGCTCTTTCGATTCACTCACAGTTTTCATTAGAACCCAAATAACATGTTTTCAAACCTACCAATATTATATGTTAACTTCATTTTGCCTTTCCCTATATATCACTTTGGATGATGACTTTTGCAATAATTTAATGTTAGATAAGAAGTCTTATATGCTATTCTCTTACATTAAATTAAAACTCACAATTTTATAAACATACCTGATCAGCACCAATCAATCAAGATACAGTGTTTTTGGCCCTAGCTGGTCTCACTCAGTCGATTGAGCACTGGCCTGTGAGCCAAGAGGTTGCCAGTTCAGTTCCCAGTCAGGGCACGTGTCTGGGTTTCTCTTCCTCTCTTCCTCCCTCCCTTCCACTCTCTCTGAAAATAAATTTTAAAAATCTTTAAAAAAATATGTAGTATTTTCACTCATCCCTACAGAAACATCCATTTCTAATCTCAGCAAGTCCATTAATAATTATGAACCTGATCAAAAGCATGTCAAAAGCATTTCCATCTGAAACAAAAGGAAACCATGACCTAGAGAACAGTACAGTGCATTGCTTCCTCTTCACTGTCACTGCCAATCTTGCTTTATACAAACCTCTGATTCCCTTCCCCCTTTACCTTTCAGACATATTTTGGAATGGACGTCTCTGCAGTTGAAGACCCGGTGCAGAGACGAGCTCTAGAAACCATGATCAAAACCTATGGCCAGACCCCTCGTCAGCTCTTCCAGTCAGCTCATGTGAGCAGGCCTGGGTCCAAGCTCAACATCGAAGGAGAACTTCCTGTGGCCGTGGGGCTGTTAGTGCAGTTTGCCTTCAGGGAGACCCGAGAACAAGTCAAGGATATTACCTACCCGGTACGTCATGTGGATTGCAAGAAAACTCAGCAGAAACTGAGTCCCCTGCCAAGAAGTGAGGCCCTGACACAGGCTCCAGGGGGCCCGCGTGACTAGCATGGTCCCAAGCTGGAGGTGTCTGTGCCAGCCAGCGAGCACACGTACCCTCAGTTATCAGCGGTGTTCTGCGTGTAGCAAATGCTAGTCTAGTGATCTGAAGAGAGTGCATGGGGGAGGCCAGGTCACACAGTGACCTCTGAGGGTCACTACTGGGGAAAGCCTCATAAGGCAGGGACAGGGAACTGCCAGGAGAGGAGAGGCACCCTCCAGGACTGGAGACTGTTTGCATGTGGGTGTGCCAGTGCCCACGTGGGGCAGGGTCCTGGTGATCACCTCCCACCAGAGGGCCTGGCCGCACGTATGAAGGTTTGGGTTTACAATTAACAGGAACCTTACCTACTCCTTGGCCTCCCCAGGCCGTGATGGTAAAAAGTATTGCCTCTTCAAGTAGGAAGTAGGGATAACTTTTACTTCAAAATAGAAAAATAAAGGAAGAAAACCTTAATAGTCAAATTAAGCCTAATCCTCAATTAAATTCTTTATTATAAAAGTAGCATAAGATGGGAGACATATCCCAAACTCGGATATGTGACCAATTTTAAGAGAAAACAGTCTTCACAGACCTTGTTTTGACATTGTTTTGCTAATATTACTTTAATACACCAAATGCAGAAAACACATAGAGCACTAATGGAAATTCTTTATGTTCAGATAGATCTAGTTTGCGAGTTAAATGCAAACAAAACTTACACAACCAATAAAATTCTAATTTAAAATATCAATATGATAGACAATGCTGTTTTGCTAAAACCAGATAGATCCCCAATGTTGTGTTTCATAGTTGAGAACTGTATTTTCTTTTTTAGTTTTTAAATATTGATTATGCTATTACACTGTCCCATTTTTTCTTCCCCCTTATTCCCCTCTGCCTTGTACCATCCTTCCCACCATCATTCGCCCACCTTAGTTCATGTACATAGGTTGTACATGTAAGTTCTTTGGCTTCCTCATTACCCATACTATTAGTAACTTCCCCCTGTCTATTTTGTACCTACCATTTATGCTTCTTATTCCCTGTACTTTTTCCCCCATTCTCCCTCTTCCCCCTCCCCACTGATAACCCTCCATGTGATCTCCATTTCTGTGAATTTGTTCCTAGTTGCATGCTTAGTTCATTTTTGTTTTTGTTTTTTTAGGTTCAGTTGTTGATAATTGTGAGTTTGTTTCCATTTTACTGTTCCTAGTTTTGATCTCCTTTTTCTTTTTTTTTACTTTATTTATTGATTTTTTAATATTTTATTTATCTTTAGAAGGGAAGGGAAAGAGAGAGGGAGAGAAATATCAATGTATGGTTGCTTTTCATGTGTCCCCTGCTGGGAAATGACCCCTGCTGAGAACTGGCTTGCAACCCAGGCCCTGACTGGGAATCGAACCACGATCCTCTGGTTTGCAGGTTTGTGCTCAATCCACTGAGCTACACCAGCCAGGGCCCTGATCTCCTTCTTTTTCTTAGATGAGGCCCTTTGACATTTTGTATAATAAGGGCTTGATGATGATGAACTCCTTTAATTTGACCTCATCTGGGAAGCACTTTATCTGCCCTCCCATTCTAAATTAAAGCTTTGCTGGGTAGTCATCTTGAATGTAGGTCCTTGCCTTTCATGACTTCAAATACTTCTTTCCAGCCCCTTCTTGCCTGCAAGGTTTCTTTTGAGTAATCAGCTGAGAGTCTTATGGGAACTCCTGTGTAGGTAACTCTTTCATTTTTCTCTTGCTGCTTTTAAGAGTCTTTCCTAACTTTTAACCTTAGGTAATATAATTATGATGTGTCTTGGTGTGCGCTTCCTTAGTCCAACTTCTTTGGAACTGTCTGAGCTTCCTGAACTTCCTGGAAGTCTATATCCTTTTCCAGATTGCAGAAGTTTTCTTTCATTATTTTTTAAATAAGTTTTTAATTTCTTGGTCTTCCTCTTCTCCTTCTGGCACCCCTATGATTCAGATGTTGAAACTTTTAAAGTTGTCCCAGAGGTTCTGAAGCCTGTCCTCATTTTTTTGAATTCTTCTTTCTTCATTCTGTTCTGGTTGAATGTTTATTTCTTCCTTCTGCTCCAAACTGTTGGTTTGAGTCCTGGTTTCCTTCCTGTCACTGTTGGTTCCCTGTACATTTTCCTTTATTTATCTTTTTCATAGCCTTCACTTTTCCCTCTATTTTGCAACCATACTCAACCATTTTTGTGAGTATCTTCATTACTAGTGTTTTCAACTCTGCATCTGATAGGTTGGCTATCTCTTTATCACTTGGTTGTATTTTTTCTGAAGCTTTGATGTGTTCTTTCATTTGGGCAATATTTTTTTGTCCTGGCATGCCTGTTACATATAAGGGGCAGAGCCTTAGGTATTCAACAGGGTGGGGCAACTCACATGACTGCATTGTGAGGCTGTCTGTGGGGAAGGGGTCAGAGAGGGAACAGTGCTGCTTGCTCGGCTCTCTCCCCACTTTCAGTCACTTCTCTCCCACTACCCACAAGCAAATTGGGCCCTTCTGGTGCCGATTCCCAGGTGGGTGGGTTTGTGTGCATTCTAGGATCCTGTAGGTCTCTCCAATGAACTCTCCTGCGAGGCTGAGAGGTTCTCCTGCCACCTGAACCCTCACAGGTTTTTTCAGTCAGACGTTTGAGGCTTTATTTCCCTGCACTGGACTCCTGGGTTAGGCTGTCTGTCTCACTTCCCAGTTGTTCCTCCCAGTTTATCCGCCTGCAAACCACCTGGTCTGCCAGCCACCACCTTGCCTGCCTCATTCCTCCAGCCACCACCTGGCCACAAGTCCTCTCCGGCTGGCTGCCCATCTCCACCCTCCTACCTGTCTGGATGAATTATTTCTTCTTTTAACTCCTTGGTTGTCAGGTTTCCACACAGTTTGATTTTCTGGCATTTCTGATGGTTTTTTGTTTTTAAATTTGTTGTTGTCCTTTTGGTTATGAGAGGAGGCAGAATGTATCTACGTATACCTCCATCTTGGCCGGAAGTCCAAGAGCTGTATTTTCTGTTTTGTGTTTGTCAATTTAACTCAGGAGAATTTGAAGGCTTACAAGTTACCTTAGTTATGTCATTGCCAAGATTATTCTTTTAAACTAGAATCTATTACTTTTAACATGGCAAAGTAATTTAATGCTGTATTCCTAAAAAGTAGAAAATGCCATTTAATTCACTAGTATACTTTCTGCTAATTGTGTGAAGTAGAAAGGCCCTAAGTCAGGGGTGTCAAACTCATTTTCACTGGGGGCCACATCAGCCTCATAGTTGCCTTCAAAGAGCCAAAATAATTTTAGGAGTGTATAAATGTAACTACTCCTTAACTGTTAAGGAGTTAAAATGACATTTGGCTCTTTGAAGGGAACTGCAAGGCTGATGTGGCCCCCAGCGAAAATGAGTTTAGTGTGACACTCCTGGCTAAGGGCCTTCTGTCTGCAGGAATCAGCCCTTCGGTCTGCTAAGTGTGGGGGAAGCAAAAAGTATACAGTCATCCTTGCCCGTGATGGGTTTACTATCAGGTTGCTTTCTCATACTTCATTTAGAATTTAAATTAGAAGTAATTCTATATTTACTGCCTTTAAAAAAACACGCTTTTTCCATTGGTTTTAGAGTCCTTTGTCATGGATAAGAGGCTTGAAGTGGGGGGAGTACGTAGGCTCCCCGAGTGCCGCCACGCCTGTGGTCTGCTTCAGCCAGCCCCACGGAGAGAGGCTTGCTTCCCTCCAGGCTCTGCCCACCAGAGCGATCTGCGGTTTGTCCCAAAATTTCTGCCTCCTGATGACGTACAGCAAAGAACAAGGTAAACTAGAACAATGGAAATCATCCCGGTATCTTCCGTGAGATCTGAGTCTCTCCAGATCATCTGTGTTGCTATTTTGGGGGTGTTGTTTTTTTCCTAAGTTTTCTGAGTCCTTGGTGAAAACTGCTCAAATCCGTGGTTGTTTGTGGTCAGTACAAATTAGGAATTAAAACATACTACATGAAACAAATGGGAATTATGCAGCACCATTGGAAATGAGAGGAAGAGTTGGAAGGGGACAGGAACAGATGGTTCCGCTCACCAGATGAAAACGTCACCAATGGCTACTTTGGTGGAAATGTCCACTCTGAGGCCCTTGAACCCCAGAGTAGACAGACTGGGCTGACCAGCAAACCTAGTCCTCAAGGCTCAGTCACCGTAGTCAGACCAAATGAAGCAAGGCTGTCATGAGCACCGTGGAGGGAGGTTTAGAAGCACGTGTGCCTGGAAAGCACTCCTTCCCCCCACTCTAGGCACCAACACTGAAAGCCACACGCTGTCACGTGCTGGACACCAGAGACCCTCTCCATGCTCCTAAGTGTGGCCTAGTTCCCTGGAAACCTGGGGTGTTCCCGCTCAAGTCATCCCTCAGCCTTCCACAATTAGCCATTTCCCTAAGTGCAGCAGAGTGAGCCCTAGTCGTGAGGTGCAGGCTTTGGGCCCTGCAGTGAATGGCAGGGGACACTTGTCTGTCTGTTCACATCAGGTCCACGCAGGTTTGCCTGGACGCCCATGTGCAGCCTGGGTTGGGTGCCTCTGAAGTGATCACGTTAGCATTGTATATGCACCGTGCTCCTCGGGGTCCTTACGGCCCCCCACTGCACATAGCCCTTCAACCTGGGGGTGCTGGGACCCCTGCTGGACACCCATCACGTGAAGGACATGTTTTAAGACTGGCAGGACCACCGGTCTTTCAGATTCACTCTTCATTGTGTTGTGAAGTGAGTGGCCACCCGTATAGTTGTGAGAGCTGAGAGAGGTGGCATGCCACTTCATGTACGTTTCAGGAATTAGGAGGGTACGGTAAATCTGTTTAATTGTAACTATTTCGAGATCAGTGGTGTATTCTCACTAGTATGATGCCATTAGTTGTGCAGTGGGTCACAAGTAATTTACCACTGATAATACTTAAAGTACTAAGACGTGAGAACAGTTTACCTTTAAAAATTAATTAGAGTGGATTAAAGTACATCTCTGGTGAGCAGAAGAGAACAGGTTGATGTTACCACTGAGCCTGATAGGACTTAAATGTGTCAAATATAATTGTCAACTTATTTGCTTCAGCCACAGCCTTTAGTGTGCCCTTGTTAACAGCTGTGTCCATTTGAATTGCACTCCTTCCTTGCAGAATGTATTTGGGGTCTGCCAGAATCGAGGTGTGTCAGGGAAGTAGACTGGGGAGGGCCTAAGTTTGCTACCTGATGCTGTGTAACCTTGAGAAAATGACTCACGCTCTCATCCTGGCTTTTGATCTATAAAAGGAAATAACGAAAGGATGTACCTCACAGGGTACTTCTCTCTAAGGATTAAGTGAGATAGGGTGGGGAATGATTAGCTCAGGCCTGGCTCATTCTAAGTGCTCAATACATGTCAAGGGAACTGTGCACACCGGGGGCCAGAGTCCAGGTGGCGTGCATTGCTGCTGCACCCAGCAGTCCACGTGGGCATCCGCAGAAGCCTTGGGCAGAGCAGGTGGAAGGTGAGTCGTGTTGGCAGCTGCAGAGTGTTGAGCAGTGTCTTTTCAACTGGCTGCGTAGGTTTGCTTAGTTATACATGCATGGTGAATGTAACAACTGAACTGGGATGGTGCGAGTGATAGGCCAGTTACTTGGGAACTGAGTGTGCCTCATAATTGCCTGAGGTGCTTTTTCCCCCAAAATATATTAGTTTGGATCCCATTTGAGGCACACTGCATCAGAATTTCTGGGGCTTGGGTCCCAGTCTGTGCATGCTGAAAAAGCAATTTTCTTGCAAACTCCTATTTACGATCCACTGTTCTAACAGGTAAAGGAGAAGTGTATTTTTCATTTCAAAAAAAAGCTGGTGCACCTTGTATTACTGGAATGAGAAACTGGAAACATTTATTAAATATACTCAGTCCGTCAAGCACCCACCACTTACCAAACATTCTGGTAGAGTTGGAGAGGTCCTGAGACCCATGGGAAACATGGTCCCTTCTCCGAAAGCTTATGTTTAGAGGAGCTTTTATTTCATGTTTCACAATTCCTTTATTGCAAAACTGATGTCAACATTCGGTATGCTTAAAATGAACTATATCTGTGAATTGCATTTTCAATGTGCTGTTGGTTCATTTAACAAATATTTTAGTCCTTTACATGCTGGGCATTAGGCCGGGCGCTGGGGTAGAAGCAGTACATCCTCTCTCCTTAAGGAGCGTAAAGCATCCCAAGTGTCAGTGGTAGCAGTCCTAGCATTTATGCTGCCAGAGCCATGTTCAGTATTCCAACAAAGCATGGGTTAGGAATAGTGCTGAAAGGGGACACCAAAATGTCCAGATCTTTACCTCAAAAGGACATAAAACTAAACTGTAAAAAAAAAAAAGAGAGAGAGAGAGAGAGAGGCAGGGAGGAGAAAAGAGCAGAACCTCATTAGCTGAAGGGCTGAGCGTGGTCCTGGAGTTGGCAGGGCTGTCGTCCCTTCTCAGGGTGGTGTCACTGCCTCAGGGGCCATCTAGGGCTCACACAGCATCTGGTTCACATTTACCTTCAAAAGGAAACTGTTGCAGAACATGAGGGGCGTAAGCCTTACTATGACTGTCTTTTATAGAAATGTCTTAACGTGAACAAGAAAGAATCCTATCGGCATTAAAGGAATAAAGCTCACTTAAATCGGCCCGCCTCAGGGTGTAAGAATGACTTTGCACCGTTGCGCTCCCGTGTGCAGCCCCGCCTGCCGCTGCAGGGCCGCTGATGCGCCGTCTCCCCCCCCCCCAGGTGTGAGAAGCATGAACAGCACAGACATCCAGTGGTCGGCCATCCTGAGCTGGGGGTACGCTGACAACATTTTAAGGCTGAAGAGTAAGCAAAGCGAGCCTCCGATAAACTTCATACAAAGCTCACAACAGTATCAGGTAAACTTCTTTATGCAGTGCTTTATAACAATAATTAAAGACAGTGCGTTAACAAGGAGTCAGACCGATAGCCAGCCGGTCTCAGAGTCAGCGATGAGCCCCATTGAGAAGCTGGTGGGGCTGGACGTGCGCCTTGTTTACCGACACCCCAACCCCGCTCCTCAGCCTGTGTCCCCAGACGGGGCTTCCACCCTGTAGCTCATTGAGACAGTGTAATAATCTTAGCTGTCAGCTAACGGCACAGGGTTGAACAGAGTCAGCATTGCTTTCTTCTCAGTGTCCACCTACTGTGTGCCCCTCTGTCACCCTCCGTACCAGGTTTTCCTGAAGACAGACCGGGCGTGAGGCATGACAGCACAGGGTCTAACAAAAGCCCTGTGATCCGAGTTAGTGTCCCGCTGCCTTATTTACTGTGTCACACTGGGAAGTGACTTCTCCCTCTCAAACTGCAGTTGCCTTCCTCCTCTTCAAAACCAGGACGATGTACTCCCACTACTGGCTCATAAAGCTGTTGTAAAGATGCTTCCAACATTTGTAAAAAGTTAGTTTGTGCCCTGGCTGATATAGCTAGCTCTGTGGACGGAGCATGGGCCTGTGAAGCAAAGGGTCGCCGGTTTAATTCCCAGTCAGGGCACATGCCTGGGTTGCAGGCCAAGTCCCCAGTAGGGGACATGTGAGAAGCAACCACACATGATGTTTCTCTCCCACTCTTTCTCCTTCCCTTCCCCTCTAAATAAATAAATAAATAAAATATGTTTGAAAAGTTAGTTTGTAAACTATAAACCTATGTAACATACACAGTTCTGCCACAACCCCCTAAGCTGGATGTGAGCCTTCTTTCTTTGTGTTTCCATGCACCGTTCTCTTCCCCTTCTTGGATTTCCATTGCCTACACCTGCCGCCTGTTCCTGTGGCCTGACAGTTACTCCCATTCCCTGGGCACTTGGAGATGGAGTAAACGACTTGGCGGGAATTTTTGGCAGTGGAAGAAAGGACAGCAGTGACTTTTTTACTTAATCCTTAATATACGTGGAAAAAAAATGTCATGTTAGCCTTTTTTTATGTGACTTACCAGTCAACAAAAGTAACAATATAGGACAATGAAAAACAAACTCATTAGAAATGTTGATAAGAATTTAAGTATTGCAGAATCATTTCTATCATGTAAAGGTTGGCACACCAACATCATTAAAGATGAAAGAATATTCACAAAAGTTCTTTGAGCAAAACAGATGGTCCAGATTCTTTTAGGAAGATACTTTGTAATAAAAGTACTTCGGTCAAGTACCATATTTTGCCATGTATAATGCACACTTTTTTTGCCCACATTTTTGAGGGAAAGTAAAGGTGCACATTATATGTGGGTATAATGGTTACATACCATGGGTATAATAATAGTATAATAATCCCATGTATAATGCACAAAAAATGTGTGTGTGCATTATATATGGCAAAATACGGTAGCTGGATAAGAATACCACATTTCATTTTTGTCCTTAGAAATATATTGTTGAAGCCCTGGCTGGTGTAGCTCAGTGGATTGAGCGCGGGCCTGCGAACCAGACAATTGCGGTTCAATTCCCAGTCATTGCACATGCCTGGGTTGCAGGCTGGTTCCCTGCAGGCCAGTTCCCAGCAGGGGATGCACGAAAGGCAACCATACATTGATGTTTCTCTCCCTCTCTCCTTCCCTTCCCCTCTAAAGATAAATAAAATAAAATCTTTCTTAAAAATCCTTTTAAAAAATTAAATAAAAAAATATATTGTTGATTCATTAGTCCTTGAGAAAAATCATCTATGATATTACATGATATGATGTTATATGATATATTACATGGAAGCTCACACACTGACCAACTTCTTCATCACAGATGCTGGAGTCCTGCCATCTCTTTGTCATAGTCTTCTGATTGATTTCATAACTGTGAACATATTCTTCTTTAAATTTTTTTCTTTTTTCTGTTATTGACAGAAAATGGAAAATTCTGTATTTCTGATTGTGTTCAATGAAAGCTAAAAGCTGACTTCAGAATTGGTGTCTCCAATTTCCTTTTATGCTTTCTTGAAAGATGACAGCATTCTTTAAACAGTGCATTAAGAAACCAAATAAGACAATTTCACATATGACATTATCCTTCTGGGAGACCCATCACTCTTCCATTTTCTTGCTTTGTTTTGTTTTAGCAAAGCTAGGAATAATTGATAAGCAGAGATGAAATAATTCCTAGAATGATGAAATAGCAAAATGTTTCAAGACAGAGGAAAAATAAGATTATTAAAATCTTTTAATGTAATTTAGGTTTATAAAAAATTTGAGTAGACCCATATGGTAATTGCAAGACAAAATGAGTTTTGTTCTCTATATAACTAAGTACATGTTCTCTGAAGGTCCTCTAAGAACAAATAAAAGTTACGAAATTCGGTCGTTACCACAGTTATGACTGTTCAAGAAAGAAATGCAAAGATAGAACTGGGTCCAATGGACGGTGATCATTTATACAGCTCAGAAGGGCCATGATCAAAGCAAGTCAGTTTTTAAGGTAGCAGACACTTGAACACACTTGTAGGTCCCATGGAAGACACCAGCAAAAGGCAGTTTGAAATCCTAAGAGGTGACAAGGGTTCCAAGAAACACGGGGGTAAGGCAGGCGGGGCTCCCTCTAAGAAATCAGGGGAGGACACGGGGACAGTCTCAGAGGAGGGAAGAGGATGCCATCTGTGGCTGATGACCTCCATCCTCCTAATGATGTATCGGGTGTGGCCAGTGGGGGAGAGGGGACACGGGAGCCATGTCTCCTGAAGTGATGTCTCTGTGGTCAGGACCTAAGGGTTTATAACCCAAAAAATTAATCCAAGATTTTTGTCTCTACATTAATTTTTCCTTCTCCTGTTCAGCAGTCTTTAGAACTGCTAGAAGCAATACCTCTGTTTATATGTACCATTTCTTCACCAAAAACAGAAAAAAATATAAATAAAAATAAACAAGTAAGTACTGAAACACATCACACACACTCAGCCTTGGATCTAAGTCCATCCTGGATCATTTTATTTACGGGTCTGAGGAACATACGGCTGTGTGTGTGTGTGTGTGTGTGTGTGTGTGTGTGTGCACAGAAAACTAAAATCATAAATGATGCATGGCAACATGTTTGAATTTGGTAACAGTTGAAGAATATTGTTTTTCTCTTTACACCATTCTAATCATTTCAAGGAAAAGGTTGACCTCAAATTCTGTAATCACATATTTTTTATAGTTGTCAGCAGGGTAGTGTTTCTGATGCTTTGTAAACGTGATTGTTTTTGATTTGTCCTTTTCCAAAGGTGACTAGCTGCGCCTGGGTGCCTGACAGTTGCCAGCTGTTCACTGGGAGCAGGTGTGGCGTCATCACAGCCTACGCCAACAGGCTGACCAGCGGCACGGTAACCAGCCTGGGCGCGGGGGGCACTGGGGGTGGGTGTCAGGGACAGCGAGAAACACTTCGTGCAGGATAACTCATTTTGTATAAGGTTAACTCAACATTTTTGTATTTTAATCTTTTATACTTTAATCTTTTCTTCACGTAAGCTCTTAAAATGTAAAAGGTCACATACCTAACTCTTCAATGTTAGGCTTATTAAGATCACAAAAAATGTTGACAACAACTGTGAGGGTCTTATTTTTTATTGTCACAGACGTCATCCCTGAGTTATAATCTGTTTTCTACTTTGGCTTTTCCACATCCTGGTGCTTTGTTGCCCGTATTTTTGGTGTCAACTTGAATGTTTACACATAAACCTCAGGATTCTATAACATTTAAACCTTAGAACCCTTAATGATCAACATCACTATACCCTCTGGATGAATTAAATGATAGCAAAATCCACATAGTCCATCTTGATTTCTGCCACTTACTGCAGTAAATTTTTTTCAGCCATTACTGAAGCTCCAGGACTTAAATTCCAAAACAGTCTAGTGAAGAAAAAAAGACACAGTGTAGTTTCCTGTTGTTCCTTTCCCGAATTAACTGTTTGTGGTGCCGTTGAGAATACGTGGCAAGTTCAGGATGATAACTCAGTAATAATCTTCTGATTTAGACCTCTCTGTGCCTTCTTCCCATTGCAGTCTTCTCCACTATATTATTATGTTTTACCAGGTAAAACCTGTATTCCTAGTACAGGGTGACACCAGGTTCCTCTACACAGGTGGCAAACACAAGGCCCGTGGGCCGAATCGGGCCCTCCACCTCGTTCCTGCCCGGAGGCAGTGCCGACCTCCTTGCCCCTAGTTAAGGAGTAGTTACATTTATACAGTCCTCAAATTACATTCGGCCCTTTGAAGGCAACTGCAAGGCTGATGTGGCCCCCAGTGAAAATGAGTTTGACACCCCTTAACTCTTCTATCCAAGTCTGTTCCCCTTAAACCCTTGTTGAGGTTCTGTGCCACACTCCTCAGAGTGTAAATGTGACCGTAATACTGTTCTGCCACATAGCCTAAGGAGCCATTAAAATGTTTTAAGAAGGAGAGAGAACAAGATTCCTGTTCTATCCATAGAAATTATTTTCCGATCCACCAGGGAATCAATTACCTAGTAACTGAACTCTCACAATCATTTTAAAGTGCAAAGTCTATAAAACTGTCAGCCACCACCGGGAGGGCCCCATGCTGTGTTCACCGCATAAGTGTTGTTTGTGGCCAGGGAGTGAAAGAAATACACACACACGTACGTGTGTACCTATGTGAGCGTCTATGCATATATAAATAAATATAAATTTAAATGTTTTTTAAATTCTCACCCCAGGATTTGCTCTGTGATTTTAGAGAGAGAGAAAGGGGGCGAGAGACACAGAGAAATACACTGGTCGGTTGCCCCCCGTACATGTCCTGCCGGGGGTCCTACCCACAACCAAGGCATCTGCGACATTTCTGTGCACAGGACTGTGCTCCAGCCAACTAACCCACCTGGCCGGGGCTGGAAATGTATTCTAAAGAGACAATTCAGAGGAGAAATCAAACCTTTATACATGAAGAATTTAATTACAGCATCTATAATTTTTTAAAATTATAAACAATTGCAAATGTCTATCAATAAAGGATGTTCAAGTAAATTATGGTATATTAACTACATAGAACATTAATTATAACACTATTAAAATTATTTTGAGGACAGTGTCAAAGATGGGAAGTGCTTATTGGACATTGTATAAAATACAAAATAGAAAATTCTTTGTATGCCAGTTTTTACAACTATAAAAATACTTGTATATTTGGACAAAGACTGAGCAAGAATAGACCCAATAAAAAGCATATTAGTTACTAAAATTTTTTTTAAGATTTTATTATTTTTCAGAGAGGGGGGAAGTAAGAGGGGAAGAAAGGGAGAAAGACATAAACATTGGTGTGAGAGAAACCTCAGTTGGCTGCCTCTCATATGCCCCCCAACCAGGGACCTGGCCTGCAACCCAGGCATGTGCCCTGACCAGGAATTGAACTGGTGAGCTTTTAGTTTGTGGGACAATGGCGAACCCACTGAGCCACGCCAGTCAGTGCAATGCAAAATGTTTTTAATGTTTAGTTTTACTGTTTAGAAATTGTTGAACTGAATTGGGTTGCAAAACAAAATGTTTGCAAATATTTGAGTCACTTCAGTTGTCTTTGTTTTTTAGGTAAATACTGGGATGCCTTTTGTCATCGCTTTTATCTTATGCTTTACTCAATTTTGAATTTCAGCCTTCAGAGATAGAGATGGAGTCACAGGTGCATCTCTATGGGCACACTGAGGAGGTCACCAGCTTGTTTGTCTGCAAGCCGTACAGTATCCTGATCAGTGTGAGCAGAGATGGGACCTGCGTCATATGGGACTTGAACAGGTACGGAGGGTCTGTGGCTCCAGCACAGCTGACCGAGCCAACGTGCCAGTTCCCCCTGCATGACAGGTGCACAAAAGTGACATCTTTACATCATAATAACTTAAAGCATGAAGTACAAACTTTACCTTTATAATCTTACTGAAATCGAAAGGTCCATTAGGAATGCCTTACAAATAATAGCTACCTACATAAGACAGTATAATTGTCTTATGATCATTTGCAAAGTCATGTCTTCGTCTTTCAGGTTGTGCTATGTGCAAACTCTGGCAGGACACAAAAGCCCCGTCACAGCCGTCTCTGCCAGTGAGACAACAGGTGACATTGCCACAGTGTGTGATTCAGGTGAGCCAGCTCCTAAGCAAACACAAGGCCGTTGCTAAAGTGACACCGCAGTTCCCATGTTGGATACATTTCACAGGCCCTTCCAAATGTAACTGCTTTGTTCATAGTGCGCCGCACGTGTGTGTTAAAATACAACAGGGCCCAAGAGTGGGTCATCAGTGTAGGCCTCGACTGATGCAAGAGTTAGTGCTGCCCTAATTTAACGCTTTTCCTGATGTGTGTAAACTGTATTTGAGCTCATGTAACTATGGTTATGTAATTATCTGAATTTTTTTGCTTTTTGTTTTTTAATGCTTTTTTCTTCTGCTTTTTAACTGATTTCACTGCCTTCCTCCTGAAATGAAAACCATCAGCTTTGAGTGTAAGTCTTTCAGGCCCTGAGAGACAAGAGTGACACAGAGTGACAGTGGGGGTGCGCTTCCGCATCAGACTCACACGGCCGAGACCAAAGGTCTTGGTTTTGGTGTTTCATGTGCACGAATTTAAAAAATTGACATGTCAGCAGAAGAGAACAATTGGAAAATTCATAAATCTTCTACTTGCCTTTCTCCTCCTCAGCATCTTAAGATTGAAAGCATCCTTTGAAAAACCGTTTCTTTCTGCCCACTCCATAGAGAGTATCTTTGACACATCTGTACTGGGTGGTTCTCTATCCCTTGTTCGCACTTTGGTGTTCTTTTTCAACACCAAACGTGTGACGTCTTTCCTGACACTAAACAGCTCCCTAATTCTATGACATACTGGGTGTCCAACTGTGCCATTCACTTCTGACCAACTGCTTGAAGTCGGGGAGTTCCCGAGACCGCCCACCAGGTTCAGTGACTCACTAGACTTGCCACCCCGTGTGTTGTAAAGCACAGGCACGAACAGCCCGGTGAGGAGGGCCCAGAGGGAAGCCCTGACGGCCCGCCCGCCTGGAGTCAGAGCGCAGGGCCTCCTGGCCCAAGAGCACGCGCACCCAGTGGGAGACCTCCTGTCCCCGTTGTCGAGGGGTTCTCCAAGGTGTCGTCAGGTAGATGGAGTTGATGACATCACTGGCCATTGCTAATTGAGCTCAATCTCCAGGCCCTCGGCCCTCCCAGGAGGTGGGGAGGTGCTGCATGTCCTACCCTCTAATCACATGGTTGGGGCTTCTGGGGACCGGCCGCTGTCCTGGAGCTGTCTAATCCCTGCCTGGCCCCCCCAAACCAGGAGCATCAAAAGACAGTAAATTAGCAGGCTTTTAGGAGCTCGATGCCAGCAACCTAAGTCAAACAACAATTTTTTTTTTACTACAGACATCCCTGGCATTTTATTGTTTTTACAAAATGTTCATTCAGTCTTGTATTGAAGAAAAGTAATCTTTAGTCATGCTTATAGATTTCAGCTGTGATTTTCCCATTAGCCCCAGTCATCAAACAATGTCATGAAAAGAGTTTCATTCCCTAAGCGGCACAGCTGAGGGGAAGGATCTCAAACAGCTGACCTGGGTAACCTGGGTGTGGGTGGACGGCTGATGCCTTCACTAACTGTTCTGGACTTGTCTGTTAGCAGCTCTCGGTGCATCACAGCCAGAGCTGATCTAGGAGCGTAACATGATGATTATTTATACAGAGGTCTCTCCTTTCTTGTTTTGGCAACATTGGGAAGTTAGGACTGGTCCTGAGGGAGCTGAATTCTCTCAAGTTAATTACTTTCCTGCTGCCAGTCGTGATTTATTTCTGTGCTATTACACCAGCTAGTCATACGGGAACAGGAAGCCAAATTACTTTTGCTGCAGCTATCAGCTCACTTGCAGGTTTGCAGGTGTCCCTAGGCAGTGCGCAGTGTGATGACGGTCGAACCTTTATCTAATTGGAACAAAAAGGCCGTCTCAACTTTTTAAAGGTTTTTTGGTACATATTAGGGAGAAGACATAAAGAACATTTGCTATGTAGAGAGCATAAGAAAATCATGATTTTTTTAAAAAGAGAGGCCAAATGTAGAGTCTAGGTGACTTGACTCGAGGTCATCCTCTTGTTCCTATAGTCCAAGAAGGGGAGACATTACTAGTCTACCAGAAGTCTTCACCCTTTTGTTAGTGCCATCCAAGTAACTATAAAATTAAAATTATAAATAAATGTGTGTATGCATGTTGTATGTGTTATGTGTGCATATGCGTGCATGTGTACCTGTCTACATACAAACACATGTGCTGTGTTCTCCAAAACTTCTGTATTGGGGCTGAAGTTACAGTAGCTTATTCTTCCTGATCATAATTCCACAGTTTATTATATCATTTTCATAGTGATAAGATGTAAAATTTATTAAACTATGTGAGTATTATGCTACATGGTTTCTGTATTTTTTAAAGTCATTCTATCACTGGATCAAAATAGATGCCTTTTAGCTAGGGTTTATAGCCTGGTTGTGTGTCATGGTGTCATTATAGAGTTAATATAATATCCTAAGATTCAGGATAGAGGATGGCTCTCTGATTTAATTTCAGAGAAGACGCATAGGAAGAATAAAGTTTTTCCAGCAAAGCCTAATTTTCTGACCTTTTACTGGATGTACTAAATTATACATGAAAGCAACCTAGTGCTGGGGTGGGCCTTGATATTTTGATATTTGCAGGCTTGGGCAGATGAGTAGTGACGTGCTATTGTGGCCCAAGTGGCTGGATGATCTGCCGTGGTGATTCTTTGCGGGTTCAGTTCTGCACTGTGCTGAGTCCAGGACACGTCCACACTTTCATGCTCAGGGACCAGCCGTGCCATGGCTGGGGATCACAGGGCCCCACCCCTGCGTCGGCTTGGATGGACATGTAGCCAGTGACCTCAGTAAGCCCTCTACCCTCACTAGTACGATAGGGTTACTTTATTTTTTAAAACCTCTTATCAGCTATTAAATTCAAAAGGAAGAGTGAAATGTAGTCTGTTTGTGGAAAAGATGAATTTATCGTTTCCTACACCTTGATGCTTTATTTAGATAATCTCTCTTCATCAGTGTTTTACAGTCATAAGTCTGAGTAGCACATCGGGCCTTTTTACAGTGTGTGTGTGTGCGTGTGTGCATGTGCGTATGTTAAGATACAGTGAACGTAAAAGTTGCCATTTAAACCACTTAAAAATACACGATTCGGTGGCACCATTGCAGCCACAGTGTTGTGCAACCATCCCCCAAACAGAGACCCTGGAAGTCCCGTTCCTCCCTCCCCACAGCTCCTAAGGACCTCTGCCCCACTTTCTGTCGCTGGGAATTCACCTGCTCTAGAAATTTCACAGCAGCAGAAGCACAAAACATTTGTGTTCTCACGTCCGGCCTGTTTTACTTAGTATGTTTTCAAGGTTCATCCATGTTGTAGCTAGCATGTGTCAGAACTTCATTATTTCTTTTAAAAGTTTTTATTTATTTTTAGAGAAAGGAGAAAGGAGGGAGAGAAACATTGATGTACTAGAGAAACATTGCTGGGTTGCCTCTTACATGGGGACCTGGCCCACAACCCAGGCATGTGCTTTGACGAGGAATCGAACCAGCAACCTTTTGGTTTGAGGGATGATGCCCAACCCACTGAGCCACACCAGTCAGAACTTCATTACTCTTTATGGTTGAATAGTATTCCATTCTATAGGTCAGTGATTTTCTACCGGTGTGCCACAGAACAGGAATTTTTAAAACATGCCATATCTGACTGTTTAGTCACGGGCACTGACTTCTTTTCCCTTAAGTTGTCAAATAAGAAGAATGACAACAGCCAACACAACAATAGCCATCCAGTGTGAGTGGCCTGTCTTGAGTCATAAATGTGTAGGTCACATCACAGAATTGCATGTTACTGGTCACGTCACGTAATAAGGTTGCGTCTGACTGGTTCATTCTTGGTACCAGAAATCCTTATACAAGTACAGGCACCGTTTTTTTTTTAAATGTCATTATGGAGCAAAAAGGTAGGTAATTACTATGGTTTTTTGTAAATCAATCAAAATTAGACACCTCTTTTTTGTCAGATTAGCAAAAAATATTTTATGGTATGCAACAGAATTTTAATAATTTGTGCCAAGAGATGCAAAGGCTGAAAATCCCTGGTGTAAAGAGACCACATTGTTTACTCATTTATGTAATGATGGACATTTGGGTCGTTCCCACCTTTCAGCCATTGTGAACAGTGTGCAACCCACTGGGTGGTTTGGTTTGTGGTATTTGAAGGTCTTTAGCTTATCTTTAAATAGAGGAATATTGCCAGTATTTGTTTCTTTGCTATAAAATATAAGATCTTTTCATTGCCTTAATGAAGGTGAGACATAAATTCTCTCCTTTTATGTTAGTTCAAATGGAGAAATAAAATTAAGTGTAGTAACACAACGGCATCCAGACTCTACCAGGCCTCTCACCCCTTTATCAGAATATGTCTCCCAGAAAGGCGGACTCCGTGTCATGTAGCCCCAAACCAACAGCCTGTCCATAGACAATGGCCAACACTACTACCTCCTCCAGCCCCTGGAGAACCATAGAAAGTTTGGTCAGTCAGCATCTGTGAAAAGAAAAAAAATAGCTTAATAAGGTGTTGATTTATAAGACTCAATCAGATATTATGAAGAATTAGATTTCTTTTTTAAAAATATATTTTATTGCTTATGCCATTACAGTTGTTCTATTTCCCCCTTTCATTCCTCTCCACCCTGCACACCCCTCCCCCACCATTCCCCCCTTTAGTTTTTGACCATGTGTCTCAAGTTCTTTAGATTCTATATTTCCCATACTGTTCTTGCCCTCCCCCTATCTATTTTCTACCTACCATCTATGCTACTTATTTTCTGTACCTTCTCCCCCCCTTCTCCTTCTCCCACTCCCCTGTTGCTAACCCTCTATGTGATCTTCATTTCTATGGTTACGCTCCATAGGAGGATCTAGCTGTCCTCTTAGTTTGCTTTTGTTTTAGATGTGGTTGTTGATAACTGTGAGTTGGCTGTCCCTTCACTGTTCATCTTTTTTATCTTCTTTTTTTTAGGTAAGCCCCTTTAACATTTCATATAATAAGGGCTTGGTGATGATGAACTCATTGAACTTGATCTTATCTGAGAAGCATTTTATCTGTCCTTCTATTCTAAATGAAAGCTTTGCTGGATAGAGCAATCTTGGTTGTAGGTCTTTGGATTTCATGACTTGGAATACCTCTTTCCAGCCCCTGCTTGCCTGTAAGGTCTCTTTTGAGAAATCAGCTGACAGTCTGATGGGAAGTCCTTTGTAGGTGACTGTCCCCTTATCTCTTGCTGCTACTAGAATTCTCTCCTTCATTTGAATCTTGGCTAATGTAATGATGATGTGCCTTGGTGTGTTCCTTCTTGGGTCCAACTTCTTTGAGACTCTCTGAGCTTCCTGGATTTCCTGGAAGTCTATTGCCTTTGTCAGATTGGGGAAATTCTCCTTTATTATTTGTTCAGGTAAGTTTTCCACTCGTGGCTGTTCCTCTTCCCCTTCTGGTACCCCTATAATTCAGATGTTGGAACATTTAAAGATGTCCTGGAGGTTCCTAAGCCTCTCCTCATTTTTTTTGAATTCTTGTTTCTTCATCCTTTTCTGTTTGGTCATTTTTTTCCTCTTTCTGGTCCACGCCTTTGATTTGAGTGCCAGTTTCCTTTCCATTACTATTGGTTTCCTGTGCATTTCCATGCATTTCAATTAGTTTAGCCTTCATATGTTCCTCTAATTTGTGACTAAAATCAGCCAGTTCTGTGAACATCCTGATCACCAGTGTTTTGAACTGTGCATCTGATAGTTTGGCTATTTCTTCATCGCTTAGATTTATCGGCTCTGGGGCTCTGAGTTGTTCTTGAGCCATGTTTTGATCTGTTCATGCCTGTACGTACGTATGAGGAGCGGAGCCTTAGTTGTTCACCAGGGTGGAGCCAACCAGGTTGCTGGTTTGTGATGCTGTATGTGGGGGCAGGGTCAGAGAGGTACAATGGCGGTTCTCTCTGCTGCTTCCCACCACTGGGGCCTGCACAGTTCCGTCAGTCTCACTGCTCGCTCCTTCACCAGTTTATCTCCACACAAATGTGTGACCGTGGTCAGCCCTCAGTGAGTCCACCGCCTTGCACCCTCAGTGGGTCCGCCTGCTACTCCACACCTGGGATCACCTACAGCTGCTGGCGTGTCTGGGTTGCACGCCCGGGTCAGTCTGGTGGATCTTTCCTGCCCTGCCCGGCTCTGCTGCTGGCTCTGACCCTCTTACTGGTTTGGCTGAAGGGTTCGTTGTTGTCAGACTTCCGTATAGTTCAATTTTCTGTTGTTTGGCTGTATTTTTGTTGCTAAAACTTTGTTGTTTTTAAACTTGGTTGTGTGAGAAGGTACAGTGCTACCACCTACGCCTCCATCTTGGCGGAAGTCTCAGATTTCTTTTTTTTAAGAATTAATTTTTAACTCAGGCAACCTTTTTTTCTTCAGATGTCACACAAGTCACTTCTTACAGATGATTTTTACAGAATAGTTTCTCTTTGTGGAGATTGTTTAGCTTTCTGGATACTTTCAGATTCAGAGTTCATAGCTCATGTGTTAAAATATCGTGATTCATGATTAATTTACTTTGTCACTCTCTATGGCAGATGAATTTGTATTTTTTTTTACTGGTCACTGTCTAGATAAACATGCAGAGCTTCCTGTGACTTCAGTGCAGTGACTTCACTTGCTTGTTCTGCTGTCGGGAGTTGCCTGTCAACTCCTCACTAAAACCAGCTTGGCCCCAGGGTGCCCTCAGAACCCAGGGTGCTGGGCGGGTGATGCCACCCTGGTGACCGCAGGCTTGGTGTTTCAGCTGGCGGAGGCAGCGACCTGAGGCTGTGGACAGTGAACGGGGACCTCGTGGGACACGTGCACTGCAGAGAGATCATCTGTTCCGTGGCCTTCTCCAACCAGCCCGAGGGTGTCTCCGTCAATGTGATTGCCGGGGGGCTGGAAAACGGGGTCGTCAGGTGAGACGCTCCCGGCTCTCTGTCTGCTCTTGCTCACAAGGACGTGGGTTCAACAGTGAGTCGTTAGTACTTAGGCAGGTTAATGTTTGACTGTTAGAATTTAAAATCACCATACACTATAGGTTCTTCCTGTTTTACTTCTAATAAAGATGGCTTTAGTGCCACTGTGAAGTTTTATATTGTTTAACTATTGAAGGTCAACAACACAAAAATATGCCCAGTTAGGTTTGCAGACTCCCATACCCGCCCCTGCACACCTCCCAGAACTAACTGTAGTAACTGCTTACTGTCTTTCCTTCTAGATAACGCTTAACAAATAAGCAAGTGTAGGTTTGCTGGCCAAGGAAATGTACTTTGCGTGATTAGATGACTTTTTTCCCCTCTAGGTTATGGAGTACGTGGGACCTAAAGCCTGTGCGGGAAATCACGTTTCCTAAGTCAAATCAGCCGATTGTAAGGTGAGACCTGCCTTCCCATTCTTCGTAACATCCTTTGTGAGAGAGAGATTAAAGCTCGCAGACCTAAAGAAATCTCTGAGGAGCATCTCGGAAAGGGCGGACACTCGTTAGGCGCCAGGTTGTCTGGGGCCCAGTGGCCAACGGAGGCACAGTCCTTGTCCTGGTGGAGTTTGAAGCCCGAGTCAGGAACTGGGCCTGGCAGCCTGGGGTGGTGGCAGGGGGAGGTGGTGAAGTGACATTTTTTCCCTTCCTTATTGAAAATACCATAATGGTGACTGATGGCCACAGGAATGTGCCTGACAGGATTGGCAAACACTCAGCTGTTCCCTCCTCCGTTAACAAATTTCAATTAAAAACTTGAGTGGGCATAAGTGATTCAAATTCTACTTTATTAAAATAAGTTTATTTCTAAAATGCTAAATTCAAAGTTTAATGAACCTAAGTTAATAATTTATTGTTATATTTTTACTCTTTTCTCTTTTAAAGAAATAAAATATCTCCATAATAATCTATTTTTACAAAGAAAAAATGAAGTACTGTTACATTTTTTAAAGTTTCCTATACCCAAGCAGTCGTTGCTTAAGTAATAAAAGGTAAATGAGAAGGACAAGCAGGTAGGAAAGGACGCAACGGCACATGCTGATCTCCGGGGTACCGGTGCTGTTCTGTGTCACCTGCTTAGAAGGAGCTTCACCAACGTGGCAGCAGAGCCGCGGCCTGTGTGAGGATCACAGGCGGCTGCAGGCCCTCATGTCCTGGGTCCCTCCGCTGCAGGAAAGGCATCAGAACCTCTCCACACCGACCCCTGTGTGATCCCCAATGTGCTCATACAACTTGACACATGCTTTACAAACGGGATTTTCTTCTTTTTTTTACAGCCTCACATTTTCCTGTGACGGCCACCACCTGTACACAGCGAACAGTGAAGGGACCGTGATTGCCTGGTGTCGGAAGGACCAGCAGCGCCTGAAGCAGCCCATGTTCTACTCCTTCCTGAGCAGCTATGCAGCCGGCTGAAGGCGAGAGCTGCGCGTTCTCTGAGCACTTGAACTCCATGCTAGATTTGGCGCCTCACCCGTTTTAAGAGGTTGAACCTGAAGAAATGGATGACCAAGCAAATGTTCTACATAATTATAAAAGCTGTTCATCTGCACAGAAGCCTGCAGCCTCCAGGGGCCCTGGGAGGAAGTTTCGGACTAAATGACAGCGTATGGTGACCAATGGGACTGAGGTCTTCCATAGCCACTGAAAATCATAGTCCTGGAGTCTTTTCTATAAGGGTATTCTAAAGAGATCAGGGTTGCTCCTTTTCTAGTATTACAAAAGGGCCAAGAGAATTCAAATTGCTCAGCGAATTGTTTATAAAATACTCTTAAAATTATATTTTAAAAGTTTTACACCGAGATAACCCCCTGCCCCGAAAAGGGAGAGAAAAGAAAAGAATCTAGGACGTGATCAGGCTTTCTTGAAGAAGTGGACTGTTCAGCAGGCACCTCTGCACCGTTGCCTGGAGAACCTGCAGCCTAAAAAAGACCACTAGTGAATCTCATTATTACAAGGCAGGTTCTGCCAGTTGCCTTCTTAGCTCGAAGCAAAAGCAGAAGTTTTTGACAGCCACAAACAAGAACAGGGCTCTCTCTGACCTCAGACACATTGCGTGTCTTCATAAACATCCCACTTAAGATCCATAACACTAGGTTGTGACTCTCCTCAGTTGAGTCACTAAGATTTGAACCCACGTTCACCCTCTGAATGTCCGCCCCGCACAGAGCATCAAGAACATAGCCATCTGCAGCAGAAAGCCTCCGCTGTGCAGGAAGTCTGCACGGGTGGTGGTGATCTGGTCTGGGTGAGACATCTAAATTCTCGTGCAGGAAGAGGTTCCTTCCCTGAGACAAGAGGGGACCACTTATGTTGTTTCAAACAACATAATTCCTTTAGGAAGCAGCTTCCACGCTGGTTCCTCCACTAACCTGCACCACCTGAGAGTGCAAGGAGCGGTGGGAGCATCTTAACCACGCACCACAGCAGAGTCGGCTGCCGTCAGGGCAACATTCCTGGAAGGCTTGGAGCGGTCTCCCCACTGTGGTGTGACGGCGCTGTTTCTGCTCGGGTGCTGCTTTACTGGCTTTTAAGACACTTAAATAACTGAGTAACATGTTACCACGGGATGAAAATCTGTGTTCCCGCCTGAGAGTCACTGGCATGTTTGCTACAAAAACTTGACTCACATGGTGTTTACAGAACTACTTTTATAACTTCCAGACTTTCTGCAACATTCTACTTAAAAACTGTACAAAACAATTCCCAAGGCTCTGCGTTAAGATCAGTACGAGAAGCAGCAAGCAGCCACAGGCAGTTGTGGCGTGAAGCCCGCAGCTGCGTCGGAACGCCACGCAGGCTGCATTACCATCGTGCTCACGCAGACAGCTGTGAGCTCTGAGGCCCAGACGGTGCAGAGATGACATCATTCCTGCTCACGCTGAAGTGATTTGCTTTGTTTAAAAAGAAATCGCAGCTATTGTCTAGCTTTCACTTTTCTACTGAGAACCTCAAATTAGTCCCCTTAGAATAGTGTTGCTGCTCAGTCTTTTTTTTAAGGCTGAATTTCATTTGTCTAAAGAGGAAATATGCAAAACAACCAGTCTTGTTAAAGAGTGCAATATTATATTTTTATGTAAAAATGAAAATTTGGGGGATTATTTATTCAGCATGAAACTCACTCTGTGTGAGAAACACCTCGTGACGTGCATGTTGCAGCAAACGTGTCTGCAGATTCCCACACGCTCTTCCCTTCACACGCACCGCCGCTTCGGGCTGGGAATAAACGTCATAAAACGGGTTTGAAGACCTGTTCTTTGTACAGTCTGAACTGTAAGGCCAGATCTCATATTGATGGCTCTTCTTTTATAACCCACACAGGCTCTCTCCTTCCCCCTCTAAGTTAGTCACTGAAAGGATCTCTCATTTCTTAATGTTGGCCTTTGTGACAAATTTTATATTCAAACTTTACTACCCTTAAATGGACTTCAGTCAAGCCTGCGGTGAAACCACTCGTTTCAAAGAGAAGGGCATCAGCCCTGCCCTGAGCAAATCTGTAGAGGCCCTACTGTGTGCCAAGGATACAGGAATAGCCTGCACTGCTGGGGGTTGTAGGCTGATGGAGGGACCTGCTGTGACAACGTACACTGTGTAGTTACAGAGCATGTGAAGGTGAAGTACAGGGTGCTCTGAGAGAACAGAACAGGAAGGATCAAGAGGGTCCCACTGCAAACCACAGTTTACACAGCAGCTACATCCCCACTGGGCAGCTCAGTCGATGAGAGCGTTGTCCTGATCCACCAAAGTTGTGGGTTCCATCTTGGTCAGGGCACATAAGAGTCAACCAGTGAATGCATAAATAAGTGGAACAATAAGTCAGTGTTTCTCTCTCCTCCTACTCTCTAAAAATGAAAAAAAAATTTAAAGCAACTACTGCCCTGGCTTGTATGGCTCAGTGGGTTAAGTGCCACCCTGCAAACCAAAGGGTCACAGGTTCAATTCCTAGTCAGGGCGCATGCCTGGGTTGTGGGCCAGGTCCCCAGTAGGGGGCACACAAAAAGCAACCACACGTTGATGTTTCTCTTCCTCTCTCCCTCCCTTCTCCTGTCTCTAAATAAAATCTCTTTAAAAAATAAAAAGCAACTACCTTTGCCAATATAAAATATATATATACACTGAGTAGGGAAGGAGCTGATAATAATTTTAGTGACCAAATTTATACATATACATGTGTGTGTGTGTGTATCTTGACACTTTGGGGACACTGGCTTGCAACTCAGTTATTTGGGAGAAATTAAATAATACATTATGTCCTTTTAGGCCAAAATGACTAGATCATTTGAGACTAGACAACAATATTCTTGCTCAAGTACTGAGCTTATTTCTTTTCTCATGAACAAAGTTAATGGTATATGAGTTTAGGAAATACTGTTTTCTGGCCAAGATGGAGGTGTAGGTAGATACACTTTGTCTCTTCGCAAAACCAAAAGAAGGAAAATATTTAAAAACAAAAATAACCAGGACTGCTGGAAAGTCAAACTGTATAGAAGTCCGACAACCAAGGAGTTAAAGAAGAACATTCCCTCAGACCAGTAGGAGGGATGGAGACGGGCAGCTGGGGGGAGAGGATGCACGGCCAGGCAGCAGCTGGAGGACCAGGATGAGCAAGGCAGTGGATGGCAGAGTGCAGGGGTCCCACAGTTGCATGTGAAAAAGCTGGAGGAACAACTGTGGAACAAGACAGACCATGCACCCCGGGGTTACAGTGCAGGAAATAAAGCCTCAAAACCTCTGACTGAGAAAACCTATGGGGGTTGAGTTGGTGAGAGAAAGTCCCAGCTTCACAGGAGAGCTCGTTGGAGAGACTCACAGGGTTCTAGAATGTACACAAACTCACCCAGGAATCAGCACCAGAAGGGCCCAATTTGCTTTTGGGTAGCGGGGGAAGTAACTAAAAACCAGCAGAGAGGTGAGCAAGTGATACTGTTCCCTCTCGGACCCCTCCCTCTCATGCTACATCACAATGCAGCGATGCAAGTTGCCCCACTCTGTTGAATACCTAAAACTCCACCCCCTACTATGTAACAGGCATGCCAAGATAAAAAAAATATATGGCCCAAATGAAAGAAACATCAAAGCTCCAGGAAAAGAAGTAAGCAGTGAAGGGATAGCCAATCTATTAGATGCAGAGTTCAAAACACTGGTTGGTAATCAGGATGCTCACAGAAATGGTGGAGTATGGTCGCAAAATAGAGGAAAAAATGAAGGCTATGAAAAGTGAAATAAAGGGAAATGTACAGGGAACCAACAGTCAAAAGAAGGAAACCAGGGCTCAAACCAATAGTTTGAAGCAGAAGGAAGGAATAAACATTTAACCAGAACAGAATAAAGAAATGAACATTCAAAAACATGAGGAGAGGCTTAGGAACCTCTGGGACAACTTTAAATGTTCCAACATCCTATCCATAGTGGTGCCAGAAGGAAAAAAGAAAGAGCAAGAAATTGAAAACGTATTTGGAAAAATAATGAAGAACTTCCTTAATCTGACAAAGGCAATAGACTTCCAGAAAGTCCAGGAAGCTCAGAGAGTCCTAAAGAAGTTGGACCCAAGGAAGCACACAACAAGACACATCATAATTACATTACTCAAGAATAGGGATAAGGAGAGAATCTTAAAAGTGGCAAGAGAAAAGGAGACAGTTGCCTACAAAGGAGTTCCCATAAGACTCTCAGCTGATTTCTCAAAAGAAACCTTGTAGGCAAGAAGGGGCTGGAAAGAAGTATTTGAAGTCATGAAAGGCAAGGACCTACATCCAAGATTGTTCTATCTGTGGGGGAATCCACAGACATACAAAGGGTTGTAAGAAAACTTGATGAACTACTATATGCCAACAAATTGCACAATCTGGAAGAACTGGGTAAATTCCTAGAAACATACAATCTTCCAAAACTGAGTCAGGATGAATTATAACACCTGACTAGACCTATTACAAGTAAGGAAACTGAGGCAGTAATCATAACATTCCCAACAAACAAAAGTCCGGGAGCGGATGGCTTCACAGGAAATTTTACCAAACATTCAAAGAACTAACACCTGTCCTTCTCAATTTATCCCAAAAAATCCAAGAGGAGGGAAGACTCCCAAGTTCATTTTATGAGGCCATCATTATCCTAATTCCAAAACCAAACAAAGACACCACAAAGAAAGAAAAGTATAGACCAACATTCCTGATGAACATAGATGGTAAAATCCCCAACAAAATATTAGCAAACCAGATCCTGCAATTCATTAAAAAGATCATATACCAAGACCAAGTGGGATTTATTCCAGAGATGCAAGATTGGCACAATGCCGCAAATCAATAAACATGATATGCCACGTGAACAAAAGGGATAAAAGTAATGTGATGATAATAGATGCAGAAAAAGCATTTGATAAAATCCAGCACCTATTTATGATAAAAATCCTTAGCAAAGTGGTAATAGAGGAAACATACGTCAACATCATAAAGGCCATATATGACAGACCGACAGCCAACATCATTCACAATGGGCAAAAACTAGAAGCGTTTCCCTTAAGACCCAGAACAAGACAGGAATGTCTGCTTTCACCGCTGTTATTGAACAGAGTACTGGAAGTCCTAGCTAGCCACAGCAGTCAGTCAAGAAGAAGAAGTGAAAAGCATATAAATAGGAAATGAAGAAGTAAAACTGTATTTGTAAGTGACATGATGCCATATATTCAGAACCCTAAAGATTCTAGCAAAAATGACTAGAACTGATAAACAAATTCAGCAATGTAGCAGGATACAAAATAAATACCCAGAAATCAGTTGCATTTTTATACAAGAATAACGAACAATCAGAAAGTGAAACTAAGAAAACAACCCCATTTACAATTGCATTAAAAAGAAATTAAGAATCAATTTATCCAAGAATGTAAAAGACCTGTACTTGGAAAATTGTAACACATTGAAGAAATAAATTGAAGATACAAACAAGTGAAAGCACATATCATGTTCATAAATTGGAAGAATTAAATCGTTAAAAGATCCATAGTACCCAAAGCGATCTATAGATTCAACACAACTCCTATCAGGATACCAATGGCATTTCACAGAAATGCAAACAAATATTCCAAAAATGTTTATGGAAACACAAAAGACCCCAAATAACCACAGCAATCTTGAGAAAGAATATGAGGAATTGTGCTACCCGATACCAAACTATACTAGAAGTCCATAGTAATCAAAATAGCATGGTACTGGCATAAAAACAGACATATAGATCAACAGACCAGAATAGAGAGCCCATAAATAACACCCACACCTTTATGGTCAATTAATGTTTGACAAAGGAGGCAAGAATATACAATGGGGTAAAATAAGAACAGTCTATCAATAAATAGTATTAGCAAAATTAGATATGTGCAAAAAAAATGAAACTACATCAACCTTTTTACACCATTCACAAGAAAAAAACTTAAAATGATTTAAAGACTTAAATGTTAGACTCAAAACCATTAAAATCCTAGAAGAATACACAGGCAATAAAATAGTGGACAGTTCTCATAGCAATATTTTTGAAATATCTCTCAAGCAAGGAAAAGAAAAAAATAAACAAATGGGACTACCTCAAGCTAGAAAGTTTATGCACAGCCAAGGAAACCGTCAACAAAATGAGCAGACAACCCACTGAATGGGAGAGCATGTTTGCCAATGATATGTCTGATAAGGGGTTAATGTCCAAAATTTATAAAAAACTCAAAACTCAACACCAAGAAACAAAGAATCCAATTAAAAAAATGGGCAAAGCCCCTGAATAGATGCTTCTCCAAAGAGGCATACAGATGGCCAACAGACATATGAAAGGATGCTTGACGTCACTAATCAAAGAGATGCAAATCAAAACCACAATGAGATACCACCTCAAAAGGGTCAGAATGGCCACCATTCATATGTCAACAAACAGCAAGTGCTGGCGAGGAGGTGGAAAAAAGGGAACCCTCATGCACTGTTGGTGGGAATGCAGACTGGTGCAGCCACTGTGGAAAACAATATGGAGATACCTCAAGAAAATAAAAATGAACTGTCTTGTGACTAAACAATTTCACTTCTGGGGATTTATCCAAAGAAACAAACAAAAAAAAACCCCAACTAATTCAATATATATATCCCTAGGTTTCTTGCAGCATTGTTTACAGTAGCCTCGATGTGGAAGCAGCCCAGCAGGAGATGAGTGGACAAAAACGCTGTGGCGCATGTTCACAGTGGAATACTGCTCTGTGGTGAAAAAGAAATCTCACCCTTTGCAACAGCATGGGGGGACCTGGAGAACACTATGCTGAGTGAAGTAAGGCAGTCAGAGAAAGACAAGTGCCTTATGATTTCACTTAAATGTGGAGCCCAGTGAACAAAACAAGCTAACAAATAAAACAAACAGATTCGTAGATATAAAACGGACAGCTGTCAGAGGGAGGGGACTTGGGGACTGGGTGAAAAAGGTGAAGAGATGAAGCGCAAAACGAAAACTCATAGGCCGCGGCTGGTGATTCTCAGAGGGCAAGGGAGTGGGGGGAGGTAGAGGAGGGCAAAGGGGAATAAAATGTGATGGAAGGAGACGACTGGGGCGGCGAACACACAATACAACACACACATGACGTGGGGTAGAACTGCACGCCTGAAACGGAGATAATTTTACTGACCAACGTCACCCCAATAAATTCAACAAATAAAATACACCCAGCCATATCATAATTACATGAAAGCAAGGGACCTAAACAGTCCATTCAAAGGCACGGAACGTATCTCAGGCTGAATTTCAGAAGCCGGACGCAGGTCTGTGCTGAGCCTCGCTCGGTCTCCACGAACCTCGGGCGTGCGTCCCGCCTCCCAGACGCGGCGGCTCTCACTCCGGGGCGGGCCCCCGCGGCGCGGCGCCCCGGTGCCTCCCGTCACCAAGTCCGGCCGGCCTGCGCCTCCCGGTGAGTGTCAGCAGGCACAGGTGTCACCGCCCCTGGCCACAGGTCGGGGTTTTACGCGTTCCCAGGTGCTGCGTGTGAGCTGCCGCGCCCACCCGGCCGGTCGCTGGACCGAGCCCGCGGGTAAAGCCGAGGCTGTGCGAGGCTCTGGTCGCGGCCCCCGCGAGCACCGGCTCCCCACCTCCCCGCCCCCAGCCTGGGCGGCGCGCGCTGCAGGCGGGGTGCCCGGCGGGCTCGAGGCCGGGGAGCTCGGCGGGGTCTCGGGGGCCGGGCACAGGGCGAGGGGCGCTGGGGGCGCGGACTGGGGGCGCGGGGTGCGGGGCTGGGAGGCGGGGGCTCGGGCCGAGCGGGGGGCCAGGGGAGCCGAGAGCTGGGCGGGGGACGCGGGCCGTGCGCGGTGGGACTTTGGGGGACGAGGGGCGCGGGCCGCGGGCCGCGGGCGGGGCCCGGGAGGCGGGGCCGGCCGGGCGGGGGGCGCGGAGCCCCGGCGCGGGAGCCCCGGTGACGCACCAGTGACGTCGGCGGCGGGCGGGATTTCCCAGCCCCTCCCGGGCGCCCGGGGAGACCCGGCTGCGGAGCGGCCGCGACCACCGCGGAGGGAAGCGGCGGGCCCGGGTCGCGCCTCCGAGCAGCGCGCTGGGCCCAGCGGATAGACGCTCGGCGTCCGGCCGGCCTCGCTCGCCGCCCCAGGCTCGGTCCGCGCTGCCTCCGCCGCGCCGGCGAGCGCTGACCGGCTCCCGCCCCGCCCCGCGCCCACCGGGACGATGCCGAGCGGCCTGGGCCCCCGCGCGCGCCGCGCCGGAGACAAAGCCCGCGCGTGAGCGGCGCCCGGCGAGCGGCGCGAAGCTGTGCGGACGGGCGGCACCGCCCGGGCTCCGCGGGCGCGGGGGAGCTGAAACCACCGGGGGTCGGCGGACCGTCCCGGAGCCGGAGGGCGGTTCCGGTGCCCGCGGCCCAGCCCGCGCGGCCAGCAGCCGGGCGGCAGGTGCGCGGCTGCCCAGCCCGGGACCCTCCGCGGAGCGCAGGTGCGTACGGGAGGCTCCTGGGGGTCGGCGTCGGAGGCGGCGAGGTACTGGGGACCCGTATCCGTACGTAGGTCACCGAGCGCTCGCCCCGGTCCCGGCAGGGACGTCCCCGTCCACAGGACCGTCACGGAAGGGGTGGACGGGCCAGTCGGTCGTTCTGTTGGGGGAAGCGCTTTCGGCGAGCGCCGGCAGAAGTTCCGTTGATTCCTAACGCCGGGGACACCTCCCGGGTCTGGCGGCGACCACCGGGCGCAGGTTTGACCCCCGCCTGTGGCGTCTGTCCCCGCGGCTGGTGCTGAACTGCACTGCACTCGCGGCGCGCGTCCGGTGGCTTTGGGGAGCGGTGGTCTGATTTATGCCTCGGAAATAATAACCTTCTCCAGAGGTGCGGCTGGAGAAGGCGCCTTAATTTAGGAGGATTTGCTTATTTTGTGTGTCTTGAACTAGGGTATTAGGAAGTCCCAAAGTCCAAGTCTGAGCAAGTGGTAAAGTGGCCGGTGGCCCCCTGGGTCCCTCTGCACCCGGGCTCTCCTGGCTTGCTGTTCCCCCCCAGGGCTGTGAAACGCTGGACACGGCGAAGGCCTGCTGGGCTGCGCTCACATCCCAGTGAAGACGTGCCGGTGCTGCCTTCTGCTCGCCGGTCCTGGGCGGGGGGGGCGGAAAATCCAGGGGCAGGCGCCTCCGAGCGGCCCGAGGGGACCTCGGCTCTGTGCCGGCCCCTGGGTTCTTTGGGGAAACCCGTTGCCTGTCCCGGGCGGGGAGGCGGCCGCGTGGCCCTGGCCCTGCTCCCCGGCAGAGGCTGCCCGGGGAACCCAAAGGTGGAAGGCTTTTCACCCCGGACCTGTAAACCGTACATCCTGCGTTATGACCCAAGTGTGAGGCTGGCTCACCTGGCAGCCATTGGGAAAGGTAGACACACAGCACCCGTCAGTGTCGACGCAAATAAATACAAGGTGTGCCGGCCGGGATGCTTTGCTAGTGTAAGGGGTTGTCAGGCTGAAGTGACTGTTTGGGACAGTGGCCTTCCTGTTGGCTCCTCCACGTGCCGGGGGCTCCGGTCTTCAGCCTCTATTGGATCAAGTTGCCCCAAGGAAGCCGGGTCAGCTGAGAAGCAGCACAGCAGGAAGGTCCTTCACACTGGCCCATGGTTGGCTGGGTATCGCCTTTGTCCATGGTGGGAAAACCAGGGGAAAGCTTTCCCACGTGCATTTTACAGTTTTTAAAACAAAACTGACAGTCCTTGACACACCCAAATCTCCACACTTTCTTGGAAATGGTGGGGCATCAGGTGGGAACTTGGGCACTGTCATCTCCTGGCCCCCGGGGGAGCAGGTACCACGTAGCTGTCCTGGAGGACCGGGTGGGGCTTCAGGAGCACCTGTGTGTAACCCTCTGCTCACACACGCTCACACACACACACACACACACGCACGCACAACTACTACTTATGTCAGAAGGCGGCCAAATGGCAGAGAAGTGACTGCCACGAGTCAGTCTCATTTACTTACAGCCACGCCTCACTCTCACATTTTTTCTTAGCTTGTCTCATTTTTGTTCGACTTGAAGAAGGGAGAATGCCTAAAAGGCAATACATTTTAATTGTCTTTTTTCTTCGTGGAATTTGAAACAGTATCTTTAAGATAATTACCCGATCTGTTCTAGGAACACCTTTGGGAGCATATGCTACAGACTAATCTTGCAGGTTCCTTTTTTACTCGGTATTTTTGTTGGCTCTAGACATATTCAGGCATAAAGAGACTTACTTTCCAGGTAGAGAGATCATTTGTTCAGTTTTTGTAAACCAGAAACTGAAATTTAATTTCTTTAATACACCAAAAGGACTATGAAATATCCTTTTAACAGCAGTTAGGTTGTTTTCATGGAAAACGAGAGAAGATGAATGAGTGTCAGAAAAAGGAAAACCAGAGATCAGTTATAACATGTAAAAGTTAGCATAATACTACTGCGTGTTTTCAACCAGCCGATTTAAACCACGTGAAGAATAAAGCAGCCGTCTTACGTAAATGATCAGAAGTGAACGCAGACGCAAGTGAAATTTCCATTTGGGGAAGGAAGTGGAGGCAGGAAGTGCTGCTGCAGGAGAGTGTCTCGGAGAAGACAGAGAGGGCGAAGACACCGGTTGAACTTCCAGCTGGCCCCTTCCCAACCTCGGCACCAGGGGGCTTTGGGGAGGTCAAATGGCAGCTGCCAGCTGTCACCAGCATTCCTAGTGGACCTTGGCACACAGTGGCAGGTCTGGCGCAGATGGGAACGCGGGCGTGTTGAAGGCAGGGTGCTTGTGCGTGGGCCCCAGGTGGTCATCAGGAGAGGAGGTCTTCGTAGCTGGAGAAGCTAGTGTCCCCCAAGCCCTGAGCGTCCTGGTCAGGGCCCAGCCTGGGAGGAGCACAGTGGGGGAGGGAGGGCCTGGTGGGTGGTCTCATGAACCCTCACACCACACCTGCAAGCTTTCTCCTTAGCAAAATGCAAGGTGACCACTGGCAGGGTGTTCGGTGGAGAGTGGTGACTTTTCAACGGACCAAGGATAAGCGTGTGCCCCCGAAGTGAGAGCGGCAGAGCCCTGGGGAGAGAAGTAAGGGGTGTGGGGTGTGAGGTGCACCCAGGGCTGTGCCTGCTCCTTCCCCTCCGGCTCATATTTCCCAGACCTGTGCTCCCTGGGGGCCGGGGAGGAAGAGAGAAGACATGAAAGAAATGCCTCGGCCTCCTCTGGGGACCAAGTGCTCCCCTCCCCCGCAGCCGACGTGTGCACTGCCAGGAGAAGACCCCTCCGCCCACCCACTCCGTGTGCCTCTGCTTCTCTGTCTCGCCCTGTGCGTCCCGGTGCTCACGTCCAGTTCACAGCCGCAGGCCCTTTTCATCCACCCCTGCCCAGTCGCCGCCGAAGGAGGAGGCAGGACAGCAGTAGGGAGGAGGGCAACATCGCCCATTGTTTTCAGAGCTCTTATCAGATAGAAGACCTTCACAACCACAGGGAAAGGTCTTGCCATGACAAACAAATGTGCTCCCCAGCCCCGCTCCCCTCCGGTATGGAGGTCCAATAGGGGAAATGGAGTTAGGGAATGGGAAGGAAAGATTGCAGGGGGGTCCTCGGGTGGGGGTGGCAGCAGAGTGATTGGGGGGGGTGCTGAAGGGGTGCTCAATGGCCCAGGCCCGGACCCCGCTGGAGGGCAAAAGCCACAAGGTCCGCTTCCAGTGGTCTCTCAGGGTAACGCGCCCTGGCTTAGAGACTGCAGGAGGGGCAGGTGGGGGCAGCACGTGTGACCTGCAGGTGAGGAGGGGCTGCCTGGGACGAGCAGAGGCCGGCTGGACACAGACAGGGGCTCCCCAGTGCCCAGGCCAAGCCACGTGGTGGGCAACCACCCTCCCAGGGACTCTCGGGGGGCAAAGAGCAGATGTGAATGTCAGGGCAAGCCAAAAATTATTCTGTGAAATGCACCTTCCTTCCAGTGCAGGATTTCGCAAGGCGAGGTCCCTTGGAAGGGCCGCCCCTGCCCCACAGTCCCTGGGGCTGCTGCGCCTGCCACCTCCACTTCCGCTCCCGCTCCCATGACTCATGTTCTGTGCTCGCACGTCCAGCCCGGCCTTGGGCCTTGTTTGTGCTGCTTTGTCCCCGACACACCGGCCTCGTTGGGGCTGCAGTTCATTAGCTTCGGTGAGAGGAGTTTTTATTTTATGTTATTCCCAAACCTCTGGGTCCCCATCTTCCTGCCCCCAAGCTCTGGTGGCCCTGCTTCACGGTCACCACGGCAACTTGGATTCCCCAGGCCCGGCCCCCCTGCCCTGCCCCCGCTGCACCGGTGTGGTGGGCTGTGCGGCAGGCCCGTGGTGGGTTTCCCCGCTCTCCCCTCAGTGCTGGGGACGCGGCAGCAAACCAAAGCAGGCGGTGGAGAGGGACAGCCAGGCCTGCCCTCACAGAATTTACATGTTGGTGGAGGCTCAGAGCAGTAAGTCAGAAAATAA